CATATTGAAATTTAAACAGTCACACAAGGATAAAAGTCCTTCCATCTATGATTATGGACACATCAGGCCTTAATACATTAAGAACTTTTAATATATGCATTTTTACAAAATAATTTAGAGAGAGTTGCTAATTTGGCATATACAACAACATATGTGCATGTTTCAAATGACTTCAGTGCTAAGGGCATGTACATGAATGAGGGTTGTTAGAAAAGTTTGCGGACACATTGATTGACGGAAAATTTACTGTGCACTTTAAAAAATGACATTCGTCTGATTAAATTCCTATATTTTGTTTATCAGTTTATTAGTAAGTAAAAAATCAGGTTCATTTACTAAAATTTTGAAAATATACAATGATTTTTACTGTGCAGTCATAGGATTCTCGGAGCAATAATTTGACGTTTTTTTGACGTTAGGTGATGTGACAACCTGATTCCAAACCTGTTAAGCTTTTCACAGCTATAAGTACCTTTCACTTCTATCAATTTACATGTCTTTTCCCTACTTTAAAATTGAATAACTGTAGCAAGTCATGTTACTTTTTTCTATTGTTGCGTATCAAATATTAATGAGATCTTAAAATCTGTGTCTACGCAGTAAAGCAATAGGTATGGAAACAATGCAAAATCCATAGGCGCAACGTCCATGCGATAAGCGGTGTACTGGGATATCGCATGGACTGTGTCATCAAAAATGTTTATCCTTCCATTAACAAAGCTACTGCTATTTGAACACTTTTGTCCTAGATATGTATAAGCAATTCCTGAAGCATCTAAAAACATTAAGTTTCATTTGGGTATTTTCCTGTCTGAAAAAAAAAATTCTTTAATAGCTCTTGCTCTCCAAGACTTTCAATGACATTGCAATTCTCAACTTTGTTTTTTCGCATTGATCATCTATAATTAGCGATGAAACAGTCATAACCCCTCTAATTTTAATAGAATATTTGCAATATGACCTCTAATGAATATTGTAGCGATATGTAAAATATCATTAATCTTTTTGCACTACAACAGTGCAATTTTTAGCTCTTCTGAGCCAAAGGCTCAAAGAGCTAATGCTCTGGCCATTTGTGTGGTGTGCGTAAACTTTTCAGAATATGGGTCATAATTCAAGAACCCCTAGACCAATTATTGTCAAATTTACCACAGGGTATTCTTGGCCCAAGGTCTCCTGTTTATGCTAAAACTAGGGTTGTGACCCTTAAACAAGGGGAGATAATTAGGAAAATAGAAACAAAAGTACTGGTTGCTAAAAAATCTTCTTTTCAAGAACCACTGGGCAGATTATCACCAAACTTACACAAAAGGATGAGGATTTACCCTGAGGCAAAGGGCGTGGTCTCAAGATCACTTCAAAGTTGACCAAAAATTAAATTACATTTTATTAAAATGTTGATATTTTGCTTACTATAAGGACTAGGATCATCAAATCTTGTCAGTTGATGCATCTAAGGACCTCATATCATGTTGACTCAAAAGTAATGACCTACTTTTTAAATTTTGCGCCATTCTTTTTCAAAATGATTTTAGAGGCATATTTCGAATAATTTAAGGCCTATGATCATCAAACTTTGACAGTTGATGTATCTTGGGAACTCGGAGTACATCAGCTAAAAAGTAAGTCACTTTGACCTACTTTTTGAATTTTATGGCTAATCTTTTTCAAAACAATTAAGGTCATTAATTCAAATACTGAGAGGTTTATAATCATTAAATCTTGTAAGATGATGCATCTTGGGGCCATAAAACATATTATTGAAAAGAAGGTCACAGTGACCTACTTTTTGAACTTTGCAGGCATTCGATTTCAAAGCATTTTAGAGACATAATTTGGACATTTTAAGGCCTATGATCATAAAACTTTGTAAGTTGATGCATCTTGGGTCCTCAAAAAACGTCAACTGAAAAGTAGGTCACCGTGACCTACTTTTCAATTTATATGACTATAATTAAATATTTCAGGTACTAAATGGGCTTAGAATCATCAAACTTCTCAGTCGATGCATCTTGGGTCCTAGGAGTACAACAACTGTAAAGTAGGTCACTGTCACCTACTTTTGAAAATTTATGGCTTTAATTAAATATTTCAGGTACTAATTGGCTTAGAATCATCAACATTTGTCAGTTGATGCAACTTGGGTCCTCAGAGTAGGTCAACTGAAAAGTAGGTCACTGTGACCTACTTTTGAAATTTTATGGTTATAATTTTCAAAATATTTTAGGTATTAATTCTCTTAGAATCACCAAACTTGGTTGATGCATCTTGGGTCCTCAGAGAATGACAAGTGATGAATAGGTCACCATGACCAACTCTCAGGTACTAATTGGCTTAGAATCATCTTGGGTTCTCAGAGTGTTTCATCTAAAATGTAGGTCATGATGACCTCCCTTTGGAATTTCAAGGGTTTATCTAAATATACAGGATACTTAGAGGCTTCAAATAGAAGTGATAGGTTGTACAGTTTATCAGAAGAGCGATCCAAGGCCCTTGGACCTCTTGTTTATTTCAAGAAATTGGTCTGATTTCAATATAACTTTGATTACAAAAAGACAACTCTAAGATACATAATTTTTTTTTATCTTTTTAGCTCTTGTGAGCCAAAGGCTCAAAAGTTAATGCTATGGCCATTTGTGTGGTGTGCGTAAACTTTTTAGAATATGGGTCATAACTCAAGAACCCCTATGCCAATTATTGTCAAATTTGTCACAGGATATCCTTGGCCCAAGGGCTCCTGTTTATACTTAAACTAGGGCTGTGACCCTTAAACAAGAGGATGTAATTAGGAAAGTAAAACCAAAAGTACTAGTTGCTAAAAAATCTCAAGAACCACTGGGCAGATTATCTCCAAACTTACACAAAAGGATGAGGATATATTGTAGATTAAAATTTGCACAGGGAATCGCCCTGGGAAGGGCGTAGTCTCAAGGTCACTTCAAAGTTGACCAAAAATTACATTTTATTGAAATGTTGATATTTTGCTTACTATAAGGACTAGGATCACCAAATGTCAGTTGATGCATCTAAGGACTTCATATCATGTTAACTCAAAAGTAGGTCATAGTGACCTACATTTTAAATTTTGTGGCCATTCTTTTTCAAAATGATTTAGAGGCATATTTTGAATAATTTAAGGACTATGATCATCAAACTTTGTCAGCTGACAAATGACAGAACGAGACCACTATTCTTTAAATTTGCTTGTTGTGTCTTAGGCTCATAATTCACATTATATCTACCAATCAACTTCAATGGATTCAAATATTTTTAATGAACTCCTATAAAAAAAATTACTTGAATATATGTGTAATATACATGTACATGTAAAAGATTATTTAAACATATTACAAAAATTTTAATATGTGTCTTTTTTCCCCTTGTAAAACATTTAAATAAATGAACCAAAGAAGTACAGTAAAACCATTTTATCTCAATTTCAACTGGACCAAGAATAAACATCAAGATATCCAATGACTCCAGATAACCATGTAGGGTAAACAACTTAAAGAATAAGCAGTTTGGAGTACCAATTCACTTCAACATATAAATGGTATTTAGATATCAGTTTTTGAAATAATGAAGTTTAACTTTAAGTCAAAGGCTAAAAAAGAGGTTATATTATTATTTTCCACAAGTGACACCGTGTCTTACTGAAATTAATCATCCTTGTGCATTTCTTGTAAGAGTATTTTTCTACTTACTGATTGTCAAACAATGGATATCGTCAATCAGTAACACATTTGGATTACTTACTATGTAGTTATGCTGTGTAAATGTTTTTGTCAAGCAATTATTATGACAGTGATGTAGCAAAATACTGATGATACTCTAGTATGGGACGTTTTACTAACATGATTGCATCAAAGATGTTAGATAAATAGAAAAGTCTAGGAATTAAAAATCAAAAGTCAAAGTTCAAGAAATGAGAGTCTGGGAGTATTAGTGTTGTGGATACAATTTCAAGAGTATTGTTGGAGAGAGTACAGTTGGATTATATATCCTCATGCTCACTCCAGATTCAGAGTTCCGGAGATGAGGTCTCTTGATATTTGGGTCAAAGAAGAAAGAGATTGTTAGCAAAGTTGACAATTTAAACAGAAAAATGTAACCTTTAGGTGGAAATTAAACAAATATTTATCCATTTATTACGTCAACTTACAAGCTAATCGCTAAGAAGGAAGACCCACTCGTTGCTTTGCAACGAGCTTTGCTCTAGTTGTAACGACAATGGCTTCTACAACACGCAACACGGTGACTTCAAAGCAGAGCAGGACGGTTAGATGGAAGTCGAGGACGGATGTTGGCCTCTCGCAATTTATTCCTTAAGGAACGAGGGTTTATTTGTCGATGCCCAGAGATGCTTCTAGCGGTCAAAGAAGCCGATTGGAATGAATTACGCAAATATATTGTCCGTAAATACGTTATCTTGCCGACGTGACGTCACACGCGGGCTACCTGATCCTGGGAGGTCCCGAACGCCGAACGTCATAAAGCATTAACAGTGCTAATATGAATTTCAGACTGCTTTGTGACGACGTTACTTTGGGAATACATTTTTATGTTTTTATTTAACTTTGAAGTATACACAGTTTCTTTTTTCCGCTAGACTAGTTTGTCTACAACTGTTTCTCTGTCACAAAATTATGTCAAGTCCATACCTTTTGACTGGAATCAAAATTTTAGCATGTTTTTGCAAATGATGTCCAGATGTATCAACACTCTGACTCACAGTCAAATCTCAAAGGCTTTTATCACCTGTTTGGGAAATGAGATATTCATTTTTGTCTTATCTGTGCTATTCTTTTTTTGTAGGTAATTTTTCTCTCATCTTACCTATGGTCTCCCAATTTTTTGATTATGTTTTTGTTTGTTGCTAATAAGACTTCAATCAAATAAAGACCTTTCAAGCTATCAAAAAATTAAAATTATATGCACCATTTCTCAACCTAATAATCAATAAATGATTGAACATTTGGTATTTTAATTCTCAAAGACAATAATATCTAAAGACTTTATTTCAATTCCCATCAGCAAATAAAAAATAATCTTAAATACCTTTCCATGTACATATATCTGCATTGTTTAAAAAATGGATGCTGCAAGGAATTACAAAGAAATATTAAAGTTACATGTATATTTCTTTAAAATGCAAAACTTTAAAAAGTTCTCAAAATAATGCACACCGAACTTGTTTAAAGGTCCTGTTGATATCTAGGAAAACTATATAGATATTACAAATTTTCCAAACAGTCTTCATGAAACATTGTCAATAGAGTCTACAATGTACTCCAAAAAGATTTGGTTCTCAATTTTGGCTTCAAATTTCATATAGCACCATTCATTATTTGACCTTTGAAACACAACAGCTTATAGTGAGTGCAATTTTCCCCATCTCTGAGAAAACAAGGCATTTGGGTAAGATATGTGAACAGATAAAGTACAACATCATGATTGCAATCATTGTGGATATGTGAGTCACATATTAACACTCGATCCTTATAGGTGCGATAATGACATCTTTTTCAGCCATAAAAACAATCATCCAAAACAAATAAATTATAAATTTTGAAATCTGTAAACAAATATCACATTCACATGAGTAATATAACAATTCTTGAGGCATATCTGATAATAAACAAAAACAATTTTCTGATAGTAAGAAACAAAACTTTACTTATTAAGTAAAAATTGTCAAATTAGGTGACCATGTCTCCCATCTTACGCTTGATAAGAAATAGCAACCATAGATTATAACTTCTGTTAACAATAATGTACCTAAAACATTCACCAGTCAGTGACTGTTGATCATTATGACACAGACAATAAGTTAATCCATTTAGGTTACATATTATAATGTATAATCACAATTTTATTTCTTTCTGTCTCTGACAATCTCTATGCTGCTCTTAATCCTTAGTTTTCAGTCTCGTACCATTATCTGATTTCTGACCGATTTTTCACTCCAATGATGATTAATTTTCCATCTCTCAGACCAGCAAAAATGTGACTGTTGCTATTGGTGATGGCCAATGAATGCACGGGAACATGAAGCGGCAAAACTGTCAGTTGTCTGAGTCTTCAAATAATACGAACAATCAAGATAATTATGATGTAAAGCAAAACTTTACAAGTTGAAAGCATACACTGGCATCTATTTAGCCTTCTGAGTGGTGTTTTTGTATAATTAAATTATGATGAGTTGATACCGGTAAGTATTTGTACTAAATGTATCCACTGTTGTGTAAAAATTTAACAATGTGATTATAACTTCATCCACCTTTTGCAGCACAAAGGATGCATTTTTTAAAAACATAGGTAATCAAAGATTACGAAGCTCACCTCGACGAATGTTATCTACATCTAAGGCAAATTTCACATCATATTTTTTTTCTAGTTAGGGTACATCCCAAGATCAATGTCCATGCAAGTTTGATTTAATTATAGACCTGCTCAAAAAACTTTTGACCTGTTTAGTAATCAAGAAAATTTTGGTCACTTCCAACATCCAAAGCAAGTCTGGAAGTTTTCATCCTTAGATGCACCATCTATGCAAGTTTAATCATAACAGGCCATAATATTATATAGCTACTCCAAAAAATTACCCTGGTCACTCATCTGGAAAATGTACATCAGATTCAGAATCCAAGGCAAGTCTGGAAGTGTCCATCCCAAGATACATCATCCATGCTAATTTGGTTAAAATATGGCTAAAATTCACTCATGTGGAAAATCTAGGTCAGATCCAGCATTCGAAGCAGGTTGGTTAGTGTACATCCCTAGATGCATCATCCATGAAAGTTTGGTCCAGGTAGGGCTTATAGTTACTTGGAAACGAGACTACTCCTAAATCTAAACCTGGTCTCACATGTGGAAAATCTAGGTCAGATCCAGCATCCGAAGCAAGTGTGGTAGTGTCCATCCCTGGATGCATCATCCATGCAAGTTTGGTCCGGGTAGGGCTTATAGTTACTTGGGAATGGACCTGCTCCTAAAACTTTAACCTGGTCACTCATCTGGAAAATCTAGGTCAGATCCAGCATCCGAAGCAAGTGTGGTAGTGTCCATCCCTAGATGCATCATCCATGCAAGTTTGGTCCAGGTAGGGCTTATAGTTACTTGGGAATGGACCTGCTCCTTAAACTTTAACTTGGTCACTCATCTGGAAAATCTAGTTCAGATCCAGCATCCGAAGCAAGTGTGGTAGTGTCCATCCCTAGATGCATCATCCATGCAAGTTTGGTCCAGGTAGGGCTTATAGTTACTTGGGAATGGACCTGCTCCTTAAACTTTAACCTGGTCACTCATCCGGAAAATCTAGTTCAGATCCAGCATCCGAAGTAAGTGTGGCCATGTCCATCCCTAGATGCATCATCCATGCAAGTTTGGTCCAGGTAGGGCTTATAGTTACTTGGGAATGGACCTGCTCCTAAAACTTTAACCTGGTCACTCATCTGGAAAATCTAGGTCAGATCCAGCATCCGAAGCAAGTGTGGTAGTGTCCATCCCTAGATGCATCATCCATGCAAGTTTGGTCCAGGTAGGGCTTATAGTTACTTGGGAATGGACCTGCTCCTAAAACTTTAACCTGTCACTCATCTGGAAAATCTAGGTCAGATCAAGCATCCGAAGCAAGTGTGGTAGTGTCCATCCCTAGATGCATCATCCATGCAAGTTTGGTCCAGGTAGGGCTTGTAGTTACTTGGGAATGGACCTGCTCCTAAAACTTTAACCTGGTCACTCATCCGGAAAATCTAGGTCAGATCCAGCATCCAAAGCAAGTGTGGTAGTGTCCATCCCTAGATGCATCATCCATGCAAGTTTGGTCCAGGTAGGGCTTATAGTTACTTGGGAATGGACCTGCTCCTAAAACTTTAACCTGGTCACTCATCCTGAAAATCTAGGTCAGATCCAGCATCCGAAGCAAGTGTGATAGTGTCCATCCCTAGATGCATCATCCATGCAAGTTTGGTCCAGGTAGGGCTTATAGTTACTTGGGAATGGGACTTGCTCCTAAAACTTTAACCTGGGACGCCGACGCTAACGCCGACGCCGACACCGACGCCGACGCCGACGCCGGGGGTATAGCATAAGCTCATCTCGACTTCGTCGAGGTGAGCTAAAAATCTTCCATGTAAAAAAGAACAATAAAATTGATTATGACCCTTGTTATTAGATTCTGTTCTTACCCAAATGTTTCCCAGATGCAGAGTTGACCCTGATTGTCACCTGTGATCAGGTGATCTTCCACATTGATCACATGACCCAGGCCATGGCTCAGTCTTTCTGTACATAGATGTTGTCCATTAATGGAGAAAAGATGGAGGGAGAACCTCTCCTGTAAATAATACCACCATAAGCATCAATAATACCACCATAATCATCAAAGACAGATCAAACATACAGTCATCACTATCTCAAACTCAATGAGACCAAGAAATAACTTTGAGATACCTGAAACTTTGAGATGTTGAGGTGAGAACCCAATAAAAGTGGTTGGGATTTTCAAATCACTTCGACATATCCAATGGTTATTTGAGATATCAGAGTTCAAGATACCGAAGTTCAACTGAACATTGCAATCCATGGTCTCCTAGAGTTACTACCAACATGTATTCATTTACTCATTGCTACGTTGTATGAAGATAAATTTATACACTTTACCTTTGGTTCAATAGGCAATGTTTCATGGCAGTATAACACAATACGTCCCATATCATCCATTACCATGTGGGGGATATTTAACGTGTATCCCATGGTGCACGGCGGACGGAGGGTTCTCATATAGTGTCCTCTACGAACTGTATGTATAATCACGGTGCCATCCTGACAGTATAAAAGTTATCAAAAAGACTTAATTTATTTATTGTTCTCATGACAAGCAAATACAAAACACTTGAGGAAAGCAGAATAATAAAAATAATTAATGTTTCAATCTATTAAATATAGAAGGGTTCCCTCTGTATATACTGATTGATTATGTAAATTACTAACCTTTGAGGCTGACACAGCTGTATCAAGCTCCACGGAGATCTGGACAGCGGTCACTTCAGCATCGTGTCCGTACAAAGTCTGAAGTCTCTTTGTGTTCACACAACTACTGTATCCTCCCTAGAAACAAGAGGCCCATGGGCCACAGCGCTCACCTGAGTAACTTTGGCCTTGCTGTTTTTCACCTGATTTCTCTTCCCCCCCCCCCCCCGTAGTACTTATTGTGGCCCCGCCCTATCCCCAGGGGTCATGATTTGAACAATTTAGAATCTACACTACCCCAGCATGCTTCCACATAAGTTTCAGCTTTTCTGGCCCAGTGATTCTTGAGAAGAAGATTTTTAAAGATTTTTCCTATATATATCAATGTAAAACTTGGATTCCCTATTGTGGCCCCGCCCTACCCCCGGGGGTCATGATTTGAACAATTTAGAATCTACACTATCCCAGCATGCTTCCAAGTAAGTTTCAGCTTTTCTGGCCCAGTGGTTCTTGAGAAGAAGATTTTTAAAGATTTTTCCTATATATTTCAATGTAAAACTTGGATTCCCTATTGTGGCCCCGCCCTACCCCCGGGGGTCATGATTTGAACAATTTAGAATCTACACTACCCCAGCATGCTTCCAAGTAAGTTTCAGCTTTTCTGGCCCAGTGGTTCTTGAGAAGAAGATTTTTAAAGATTTTTCCTATATATTTCAATGTAAAACTTGGATTCCCTATTGTGGCCCCGCCCTACCCCCGGGGGTCATGATTTGAACAATTTAGAATCTACACTACCCCAGCATGCTTCCACATAAGTTTCAGCTTTTCTGGCTCAGTGATTCTTGAGAAAAAGATTTTAAAGATTTTTCTTATATATATCAATGTAAATCTTGGATTCCCTATTGTGGCCCCGCCCTACCCCTGGGGGTCATGATTTGAACAATTTAGAATCTACACTACCCCAGCATGCTTCCAAGTAAGTTTCAGCTTTTCTGGCCCAGTGGTTCTTGGGAAGAAGATTTTGAAAGATTTTTCCTATATATTTCAATGTAAAACTTGCATTCCCTATTGTGGCCCCGCCCTACCCCCGGGGGTCATGATTTGAACAATTTAGAATCTACACTTCCCCAGCATGCTTCCAAGTAAGTTTCAGCTTTTCTGGCCCAGTGGTTGTTGAGAAGAAGATTTTTAAAGATTTTTACTACATATTTCAATGTAAAACTTGGATTCCCTAATGTGGCCCCGCCCTACCCCCGGGGGTCATGATTTGAACAATTTAGAATCTACACTACCCCAGCATGCTTCCACATAAGTTTCAGCTTTTCAGGTCCAGTGGTTCTTGAGAGGAAGATTTTTAAAGATTTTTCCTATATATTTCAATGTAAAACTTGGATTCCCTATTATGGCCCCACCCTACCCCCGAGGGTCATGATTTGAACAATTTAGAATCTACACTTCCCCAGCATGCTTCCAAGTAAGTTTCAGCTTTTCTGGCCCAGTGGTTCTTGAGAAAAAGATTTTTAAAGATTTTTACTACATATTTCAATGTAAAACTGGGATTCCCTAATGTGGCCCTGCCCTACCCCCGGGGGTCATGATTTAAACAATTTAGAATCTACACTACCTTAGGATGCTTCCAGATAAGTTTCAGCTTTTCTGGCCCAGTGGTTCTTGAGAAGAAGATTTTTTAATGACCCTACCCAATTTTTATATTTTCTTGATTATCTCCCCTTTGAAGGGGACTTGGCCCTTCATTTTAACAATTTAAACTCCCCTTCACCCAAGGTTGCTTTGTACCAAGTTTGGTTAAAATTGGCCCGGTGGTTCTTGAGAAGAAGTCGAAAATGTGAAAAGTTTACAGACGGGCGGACAGACAGACGGACGGACGGACGGACGACGGACAACGGGTGATCAGAAAAGCTCACTTGAGCTTTCAGCTCAGGTGAGCTAAAAACAAACACCCTTACAGAATCAAACTAATCACATTTTTTAATTTTTTAATTATTTCTAAAACCATTGCATCTGTGACTGCATATGACCACAATTTCTTTTGACTGATCCACAGCGTGAACAAAATGAGCTTTCTACAGGGAGTAGACTTAACTCACTTGAATAATTAAGGACTTCTGTATCAAACAAGAGTTACCTGCATGACGACCTCCCACACAATACAGGAAGTGTCCGCGGAGCCTGTTATCAGCTGTCGTCCACAGTGGTCCAAAGCCAGACAGGTCACCACGTCTGTAACAATTACAACAGTTAACTTGAAGCTCCACCTTCAAGTAATGCTTCATATTCAGTAATAATGGTGCATAAAAAATCTTCATGTTATCCTCTGATTGTTTGATTTCTCCTTGTAAAGAGTGAGTCACTGGACATACATAAAGTTAGGGAATTTTTTTTAATTGCGAGAACTTTTGTCATCAGTAAGATAAAAGAATCAGAAAGCACATGTCATGAAAAATGACAGGTGATCTCTAAGCAATGTTCAGGATCACAGTGGCATACATGCCAACTTTTGAAAATTCCCATGGGGGATTTTGCGCGTGACGACAATTTTCAAAGCTTTAAATTCGCGACATTTTGTCGTGAAAATAAATGTTTATCCCATTTCTTTTTATTTATAATATCAATATCACTTGTTAATACAATTTAAGCATAAATAATACAAACAAATTTTTTCCTTCCAAAATTCAAATATCTTTTTAGTTTAACAACATTATGTTTGAAAAAGACACATAATTTGGTGAAAATGTACAACTTTCAGTTCAATAAATTTTTTTGCAAAGTTTTAGAAATATATGAGGTTTTGTTACTGTACAGTTTCTGGGAAACATTTGTAAAATTCTATATTTACATTTTACACAATCAGAATTTCCTAATTAGACATTAAATTGAAAGAAATATTGAAAAATTGCAATGCATTGTGTGTGTGAGTGAGTGTGTGTGTGAGACAGAGAGAGAGAGAGAGATAAGAAAATTTGTTTGTGGTATGTACTTTAAATAGAAGTGTCATTTTATTCCCTATTAATAAGTATACATCATGATGATTAATTTTATCACAAACACAAAAAAATTTGAAGAAATGAATGTACTCTTGAGATCATCAATTATTTAAAACAAGGATACCCCCTATCCCAAACAAAAATTGAAATTGTTATAATCATAACTTTTGCATAATCTTGGTAGTGTCGTGTGGGTATTCCCTTGTCATATTACATTGGGGGGGGGGGGGGGATTCAGTGTACTTGAGTTATAAGACTTTTTTGTTTCATCTAAATTATTTTATCTTATTTTAACCGGTAGACTTTACAATATATTTATTACAAGCAGATAAAATCAGCAGCTATGCTTTGTTGTTTTCTACTTTCGTTTTAAAAAAACGATCAACAAGGATTAATTCCGAATTTGTTGATAGTTTATCATATCACTATATTTAATTTTTGTTTTTAATAAAATGATATTTAATTAACCCCTAAATCTATGTGTTTCACTATGCATACCCCTTCTGACTGAGAAGTTTAATCCCCTTACTGCTCCAGGCTATGTTACCTGTACCTGGACAGCTGTGTGCGTTCAAGCGAGAAGTGATTTCCTGTGGCTAATTAACACCTCTGCATGAGTTAAATAAACAAAGAGACTAATCTGTGTGCAATGAATAAACAAGTCTGATATTCTAATCCCGATTGACAAACTTTTGCGGTAGGGAAACTCTGAAAATCGGAAATTTTAAGTTGAATTTTTGTCAAATCGGGATTTTAGGGCAATTTTGCTTTCCCGATCGGGAGAGCGGGATCAAAGGGTAAAATCGGGAGGATCCCGCCTAAATCGGGAAAGTTGGCATGTATGCAGTGGCTGCATAGCTCAACATACAGACAGAACGATATCCTAGACCAGTCGCTACATAGGGATAACAAATTTTAATTCATACACTGTGTTCAATTGATCTTGGAGTTCACCTAAATATCTAAGATTTTGTTTGCAGCCCTAGTAATATCTACCAATGTGTTGTATGATGTGGTTGACTTTCTTGCCCTTTCCCAGGTGATACACCTGTAGACTATTGTCCCAGTGGCCCACACTGAAGAGCAGCTTGGCATCATGGGATACCATAAACAGTTTGGAGTCCACCTTAATACTTGGTGAGAAGGGACAAGGCATTCTTCTTTTACTTCTGCAAAGAAAAAATAAATCTATACCTACACACAATTCATCTTAAACTTATTTGCAAATCAATGAAAAAAAACATATCTTATAAGAAAATACCTTTAAAAAGTTTTGAAGCAATACTGGAAATTTTTTCTTTACATAAATTGCCAAAAGTCAATTATTTTTGTAACTTACTTTGGGTTGCTGAGAGCTGGGTCCTTTTCAAATGTGAAGTAATTAGAGATGGATTTATCATACGGCAGCCATCCATGGAGACCAATAATACCGCTCTCAGAGATTGTCACCTTAAAAAAAAAATACAACACACCTCAACAATATATTTACAGACTTTTAATTCTTTTCAAAAAGGTGATAGTTAAGTCAGAGCATTTTTACAGGTTAAGAAATATATATTTTTAAGTTAGAAGCATTTACCATAGTATCAGACATTCCATGCTGTATAATAGATCTAGCCTGACTCCTAGGGACGGAAATATATACCAGGGGGTCAGTTTCCTGGGAAACCTGTAAAATACATTTTTTGTAATACATGTTCATGTATATATTTAAAAAATAAATAAAACTACCATGATAGTTGTAAGATACACTGTTCTGGTCTAGACAAATGTACTTCACCAACCTCCACAAAGAAGACCTTGAGCTGATGGAGGAAATCAAAGACCCCCAAGGGGCGGTCAGCTTTGATGGCCCGAGTGGCCACTTCTTCCATCGTCATTCTTCTGGGATGGGCCTCCTAAAATACACGACTTTGTGACTGAATCTCAATACAGGTGAAAAAAATTATAACTGGAAACATGCAAATGTACTAATAGATTATGGAACAAACTTGTAAAATATCCAATAATCTATTACATCATTAAACTGAGTATGACTGCATTAAGTGAGGTATATGGACTGTTCTTGGTGCACTTTCTTATCTTCTAATACAACTATAAGACATAGACAGCCCAAACATAATATCTCTCCATATCATGCTACATTTCCTCACCTTAAGGAGCTGACAAGGAGTCTGTCCAAAGTTGTTTATCATTCCCTCAATGGCCTTCCTCTCTTTATCATCTTTCACAGCATCAAGGTCAACAGCACCTGCAACGACACAGAGCATATACATGTACATTAATAAAGATCTCATAAAATCATGTATATTTCACATCAGATAAATTCATTTGATTATGTGTCTCTTGAAATAACATGTAAAGCATCATAATTCTGTGACATCACTCTCATTATCAAATACTTCATACCTACTTTGTAACTGACATGCTGTGTGTATATGTGATATGAGATTAAAAAGAACATGAAGAGTAATACAAGAAACAGACGGGTTACAATGCTTACCTGAGCCACTTTGGCCCTGCTTTTCTTTGGAAAATTGATTTTAAAAGATTTTTCTCTTCACATTCCCATGAAATATTTGATCTGTATATTTGTGGTCACACCCTAGTCTATGACCTTAGCCTCAAAAAAATTCTTAAGTCAGGGTCATAAGGCATGTATGCATACTGGGGCCTTCAGCAAACTTTATGCAAAGAGCAAAATGTAAAGTATTCATGAACTAATATATTTCCACAATAAAATTTGGCCCTGACAAGAAATTTACATTTGTTCAAATGACCTTGACTCAAGTCAATACACTCAATTTTAGTATTAAGCAACAACAATGCCAAATATGAACTTTCAGTGTTAAAAGCTCTTATATGAAGCTGGAGGATAGGCAAAAAAACTAACATGGTGAATATATCCTCACAACAACATTTTGTTTGCAAATTGGGGAATAAAACAAGTATCTTTTTTCATATAATTCAGTAATATAAAATTTTATATCTCAGAATGCCTCAGGTATTCATGGGCTATTTCTGCAGGTTTAAATTTTTGAAAATTGATCCTCCCAAGACAGCATTCATTTCTATCTTTTGATATAGCTGCAATACTAAAGACAATTCTTTTGAATATTTCAGGATTTGTTTTGCGAGAATTGGAAATCCACAGAAATTTCCCACATTATTGATGAAAGAAGGAATAATTTTTTAATAAAAATCTTTTGTAAACAGTAAAGTCATGCAGTGTTATGAGGTCAAATGTAACTCTACTTTACAAAAAATAAACAGTAAAGTTTTGATTCATAGACTAGAAAAAATATGCATGAAATATTAAATATGCTGAAAAAATTTGGAGTAACTTTAGCAAAATGAATACTTCAGCTGACATTACCGGAATATGAATCATCATCTTCTTCTATAAAAACAAGAGATTAAAACTTAATGTCCCCTGTACCACATCATTTACACATTTGTCAGATCCATCCTTTGTATGAACAGAGGCTGCAAAGCAATATTCCTTTATTCTTTAAGAGGAACATAATAAATTTTTCTGTTCTTTAAATTGATATACCGGTATTTTGATAAAAACTGGAAGGGAAAAAGTGACTATGTGTTTGCTCCTTTACAAATTTCAAAATAACATCGCAATTTAAAAAAAAATTATTTGTGCAATTTCTGATGTGTAAACATTTGTGACATTTATATGTCATGCATGGTAAGTTTACAATTCATGAGGAAAGGAGAAAAATTTAGATTTGTGGGACAGTGCCAACCTCAGAGACATTGTCTGACCACAACACTCACCTTCATATGTACAGTAGTAGAACACATTGAGAGCCTCCACAGCCGCGGGGCCTTTCTGTTTGTATCCAAATATCAGATCTATCCAGTTGTGGAGATTTGCTGAAACGTAGTCCGACTCTAGGGCCTTCCTGTGTTTGTATATAAAATCCTCCGGAGACTTGGCCCACTTAGGAAGGATCACATGATTCACCCGCTCCTTACAACCTTGAAGCTTACCAAGGTCAAAATCTGTCCAAAAATGTAGTGTTTATTTAAATTAAATTAAATTCAAATTATGTTATAACATTCTTCTCCTTTTTTTCTGTAACATGTATCTGTCATTTGATTTTTTATTTTGACTGTATGCCAACATGGTGATGTCAATAAACTGAATTGAATTGAATTTAAATAATACCGGAATTATACAATTGAATAAAATGAAAATAAGATAATCTTAATGAATTATGCCAAACACTTTAAACAATTGAACTCCACTTGATAAAAAGCTAACTATAATTTTAAGAAACTCAATATCAGGAGGAGTTAAAATATATAACAACTTCCTCTTCCTCCAAACAACTCACCAAGTGATAACAAAACAAACTATCTGTTAATATAATCATTTAATATGTACAGTAATATGAATCTCTGTTACAGGAAAAGGACTGAACTAAAACATGATGTCTGTCGTACATCAGTAATAATTCAATCAAGAAAATTCATAGAGACACCAGATACTTTACAATTACATACATACTTCTTGGGGTGGGGGTAATGTAACAGAAAATCAACATACTATTGGTATTGACTAGAAACTCTGGAAGATAGAAGAATTCTGGGATTAGCTCCTTGACGTCATTAGGGTTGTCCATTAGTGACTGCCAGGTAGCAGGGATGGAATGGAACTGTCTGTCTGCTACATCAAACCTAGAAAGAAATATCACATAGTGATACTTAACATTCAAATAAATAAAAGGTGTCAAACCTAGTATGAAATATCATGTATTATATACAATACTGAAAATTTTAAAAAATAAAAGGTAGGTCTCACACCACTACTTGGAAGTGGAATGTCTGGAAGCTGATTGGACTTCTTCACCTGTTACTCTGTAGCTGTATATGGAGGTGGTAAAGTGTAGCACCTACTCACCTGTTATTCTGTATATAGAGGGTGGTAACGGGTACCACCTACTCACCTATTACTCTGTCACTGTATATAGAGGGTGGAAAAGGGTACCACCTACTTACCTGTCACTCTGTATAAGGAGAGTGGTAAAGTGTAGCACCTATTCACCTGTTACTCTGTAAATGTATGTGGAGTGTGGTAAAGGGTACCACCTACTCACCTGTTACTCTGTATATGGAGAGTGGTAAAGGTACCACCTACTCACCTGTTACTCTGTATATGGAGAGTGGAAAAGGTACCACCTACTCACCTGTTACTCTGTATATGGAGAGTGGTAAAGGGTACCACCTAATCACCTGTTATTCTGTAGCTGTATACGGAGTGTGGTAAAGGGCACCACCTACTCACCTGTTACTCTGTAGCTGTATATGGAGAGTGGTAAAGGGCTCCATTCTGATCATGTAATGCATGACCCCTGGGGCATTAGAGTAATGGGTCCCGTAGTGGAATTTCTCTATCACACCTGAGGGATCCTCAAAACTCTCATACCTGTTCAAAATAGCATAGAGTTGTAAAGAAGATCCATTGTAACAGATGGTGCATGTACAGTATAAGCTTCATAAAAGTATAAGCTTTAAGGACGTTCGATCCTGAGCTTTTGAGCAGATTTGGTCTGGAGCTTTATTTCTAAAATTCTGCATTATTTTTAAGTTCTAACATTAAATCTGGATTCTACAATGCAAATTATGCTATATCCAATGAAAAAACGCGATTAAATTCCATTCAAATAGGATTAAGCCAGGAACTATATTTTGTGGCGGAAGATTTTTTTAGAAGAAAATGATCATTTTTTCCCTTTTGAAATATATACAGTACTGTTAAGTTTAGATTCCTATTTTTCCATGCTGGTTGCACACAGAGCTATTTTGTGCATTGAAATGTTTAATGCTGGTTCTAAAATATTAATTAAATCAGTTTTTGTGAATTCTATCATCATATTGTGACAAATATAGAAAATATATTCTGAAACTCCAGGAAAAAATTGAGCCAATTATATCACAAAATTAACAGTTTTTTAGCAATATCTAAAAAATAACATCATAGACCTCCACTTTTGATTTTCTTTTCTGAATATATAAGATAACTCTAATCAATCTTCTTAAATTCAGCAAAAGTTTAAGACTTTAAAATATTTTTCTTGCTTGTTAAATTTTTAATGCCCGAAAAATGACATTTTGTGAGTGCAGAAAGGTCAAATAATTGATTATGCAAAGCAATTTGAAAATTTTTCTGTGTCACAATTTTAATGTGTCTTTTTTAAAAGAGAATAATAGCATACTTTGTCCCATGATTTATTTGGATAAAAAATATTGGAGGGAAAACGTCGAAGATGTTATTTTTGATTAAGACACAAATTCAGTGCAAAAAGGTCATTTTAAATGTACTGTAGCGCCAAAAGAAGCATATTGACTCCTATTTTTTGTTTTGATTTTTAATTAAGCTATGTGTGTACAAGTTAAAAATATACTTGACAAAAAAAGTTTAAGACTTTAAATATCAGGATCCAACGTCGTTAAGGTATCCCATAAGATACATGAACAAATAAACTGCAGGTTTTTGAAATCTTATATGTCATTAAAGCCACTGTGCAAGATACAGTTATTATAATTCAACTGTACTCCGTCCTGCAAGGTTTTGATTATTGGACTTGCTTTCTCAAATCTTTCACTTCTTTTCAGGTTATTAACCCCCCTCCTCTCTCTCTCTCTCTCTCTCTATTTTCAGGTTGTTGGCCCTGACCGGTTGACTTACTTTTCTTTGACCTCTTTCTCGTTTTTCGGGTTATTAGCTCCGATTGGTTTACTGAGATTTCTATACACTTTGGGATCCTCCAGATCTAAAGTGTCTGAAGTGTAATCTGACAGTATCCATGGAAACTAAAACATAAACAAAGATTGACCATCAATAGCAATGATTTATCAAAGAAGGGAACGGGGACAAATGTTACATGTTTTTCTCTATGAATGTAAACAGAAGAATCCTACCACTGGGTACTGGCTAAGATCGTTGTATGTTCTTCCTGCTATTGCATTTAATTCTATCAGGTACTCAAAGTTGCTTATCTCCCTTTGAACCCATTTCTAAAATCACAAAATTTCTCACTCAAACCATTTTTTCACAAAAAAAAAATTCTTGCTCCAAGATCAATGTAAATATGAAGACAAAACTCTATTACAGTAAAACTTGTCTAATCCGGCGACCAGTGGTTCAAAAATTTTTTGCCGGATTAGACAACATCCGGATTGGAGAAAATTGAACCATTATAGCAAGTTAAAAATTACATAAACATAGAGTGGTAAATAAATACTTGATCAAATGTGTCATTTTTTACGTTTCACTTGAAAAAAAAATCGTCTATTTCCGTTTGTTTTAAACTCTGTTTGTTCTTCAGAATTTTCAATTCTGTTCAAGTTTTTTATTCAGTAACGAAATATAATATCTCTTGGTCATTTATTAAATTTGAAAATCATTAAATGTTTTAAACACACTCCAAAACCTCATCGTCGTTGTAAATATTATTTTGTTAGGGACAGATTCCTAATTAATTTCTTTCTTTTAAAATTAATATGATTGAATATTAAGACACTTCAAATGTTATAATGAATATTGAACCAAAATCTTCTGTCATTATGGTAGCGACACAAAGGGAAGTAATTCGAATTGCATGTCGTGCACACAAAACATAAGTAGAAAGGAGGTCATGAACAAGTCTCCAAGTTTTTCTACAGACATGCTACCCCCAACCATCACTATTTCTCATTCTTTTGCGAGTTAATTTCCTCGCCTTACTTGAGCCATTAATGATTTTTTTATCACGTTTGTTAAAATCTAAACTGTCGATACAGGATAGATCATTAACGGGACAATAATTACCCCACGCGAGACTTCTCTAATGACCAGCGGGCACAGGTAAAAATAAGTGGCCGGATTAGAGGAGATAATTTGTACTAATTATGAGTAGTTAGTTCTTTAAATAGCGGCCGGTTTACAGAATAGGCAAGATCCGGATTGAACAACATTTATTAAACATAAATTATAAAGGAAATCAAGGGGACTAAAATATTACGCCGGACTGAACAACATGCCGGAATGCACAACATCCAGATTCAACAAGTTTTACTGTATATACACAACATATATTTTTTTATACCTTGGTAAGTCCAGAAGCCTTAAGCATCTCTGCTGGTGATCTTGACACTGTATAAATTAGGTTTGGAGGTTTCAGACTTAAAATTTTACTGTACACTTTATTTCTCTTCTAAAAAAAACAAAAAGAAGTTACAATCATTCCTACAATATGTGTACAATTCAAAAATAGTACATATAAACATGATTAAAAAATCATGAGTTACACTACTCACTTTCAACAACATACAAAAACAAAAACAAGTTATGAATTTAAAATGAAAACTTTACCCTTGGTTCAAAGTTAAGGAAGAAGTTTGTTTGATCGACCATGAATAGTTCAATAGCACTCCTCCTAAGATTATAACGACGAAAATGGATTTCTCTTAGAAGAGACAGTGACCACTTAAAGTCTTCACCACCTGGTAATGAAATCAGAGAATTTCATTCATTAAAACCACTCAATGTGACTCAAAGTTAAATCAAACCATTCACTGATAAAGTTATAAAAGCAGTGGACACATACCCTCCTCTCTGTTTGAACTGCAGTCAAAAAAGTAAATATTGGAGGTTGTGACCTCTAGCCGACCTTTAACCACATCCACTAAAGTTACCAGTTCACAATCCTCTGAGAGAACCAGTTTTTCTTTCCCTTGAGGTTCATTGTTTCTGTAATAAAATAAAACATGAACTGGTACAACATCAAAAACCCTTGACAAACACAAGTCAATATCAGGTCAGTTGTTAAATTGGGCCCATTTAGGGATGGTATTTAGTAAAATCAACAGCTTTATGACTAAATCTTTATTCTGACATGGTTGATAATGACTATACATTTTAAGTTTTAGCAAATACAATGTCATGAAAGGTTAGAAATTTGTTCAATATCCCTATTTTCTTTGATTAATTTTTCACAACAAGCTGGAGTCACATGTACATGCATGTACAATGTATCTTTTAGCATATACACATGGATGTCTGATAATAAAAGACATTTATGTGACATACCTATGGCCTTTCTGACTCATGATATAACCCTATGCCCCTTCTGAGCTGAGATCTGTGCTGATGATCTGTGATATGATTTGTGACCTTTCTGACCTGAGATCTGAGCTAATGACCTGTGATATGACCTATGACCTTTCTGACCTGAGATCTGTGCTGATGACACTCCAATCCTCCTCTCCAATGATGTCTTCATCAATTTGATCCTTTGAGACCAGTGCCTCCCTCGCCAGCTTGATTTTCTTGATCTCTTCTGCAATGTCTGCTTCACTTGCCCCTGTTGTACAAGTATAGAAATATAAAGATTCAATGAAAAATTTAAAATTGGGAACATGTATTCAAACAAGTCTTAATTATATTATAAAATTCATGCTAAGACTTTTAATATAAATAGATTTTTCTAATATGATAATTGTTTATTAGTATCTTCATGATACTTGTTACCTTTGTGATAATTGTCCTCAGTCCTTACCTAGACTGATTGTCTCACTTGTAGCTGGTTCTCAACCCTTACTAACATGTAGATTGTTTCTCTAGTTGCTGGTTCTCTGCCCTTACCTAAATTCTCTCCCTCTATAAGGCTTTTAACCTTACAATGTACCTAAATTGTTTCACTGGTTGCTGATTCTCCATTTTTACTTAGATTGTCTTTCTGGTAGCTGGTTCTCAGCTCTTACCTAGATTGTTTCATTGGTAGCTGGATCTCAGCCCTTACCTAGATTGTCTCTCTGGTAGCTGGCTTCAGTATGGGGGTCAAAGTTATAATTAGGAATCATCTTCACCTTCATCCTCTTAAAGTTCTCTTGATTTGATAACTTCCAGTGCATCACTCCTGTGCCACTGAAATGAAGGACAATAATGGAGAAACCTGAATCTGCATTCTACAGCAACTTTTAACAAGAGGCCCATGGGCCACATTGCTCACCTGAGCACATTGGCCAGGCAAAAGCACAAATCAGTTCAGTATTGAAAAGATTACCGGGGGGGGGGGGGGGGGGGGGGGAATTTTAAACTACCTGATGATGCTTTAATGTCAATTTAACAAATTGCTTTGTTGTACTTGAGAAGATTTTTTAAAAAAAAATTCCGATATATTCCTTTGTAAAAATTTGATCCCCCATTGTGGCTCCTCCCTATCCCAGGGGTCATGATTTGAACAAACTTGAATCTACACTACCTGAGGATGCTTCCATATCAATCTGACTAAACATAGCTTTTCTGTTCTTGAGAAGAAATTTTTTTTCTTGGTATATGTTCTTATGTAAAACTTTTGATCCCCCATTGGGCCCCACCCTACCCCCGGGGTTATCATTTGAACAAAGTTGAATCTACACTACCTGAGGATGCTTCCATATGAAAATGACTAATCATGGCTTTGCAGTTCTTCAGAAGATATTTTCCTATATATTTCTATTTAAGACTTTGATCCTCCATTGTGGCCCCATACTATCCCTAGGGGTCATGATTTGAACAAAATAGAATCTACACTACCTGAGGATGCTTCCACATAAATATGACCAATCAGGGCTTTGCTGTTCCTGAGAAGAAGATTTTTAAAAAAATTTCCTATATATTTCTATGTAAAACTTTGATCCTCCATTGTGACCCCACCTTACCCCCAGGGGTCATGATTTGAATAAAAAACTTGAATCTACACTACTTGAGGATGCTTCAACAAAAATATGACCAATCAGGGCTTTGCTGTTCTTGAGAAGAAGATTTTTAAAGATTTTTCCTATATATTTCTATGTAAAAGTTTGATCCTCCATTGTGGCCCCGCCCTATCCCCGGGGGTCATGATTTGAACAAACTTGAATCTACACTACTTGAGGATGCTTCCATAAAAATATAACTCATCATGGCTTTGCTGTTCTTGAGAGGAAGATTTTTAAAGATTTTTCCTATATATTTCTATGTAAAACTTTGATCCTCCACTGTGGTCCCGCCCTACCCCCAGGGGTCACGATTTGAAGAAACTTGAATCTACACTACTTGAGGATGCTTTCATAAAAATATAACTCATCATGGCTTTGCTGTTCTTGAGAAGAAGATTTTTAAAGATTTTTCCTATATATTTCTATGTAAAACTTTGATCCTCCATTGTGGCCCCGCCCTACCCCCGGAGGTCATGATTTGAACAAACTTGAATCTTCACTACCTGAGGATGTTTCAACATCAGTTTCATCTTTCCTGGCCCTGTGGTTCTTGAGAAGAAGATTTTTAAAAGATGCTATTAATTTTTCACTAATTCATAATTATCTCCCCTTGAAAGAGGGTGTGACCCTTCATTTGAACAAACTTGAATCCCCTTCACCCAAGGATGCTTTGTGGCAAGTTTGGTTGAAATTGGCCCAGTGGTTCTGGAGAAGAAGTCGAAAATGTGAAAAGTTTACAGACAGACGGACGGACAGATGGACAGACAGACAGAATGACTACAGACAAAATGTGATCAGAAAAGCTCACTTGAGCTTTCAGCTCAGGTGAGCTAAAAACATTTTATACATGTACTTAAGTATGATTTTCCACCTTTCTTATCACAAATCACGAAAAACAAATAGACCAATCACTTGCAGCCGTCTTTTAATATCTGAAGGACGAAAATAGGGTATGGTTGACATTTTTATGGGTAAAAGTTTGATTTTGTAGGAGAGCTCTAAAAATCTTGTCAAGAGTGATATGAAAAAATGACTTTTAACATTTAATCAGCATTTCCGTACTATAGCTAGCACTGAAGTTTGCTTATCAATTTGCATGCGCACGCCGTTACTATGGCGTTTAATGTCGTAAGGGGACGATTTATGGGTACTCTAGGATACATGAACTTGCACAAGTTCCAAGATGTCGTATTTCTCTTTGATCATGAATAACTACAAGGTATAATAGAAATGGCCTTGCTAAAAAAAATTTTATTGATTGATAAAGTATTTGTCAGGCCTTACAACTTTTTGCTTTTACTGGTAGACTTATTGTTCAGACCAAGCCCCTCTTTCCCCTGTGAAAAACCTGATCTAGTCGCTCTCCATTGTTTTAGAATATTGATTGTTAAACTTACTTTTCAGATCATGCCCCTCTTTCCCCTGTGAAGAGACATTTAGTGTGTCTCTCTACAGCTTTAGCATTTTGATTGGAAGACTTTCTGTTAAGACCATGCCCCTAGTGGCACTCCTTTGCTTTAGAATTTTGATTGGTAGACTTACTGTTCAGACCATGCCCCTCTTTCCCCTGTGAAGAACCGTTTAGTGGCTCTCCACTGCTTCAGTGTGGACTGATGCTGACTCTTATGCTGGACCTCCACATTGTGGAACCTCTTCTGCTCTGAAGATTCTTTGCTATGGAATGGATCCAGAATTTTGTTCTGTGCAAAGAAATCAGAGCTTTAATCAGACATTCAAAATCTGCATCAGAATTTAGGAAAATAAGGTATACAGTGTATGTTTACTCCAAAGGTGATCACCTACATAGCAACATTCATTCCTTATTTAAGATTTTGTTTTTTTTCTCATACTGCAGCTGCTGCCACACATTTTGTTTGGTTCACTGATAATGTATACATGTATCATAGATTGAAATATCCAAATATCCCAAAATAACTATATGTACATGCATAAAAACTGTTATACATGTATTTCAAGTTTCTTTGCTTTTTACGAAATTCATTTCCTCCTCCTAAAGCTCTACCTTACCTACCAGACTTACTGGCAGCTAATAAAAGCTGTGTGTACTAGATACATAGTGCCTTGTTCCATTGTACTACATGCATAGTATCTCACTGCTTACCTGAAACTTGAGCTTGGATTCACCCTTCTCTCGGTTTTTCATGTGCATATTGACCATCATGGCTTCCTTACACTGTCCCCAGAAGTCCCGGATGTTCGATTCCAATTCTCCAAATGTACTCTCATCAAAGTGGAGCATCTGAGGTTTTACCTATGGAGAAGATCGGGATTTAAAGTAGTTGTTTTTTTTTTTTTTTTTAAAAATAACAGCAATGGAACCAAACACTACATACAAATCTTGAAATAGAAACATTTTGAATTCATTTATCTTAAAGTATGGAATGTAACATGTCTTATTAATATATAACACAATTTACACTAGTAAGCATTCCCTTGTTGCTTTTTACATCACTTCACCAAGTGGGATATTCATTGTCTTTGACTTACATAACTCTCTATAAACTGCTTCCACTGGTCTGATACACAGAAGCTCTTAAAGTCATCAAAAAAGGAGGGGCTGTTATTGGTTGGAGGAAGGTCAGGTAGAAGTAGGTCAAGGTTAAGGAGTCCGCTGGCCTTGTCCAGAAGGGCCTTCATCACAGGGATCAGAAACGAGTATGTGTCAGAATTGTCTGTAACCATGGAAATATCAAATTATAAAATAAATCAGTAGTCAGCACAATCATTAACAAAATGAATGTTGAGCACATGTTTAAAATACAATGCTCCCAGTTGTGCCCAATCCAGCCTGTGACTTATAAGTATGACATTATCACAATACATATATCAATAGAGAAACAAATAGTCGTAAGAGCAGTCCAAAAATATGCCTCTAATCTTCAAACAGAGATAAATTAAGGAGAATATATGCCCAACAGCTTAAAAAATTTGTTCAAGCTTTAACTTATCCACACTTGCCATTGGAATCATAATTTCCAGGTTTTCACTTACCCCTAACAGCCTTGAGCACCATAAGATTTAAGTTTCCAATCAGAAATGAAGCTTCAGCGGAACTGGAGATCAGTTTGGTCTGGACCAGGGTGTGGAGTTTAGCTGTAGCTACAGCACACAACTGAAAATAATCACCTTAAACTGTACTCTCTTACACCAAATTATACTGTACTCTCTTACACCAAATTATACTTACTCTCTTACAACAAATTATACTGTACTCTCTTACAACAAATTAGACATTAAACTTTTTCTCTTGTACAAATTATATTGTACTCTCTTACAACAAATTATACAGAGATCTTGTACAGCAAATTATACTGTACTCTCTTACAACAAATTAGACATTAAATGGTACTCTCTTACAGCAAATTATACTGTACTCTTCTTACAGCAAATTAGACATTAAACTGTACTCTCTTACAACAAATTATACATACGTAGAAATTAATCTGCAATTGCAAGTTCACCTACTTTTTCAGAATTGACAAATTCCAAATTACAAGACTTTAACTTGAAACTTGTGCACAAAAGTTTTGCAAAGTAAATCAATGAGTCTTGATCCATTTTGAAATTCTTCATAAAAGATTCTGAATGTAAGGAAATAAACTGGTGCCCTAACCTCTAAGTCTGGTTGACTATCATACTGTATGAGTAGACAGAGCATAAAGAAGAAAATAAACTGGTGGCCTCACCTCTAGGTCCGGTTGACTAGCGTACTGTATGAGTAGACAGAGCCCGAGTCGAGCCATCTCTTTCCATCCCCCATCAGATTCCACATCCCACACAGCGAGATTGTCCAGTAAAGCCATCATGTCCTCTATAAGCTAATCATACAGAATTCATCTATAAGCTAATCCATCAAGTGAGGTTACCCAGGGTCGTGAAACCCAAACCATGATATAATTTACAATACACCACAAAACAGTCAAAATTGTATGGTTTATCTATTACAAATTCACAATCATCTTTGATTTTTTATAATGCATAATAGGGTAAGTTCAGGTTATCAAAAGAACAAGTACAGTGTATATTCCAGTATATATAACAAACCAAGAGGTTCCATTTTGACTGCACACTGACTTGGGTAACTTTATACATGAACATGATTTTGTGTTTAGGAAAATCATTTTTTCTCATCGTTACACAACATTCATGTTAAGTTTTGGATGACATACATTAGGATCTTTTAGAATGAATTAAGAGCATTGTACTAATGCACTCTGTAATCTACCTTACCCTCTCACTGAATTTTTCCTTGTCTTGCTTGGCATCCTGGGACATAAAACAGTGAACCAGTTTAACCAGTTGTATTGCGTTCTCTGTAGGTGTCGCTGTATCTTGAGCTGTTAATCAAAATATATCAGTACCTACAGTTCCCCATATATAAATGATCCAAAAAATATGGAAGTAAAAAGTATTCTCAGAATTTTTTTAAGTCAGAGTGCTCATTAAATGTTTAAATTCAGTACCAAATCTACATTTAACTATATATGTATGTAAAGTTTTTAAAAGTAAATGTTAATTCAAATATTAAAGAAATTAAGTTAAACTGCTATTATATCTTCAAGAAATAATAAAATCAGAAAACATGAATTATTTTATTATTAAATCAAAAATGAGTGAAAAAATGTGTGAACTTCAGTGTGATTTGAGTGTAGGGGTGAAATGTCTGATTATTTTTTATTACCTTAAAGCTTCTCATTTCAAGTAGTCATAACAAGCACCCAACATACATGAAGCAACAGAAAATGTAAGCATGCAAACTAAGGGTAAACCAAAGTGATCATTGGGGCAAACATTCTAAGCAAAACCTCTCTTCAATTTCCTACTTCTAGTTTACTTTCATAGTTTGATAAATCTTTTTAAAAATCCATTTAAATGAACTTGACTAGATGGTAAACATTACAGGAGAAGGCTTTTGTAGCAGTCTATTGCATTGTGGAAATAAAACTTGGCATAAAACTCACCAATACTGAAAATGAATTTTAAATTTCATCGTTTCAGTTGATAAAAATAAAACTCATCAGCAGTTATATACATAAAGAAGGTACAGATGTAAAAGCAGTCAGTTTTGTTTAGAATGTGTTAAAAAATGAATGTAAAAAAAGGATCTAACAAGGGATTAACAAGCACTAACAAAGCTTGATACTGTCTAGGATCTGAGAGGCACTTTTAAGGGTAGAGGACAAAAGTTGTTGCATTTGATTGGATGGATCTTTTTCCAATTCAGATGACCTCAATTTCTCTTCATCTAAAATCAGACACAAGTCATCAGCAAGATTACATAGAACTCACAATGCCCCCGTCCCTATCACATCTGTCCCTAGCCCTCACCCCCCTCCCCCACTTCATCAGCCTCTGCCTCCCCTCACAATTCCCCCCTCCTCCCTCAAAAGGCCCACCCTACCCTTTTTACATGGACAAATTTATTCTTTAAACTATAGGAGAAAATTCCTCTTTCTTCTAGTCATGATTTATGTCCCCTTGACAAGAATGCAGAGGTGTATTCTCATCTGTATTTAGTATTTTTTGGTAAAATATAGATGCAAATATATATTCTATACCATTTCTAATTTTTGTTTTGATTTTTTTTTTTTGTTAAAAAGAAAAATCCTGTTATTTATAATAATATTAATTGATTATACAGTAAAACTTGTCTAATCAGGATGTTGTGTATTCCAAAATCTTGCCTAATACGATGTAAACTCTAAGTCCCTTTTGGTAAATTCATTTATTTAAAATGTTGTTTAATCCAGATTGATGTCTAATCTGGACAATTTCCATGGAACCTGTGGTGTCCGGATTAGTCAATTTTTACTGTAACACCTAATTCAATCTGAAACTAGTAGACCTCCATGTGCTAAGGAATTATTTCAGCAACACCTTTCATTAAAACTGGGATTTAAAAAAAAATAGTGAAAGCTAAACTAAAATGTGAGTATCCACTACTGTTCAAAACACAAAGAAATTTACAAAGACTACACAACAATCAAATATCAGTCATTATTACATATAATGTACATGTAATAACATGAGAAAGAAAAGCAAACACACTGTTAAAACACTATATAATACAGCAATATCAAACAAACACATCAATAATGCATAAAGTGCTAAAAATGGATATTGTTTACACAGCTGTGTATATTATATCACAAACAGATCTATTATAGACACTTCACACCTATAGTATTAATGAATTCTAACCTGCGTCTTTTAAATCTGAAGTACAGGAGTGGATCATCATTTCTAAGAGGCGTCTCTTGATTTCCCATGGTGACCTGATCAATTCGTGATCCTCACATAAATGATCTACCCACGAAAAGACAATGCCTCTCTCCTACAATCAAAGGTACAATCAAGAATCCCATTGACACAAAGCTCACCAGAGTAACTTGAGCTATGTTGTTTTTCAGATTCTTAAAAGATTTTTATACTCCCATGAAAAATATTATGTACCACCCTAACTCTAAGGGGTCTCTAAATCCACTCTTATGGAGATGGTTCAATTTCAATATGAATAACATGGCCTTGCAGTTATTAAAAAGAAAATAAAAGAAAATTCCTTTTCTGTATACATGCACTATGTAAAATTTGACCCTGATTTTAGGCAACTCAGGGTCCATAATGAAAAAAAAAAAATTGAATGCAAGCAACTTTATTTGGAATGTTTGCAGTTAATAATTCTATTGTGGTTCTTGAGAAGATTTAAAAAAAATTTCTTATGGTCCCAAGTAAAACTTTGATGCTCTATTGTGAACCCACCCTACCCACAGGGGTCATGATTTAAACAATTTGAAATCTACATTATATTAGGAACCTTTCATATAACTTTAAACTTTTCAGGTTAAGTGGTTCTAGTTAAGATTTCTTGAAAATTTTCCTATTTACTTTTATCCCTTATTGTGGCCCCATCCAAAGCCCGAGGGCCATGATTTAACCAATTTAGAATCTACACTACTTTAGGAACCTTCTACACAAGTTGTATCTTTTCTCCTCCAGTAGTTTTCAAGAAAGTCTTTTTTAATGTTAAACTTTTATCCCCCAATTGTGGCTCCACCCTGCCCCCAGGGGCCATGAACTGAACAATCTAGAATCTACATGATGTCTAGAAGCTTTCAAATAAATTTTATGTTTTCTAGTCCACTGGTTCTTGAAAAGATTATTAAAGATTTTTAATAGTTTATTACATAATTCAGTGTTAAACTTTTATCTCCCATTGTGTCTCCACCCTGCCCCAAGAGGCCATGAATTGTTTAATTCAGAATCTACATTATGTCTAGAAGCTTTCAAATAAATTCTGTCTTTCTGGTCCAATGTTTCTTGAGAAGAATTTTTTTTTTAAAATTCCAAATACAAAACTTTGATCACCCATTGTGCCCCCACCCTATCCCCAAAGACCTTATTTGAACAATTTAGAATTTACACTACATATCATCAGGAAGCTTTCACATAAGATTTCTCTCTTCTGGTCAAGTGGTTCTTGAGATTTTTAAAGATTTTTCTTACATATTGCAATATAAAACTTTGATCCCCTATTGTGGCATTACCCTACACCCTGAGTCATGATTTGAACAATTTAGAATCTACACTACATTAGGAAGCTTCCACGTAGGTTTCACCTTTTCTGGCCTAGTGATTCTTGAGAAGATTTTTTTAATAACACCACTCTAATTTTGCCATTTCTTGATCATCTGCCCTTGGAAGTGGTTTGGTCCTTCACTTGAATATTTCAGAATTCCATTTACCCAAAGATTCTTTGTGTTAACTTTGGTTGAAATTTGTCCAGTGGTTCTTGAAAAGAAGTCCAAAATGTGAAAAGTTTACAGTCAGATAGACAAACAGCTACTAGACAGATGGATTGATGTACACTCAACAATGGGTGATCAGAAAAGCTCACTTGAGCTGAAAGCTCTAAAAAAGGTAAAAAATTTCAACAAAAAAGATAAACTTTCTAGACCCAAATTCTTTTTTTTTTTTTTAAAAAAAGCTTCTTTGGTCACCTCACAGAAATGTAATAAAAGCAAGAAATAATCAATTTCAATCAAACTTTCTTTTTAATCTTAAAAATTGATTCGAACATTTCAAGAAAGTGATCAAGTATTGTAAAAAATATATGATTAAAATTTAATTTTAATGTTTCAACTGTGCACAATATACATAAGTACAAAAGAGACTTTGAGAAAGAGTTACCTTCCAAGCCGCATCATCGGAGCCTTCTACTCCTTTCCACATTATTGTGAGGAGAACAAGAAGCATGTTCTGACATAGCTCCTCGGTTCTCTCTCCACTGTCCTTGACATAGATTTTGAGGATCCCAAGGTTATCTAGAGCTTTTTGAATCGTATCGGCCTGCGTGAAGCCTGAACTGACCCGCTTCTCTCTAGATGAGGTCGCAGAATTGTTTAAATCTATTGCACTGTCACTGATAGAAAAAGAAGATGATGAGGCTGCAATTGAGGATGACCTTTGACCCACTGCTGTCAGATCCTCAACACTGGCACTGGAGCTTCTGCTGACTGACCTTGACCTATCATCTTCTGAGCTATTAATATCATCAAACGTTCTTGAAAGATAGAAAGGTGTTGTTGGCTCTTTAGGGGAAGACACTTTCTGACCATTATCACAGCTGGAAATTGAAAGACTTTTTGGAACACTGATAGTTGTATTGCACGAATCATTGAGTTGAGTTTCAGAATCACAGTCTGTAGTTGACTCTTCATTGAGAGTAAATTCAACATTTTTATCTTCAGATATAAAAGAGTCTGACTGCTGAATTTCCTCTGTTTTTCTGAAGATGAAAAGTTTAGTTAAGGCTTCCTGCCATCCAAGCTGTTTGACAAACTGCTTTGCAGCTCCTGGCCTGTTCACCAAAATAAAGAGCAACTGCAAAAAAAAATGAATGAATATACATTTGTATAAAAAATATAAATCTGTAAAATACAAGCACAAGTCTCTTCGGACTGAAAATTAGACATTACCTAATAGCAATATTCACAAAAACACATACATCAAACTTATATCGCATGTATAGTTTGCATAGAGACCCCAGAAAATAGAAACTAGAGGAATTGTGAACACTGAGCTCACAAAATGATACCTCCCCCCCCCCCCCCACCTCCCATATGTTCATAATGGCAAAGTCCATGTTCTGCAATGGGAGACCAGAAATATGTGTCTGATCAAAAAGTAAAATAGGAGGTGCACAATGGCACTATGTAACAAAGATTCTGTGAAAGTTTCATTAAATTTTATTCAGTGGTATAAGAGGAGTTGCAGATAAGAGATGTGTACCCCAAAGCGTAACAGACGGACGGACGGATGTACAGCTAGACAGATGGACAGACACCCCCATCACTATTCATCCCCCGCTTTTAAATCAGAAGGTATAAAAATGTAATAACTAAGCTACTGTAAGCTGACACTCACCTGTCTACTTGCCTCTAACTTAATGTCTGATGCCGAGTAGTGGATTAGTTGTAAGAGGGCCAGAATAGAGTTATAACTCTGGGGAACATCTGGTAAACAGAAGAAAAATTTACTGATTAAACATTTTAACATGTTACTTCATATCTGATAAAATATTAACCACACTATCAACAATGTAGTTCTGCTAAGAATGATAAAAATTAATAAAACATAAAACAAAACACACCAGTTTAGACTTTCCACAACTTGCCAACAATACAGACTATAATTTATAATTCAGCAGTCAGTTTCCATCCCTGCTACATTGTATGCTTACCCAATGCAGAGACTTGTTCCAGGAAGCGTTTAAACATCGGTCCCGAGATGTCACAGTTTCTCATCAGTTCCACTAGCCCTAAATGTCCCGTGTCTGATAATCTCAAAGGGAGCTTACTCTTCTCATACACTTTGTCTGAGTTCAACAGCAGGTACAGTATCTAATATCAGACATGTACACATGATAAATACCACTGAGACATGTACACATGATAAATACCACTGAGACATGAACACATGATAAATACCACTGAGAAAATCAAAATCAGAAATTCAGGAATATTAGAACAATCTATCCTGGTATACCTCCTCTTTCTCCTTGTGTTTCTTAAACATTTTCATGAACATGTATTAACACTTGCATGAAAATGGGTAACGCCATATAATTTACCATAAAAACTGTCAATTATGAATTAACTGCAATTTTTTCCACACCTTGATAATTTTTTCGTAATATATGACAGATTTCCCAGGATGCACTAGTAGTCCGTACATGAGTTCCCCCATCTCTGGTTCAAACATCAGTAGGTGTAGCTGGTCATTCTTTGCCTTACTCTCCAACAGGGAAATCAGAACATCCATTGTCTCACAGGCCTGTCAAACATTATTATACACAATGCTAATTATTCAAATCACAGGCTTAATTTGATGTAACACATTGTACATCCATTGTACATAAATGATGATCATATTAGAAGATAGTGGAGATATTTCTTAACATTCTCTTTTTCCAATGTGTTTTGCATTTTTAAAGTAACAGTACTTCTCAGGGTGCACTTTCATTAAAAGAATGTAATAAGCATTAAATTGGAAAATTATCTTAGTCTTATGGACCAGATAAAAAACAGTTGTAAAGTGTTTCTTCTTATTTGTTTAGATACTAACCATATCTTCATCCTTGACAGCAAACAGAAATTTCAGAATAGAGTTTAGCTCTTCATAAGAAACTTCTCGAGATATGTAGTACTTGATAAGACTCATTAGTGAGACTCGAATGGTCTTCCTATCTTCTGACGACAAGCCACTGTCTGGAGTAGATGCTGGACTATCAATCAATAATAAATTCTATATACATATGATTTAACTTGATCTTTATCTTGACCAAAGACTCTGCTTTATAAATTACAGTTAAACATCAACATTTCAAAAACCATGGATATGTCAAAGGGAGTTGGAAGTCCCAACCATTTTTTCTATTTGTATTTTAACCTTGATATCTTGAATCTTATGATATCTAGACTAGTAGTTTTTTCCTTTGCCATATCAGGTTTGACATCATGAGGTTTTGACAGTACATGTATTAATTTACTTAAAAAGTTTTAACAAAATAAAAACTCTGGACAGACGAAAAAGACAAATTGAAAAGAAACAACAAATAATATCATGCTAAATGGTGACAGGTCTTCTTGTCTTTACAAGTACACAGAAAATTTATGAAAAAATGTTTATTTGATAATACACGTATTTTAAATTAACACTTTCAGCTGAGTTTAGTTAGCTCTATCTACTCACTGATTATATAAGCCTAATGGAGAATTACCTGTAGAACATTCTGACAATGTCCAGAACAAACTGAACTCCAAACCGCTTCCTAAAGAACTTTTTATCATCTTTAATGATGGTGGACAGGTACTGTATGTGACCTAAAACAAAAGGTAATTCCAGAAATTTACTCACATATATACCTATATAAAAATATAATTTCAGAACATTTCAGAATCTGAGCGGGGATATTATCATAAAGCAGTGTTCAATGTTTGAAGGCAACCTCTGTACCCTCAAACCTCGAATATATTTGGATTACTTGTCTGGACTAGGTACACACCTATTCTGATTATTTGTCTGGATTAGGTACACACCTATTCTGATTATGTATCTGGATTACTTTTCTGGATTAGGTACACACCTATTCTGATTATGTATCTGGATTATTTGTCTGGATTAGGTACACACCTATTCTGATTGTGTATCTGGATTATTTGTCTGGATTAGATACACACCTATTCTGATTATGTATCTGGATTACTTTTCTGGATTAGGTACACACCTATTCTGATTATGTATCTGGATTATTTGTCTGGATTAGGTACACACCTATTCTGATTATGTATCTGGATTACTTGTCTGGATTAGGTACACACCTATTCTGATTATGCATCTGGATTACTTGTATGTTATAGTTACACTATAGATATTAATTGGTTAGCTGTAAATACACTCACAGTTTTTCATTCACGAGGGGCGGAGCCCCGAGTGAATAAAAACTGTGAGTGTATTTACCGCTAACCAATTAATATCTATTGTGTAAGTTACTTGTACCAGAGGACCAATGAGAGAAAAGCGAGTTGATAATTAGCACCGCCTACCACGAGATGTCAAGCCACGGTCCGGAGTCTGTATAAATAGCTGTCTCCATCTGCAAGGATCATACTTAACTGCGGCACTGCTACTGCAAGTTGTTGATAAAAAATTCGGAATTGGTACGTGTGAAGATATTGTACCTTTGAAATGTTGAAGACGCAGAAAACATGATTTTTGTCAGGTACAGGTATAGGGGTAGCGATTGTAGGCTTTTATATTCAAGCTGTTAACTCTGAAAGAAAATTTATCTTTCTAGATCGTTTTTTTTTTTTTTTTTTTGAAAAAGGGGGGATGGGTATGGGAAACATCTCCATTGAACTTTTTATGACAATCGGCGTAGAAAAAAATGAAATGATTTGTGACATTTTAATGAAAGTTTGAAATGGTATTGGAAGTAAAAAAAAAAAAAAAAACACGGGGAATTCTGATGTGAAATTGCTATTATGTATTTGGAGACGGGAAAGAGAATGACGAGAATTCGAGTTAGGACGTATCATTTACTGATTAAGGATACGCGGAAAAAACATACAGAACCATTTATGAAGCGAACATCGACAAGCTAATGTTAGTATTTTTGAAATTAAAAATGTTGACTTATTAATTTATCAGACATTGCCAAGGTCTTGAAATTGACATCATTCATTCATCAGTCAAGGTCTTGACACAGTATGGCTTGATGCCAAAAGGTGGACGTGACTTAAAAAACTGTGATTCTTCTGGCAAATACACCACAGCAACATCAAAGCAAAATCTATATTTACCGCCAGTCCTATGGTACAAGGATTAGGTACACACCTATTCTGATTATGTATCTGGATTACTTGTCTGGATTAGGTACACACCTATTCTGATCATGTATCTGGATTATTTGTCTGGATTAGGTACACACCTATTCTGATTTTGTATCTGGATTACTTGTCTTGATTAGGTACACACCTATTCTGACAGGAAATTCACTGCTGCTCCAAATCCTGAAGTCAAAAAGTAAGTACTGGTACATCTGGCTCAGAAGAGTCTGGTTCACACTGGCTGTTGTCTCCAATAGCAACTGAACCGCCATTAGCACATTCACATCTATCAATCGGGAATTCACCTTAAACAAATCAAAATAACATCATCAGGACACACTTAGAAATGATTCCTAATTGTTTGTAGATTTTACATTATAAATTTCAGCACAAATGAACAAAAAATATCTCTGTCATCATTTTCAATAAATTACATAATTATATCTTTATAAGTATCTATCTATCAATACACAATGTTGAATTTCCTAGGTGTAGTTATAGAATCTTATCAATTCTTTTCTGAACAGCTTGATATATGTATCCACCTACTTTCTGCAATAGAGCCCCGATTGTCGCAGCACCTCCCGTCCTGATCATTGCCTCCTGATTGGTTCCTTGTGAGTGGATCATGTGACGCAGTAGTGTAAGAAATCCCGCCACCTGATTCTGCTCCAGCTTGGAATCTGTCAAAACAATAAATGGAGAGTGCTCTACAAATTTTGTCAATTTCATATCAACTAATATACATGTAGTCCAACTGTAAAGGTGCAACTCTTTTCTGATAAAACAATAATGTACTGGAGTACACATTTTCCCTACAAGAGTTATGAGTATGATATTTCATGATAAAATTTCAATTTTCTATACAGTGGATACATGTATTTTGCCAAAAACTGGTTTTTCAAATTCAAAATGAACTACAAAAATTAAGGATATACACTACTTTCTGTCTTTTCTTTTGCACACACTCCATATGCATAGTATATACCAATGAAAAGTCTAAAAACTTTCTCACCCGAGTAAGAACTGCTGGGGACGACCACCCAATCATCCTGCTCCTGATCCGGAGACATCGACTGGACCGTGTCCATCTGCTGGACGAGGTCAAGGTCAGGGACTGGGCCATTGTTGACTTGTTCTAGTAGGGGAAATAGAACCTGTATCCCCCCTATTCCGTTTATCACATCCTGAATGGAAAGAAAGCAGTTCCTTCATCTTTTTCATGTACTGATAAATTTACAAGATGCTAAAGGAGTCTTTGATGATTATGTGTTCAGATGAGTTCAGTTTACATAGATACATGGACCAAACCTTGTGTTCAATTTTGTTTTGTAAGTTAATGTAACTGAAGCAGAAAACCTTAATTTTACATAGAATCAAAATAAATGTGTTTATCTACCGCAGGCAAGATACCTTTTAATTACACTGCACATTTACCTTGATATCCCACGTAACACATCTCTGGCCTGAAAAGTGTCCATGGTTTTGGTTAGGGGACAAATCTATACATTGTCCATCTTTACAAGCCTGGAAATAAAATACAATGTATTATTCAAACACTTCAACTGCATCATCTCAGACATAGAGTATTCTGTTATACACAGAAATATATGTCTTAGCATTTAATAAACTTTTGCACCACCTTTGCATTGCAGTAAACTATTGCTTTACCTTAGCATTGTAGTAAACCACTGCTTTATCTTAGCATTGTAGTAAACCACTGCTTTACCTTTGCATCGCAGTAAACCACTGCTTTATCTTAGCATTGTAGTAAACCACTGCTTTATCTTAGCATTGTAGTAAACCACTGCTTTATCTCAGCATTGTAGTAAACCACTGCTTTATCTTAGCATTGTAGTAAACCACTGCTTTATCTTAGCATTGTAGTAAACCACTGCTTTACCTTAGCATTGTAGTAAACCACTGCTTTACCTTAGCATTGTAGTAAACCACTGCTTTACCTTAGCATTGTAGTAAACCACTGCTTTATCTTAGCATTGTAGTAAACCATTACTTTACCTTAGCATTGTAGTCAACCACTGCTTTATCTTAGCATTGTAGTCAACCACTGCTTTATCTTAGCATTGTAGTAAACCACTGTTTTACCTTAGCATTGTAGTAAACCATTACTTTACCTCAGCATTGTAGTAAACCATTGCTTTACCTTAGCATTGTAGTAAACCACTGTTTTACCAGGAAGATCTGTAAAATCTGGGAAATCATCATCAAAAAATAGAACTGGATGATTTGGTCCTGAAAAATATGCAAAAAGAAAAAAATCACCCTAAAAAAAATCGAAGAATACACTGACAATGAAACAGATGAACTTGACCACCAATATGCCATACCATTTCTGTAATATTTACATTTCCAAATATTTTTCCGTAAGATTCTTTGCAAATTAAAAACAAGAACTACCATGGGATGAGTAAGAATATTTCCATGGCGATGTAATTGAAGTCAAAAAATAGTGCAAACTTTTTTTTTCAAAAATGATTGTTGAATGACAAAAAATTGTGGCAAGTCATTAGAAAAATAATGTAAATATAAGATATGAATTTAATTTTTGAGAATTCACGAGGTACATGAACTACAACGCTTCACGCCTGCATATTTGACATGAAGTACTAACACGTGAAGCGTCGTAGTTCATGTCCTCATAAATTCTCAAAAACTAAATTCATTTCTGAACTTACCAGCCAGGTGTAGTGCTTTGACCTGAGAGGGGGTCACTGTGTCATGGAACACTGAAACTGAGCCCAACAGTCCCCCTAGATTGACTGAGACACCCCACACATCCTCATGTGTCCCCATGGGGATAGTGGTGATCTCTGGATCATCTGAGTTTTTCTTCCTCTGGAAGAGTCGTCTCAGTGGAGATTGTTTGATGCTCTCGGTGTTAGCAGATTGGTTCTGATCAATCAGGGCCTTCACTACAGCCTTGTTACATGGACTACCTATTCTACAGTCTGTAAATGGCTAAAATGAAATATGTACAATGTTTACAACTGATAAGAGAGAATATGCCAATAAACATGATAAATCAGGCTGGGAAAATTTATCTGGATTAAATTCCAAGCCAATTTTTATGTACATGTAATTTCTGGTCATGTTTGCAAGACTAAAAATAAAGAACAATATAAACATACATGTTTTAGTACATTTACTTGAATGTGCAATGAAACTTGTACAGCTTTCTCACCTCTGAGACATTGGGAAACTTGAGCTGTGAGCCGAGTTTGAGTTTTCCATCAATGTAAATAAACAACTGACTACTTGTGAAGGGTCTTCGGGAGCTGCTGTGAATGATGTCAATAGAGTGCTGCAATATGAAACAATTAAAAAACAGTGTTCTCTGGTCCAACAAATTTATAAAACAAAACTAATATCCCCTGTCAATCACACATATATATACTCATATTGAGGGCTACCCTGTAGAGACTTACCCAGTGTTCGTCCCCCAGTGATGTGTCTGTGACCTCCACAGAACTGTGTTCCTTTCTGTTGTACACCGACACCACAAGGTCATACTCCATAGTAATGAAAGCCTCAAAGCCACAGCCAGAGTTTGAAACAAAACTGTAATTCATAAAACATACTCATAGTTTCATCCATTTTCTATTGTGAACTCACAAGAAAATTCATAATACATGCAGTAAATTGTTTCGTATATGTATTTACATCTAACACTGACCTGTATAGCTGTCTCCTGTTTGGTATTTATATCTCTGCCAGTATTTCCTACACACTGACCTGTATAGCTGTCTAATTTATATCTTACACAGTGTTTTCTACACTGACTTGCATAGCTGTCTACTGTTTGTTATTTATATCTTACACAGTGTTTCCTACACACTGACCTGTATACATGTAGCTGTCTCCTGTTTGGTATTTATATCTTACACAGTTTCCTACACATTGACCTGTAAAGCTGTCTACTGTTTGGAACTTATGTCTTAGACAATGTTTCCTACACACAGACCTCTATAGCTGTCTACTGTTTGATATTTATATCTTACACATTATTTCCTACACACTGACCTATATAGCTGTCTACTGTTTCTTATTTATATCTTACACATTATTTCCTACACACTGACCTGTATAGCTGTCTACTGTTTGGTATTTACATCTTACACACAGTTTCCTACACTGACCTGTATAGCTGTCTCCTGTAAACCTGTTCTGTAGATCCCGCAGGGGAGGAATGGGAATTCAGACAGACCCAGGTGTGGAAAGCAAAAGAATTCCCAGGCCACTTCCTAATCCCAGGCATAGATATCATCTAAAACATCAGGATTTAAATAGTCTATAGCAGTAAACAACTTCTGAATCATAATCTATCTTAGATACCTTTTGCTGAACAAGATTATACCCATGCAAAATGACCCTATTCAGCAATCACGCCATTCATTGGAGGATATTAAATCTAAATGGTTGATTGAGAACAATTTGACAAAGCTAATGCTGTTAGAATATAGAATGTATAGTATTAGAATACAATCTTGCTCTAACTCGTTTACACCACAACTGTTCCTGTATAAAATCAGTACCACACAGACTAAATAAATACCAGTACCAGGACAATCTTTTAATGTACATCATGTCACAATTAATACCTCACTTTCCTCCATCAAGGTCAGGAAGTAATGAGCTCCTTCCTTCCCATCATGTCTTGCCATTGTACATAATGCCCTCATCAATCTTGAAAAATTAGGATTCTGGACAGAAAAGGCAAAATCATCTGACATGAAATTCATTTCAAAACATCATTAAAAAAAAAACATCTCAAAAGGAATTATTACCTTACAAGTTAATTAAAATACTCAGATTCAATAAAGTTAAATTCAAGATTTAAAGTTAAGATCTTGTTACATGTATTGTTACAAGTACCTGGTTTTCTTCCTCATCCAACTTTAAATGCCCAATCAGTTGCTTTAACTCTATAGCAGTAATTGAATGAGTTCCTAAGGTTTCCAATAGATTTATCAATAATGCTGAAAAAAAATTAGGAATCAAGTAAACAGTTCTTTAGATACAACTTGAAAAATTGTAACAGCAATATGAATATTCCAACTTCAAGTCCATACCCACAGCTTTGGGGTCAATCTGTTTCTGTCTGCCCAGAACTTTGATGATGGCAGAAATCATTCCCTCATTACAGCAGTTCATCTTGTTCTGTTTCTGAGAGCTCAGGGCACAAAGGTGATCTGCCAACCAAATTTGTAGTTCCTTTGACTGAATATCAGGCAACCAGCAAAGTAACATCAGTGCTGATTGAACATTTCTGATCATGTGACTTTTGCCTTCACAAAACTCCTCCTCCACAACCTGTCAATCAAATTAATTCAAATAACAATGAACCTGCGGATAATGTACATTTATCTTAATAAATCCAATATTAACTTTTATTTGGTATGAGGATGCAGGGTACTGATCATTCTATTCAGTTATTTTTGCAGATTTACCAGGTTGAGCACTCCTTTCAACAGAGACATAGATGGCTGACCCAAGCTTTTTAGAGCTTCTACAAACTTCCAGTACCCAACTCTTAGTGCAAATCTCTCCTGAAACAACAGAGCATTTAGTTTAACATTACACCTGTTGTACACGATTGTGATACTCCTGTTTTAAATCTAATCAGTGTTATCTCACCTTGGCATTAATGGAGCCTGTGAGTACAGAGCAGATGACCTGTAACACGGAGAGGGCCAGACACTGGGCCTCTGATCCTGTCAACTACGAGGGGAAATAAAGGGGGTTAGTATCTGCACATGTAACTTTGAAAGTCAACTTTATATCATTAAAATGTATATAAATGCTAAAATGGTGTCATCTTCTCTACCATTCTGTGTTAGAATTTTTAAATTCTTAAATAAGTGTTAAAATTCTCACAGAAGTTTTCTGTAGGAGAGCCACCAAGGAATCAAACGTTCCCCCACTGACCAATGTAACCTGGAGAGCACTGCGGTCCTGACACGCCAGCATCTCATTGACAGCGTCTACAACAAAGAAGGAACAAGTACTGAAAATTATTTATGTACCATTGTATTTCACCTAGAAGTACTGTGAGTGACCTCACAAAATAATACATGTACCTTCCACTGCTTTTTTTTTAAAGTATCCATTTGCAATTTTGTAAATATGACCTTGAACTTTCCAAAATGACTTTGGTTAAAAAAAAATAACACATCCTCTGATGATATTAGTAATTTTTGAGTGAAATTTGGACAGCCAGTGTTTTTCCATTATGGACCTGACAGGAATTTTATACTTCTCTGCAAGTGACCCTGAACTTGTCACAATGACCTAGGGTCAAGGTTATGGCATACTTTTAGCTCACAAATAATCTTTGAACTTTCAACAAAATTGTTTATACTTTTTCTGCAAGTGACCTTGAACTTGCCCGAATGACCATGGGTCAGAATCATGAAACACCTCATGTCATTAACAATCCTTGTACCAAGTTCCCATGGTGTGAGCCTTGTTCCCCCTTGTTCTAATGGTTCGCCATGATGTGAGCCTTGTTCCCCCTTGTTCTAATGGTTCCCCATGGTGTGAGCCTTGTTCCCCCTTGTTCTAATGGTTTCCCATAGTGTAAGCCTCTCCCCCCCCCCCTTTGTTCTAATGTTTCCCCCAAAGTAAGAGCCTCATTCTTCTTTTGTTTCGATTGTTCCTCCTTTGTATGAGCCTCGTTTCCCCTTGTTCTAATGATTTTCCATGGTGAGAATCATTCACCCCCACCCCCCACCCCGTTCTAATGGTTCCCCATGGTCTTTTGTTTCGATTGTTCCTCCTTTGTATGAGCCTCGTTTCCCCTTGTTCTAATGATTTTCCATGGTGAGCATCATTCACCCCCACCCCCCACCCCGTTCTAATGGTTCCCCATGGTGTGAGCCTTGTTCCCCCTTGTTCTAATGGTTCCCCATGGTGTGAGCCTTGTTCCCCCTTGTTCTAATGGTTTCCCATAGTGTAAGCCTCTCCCCCCCCCCCTCCTTTGTTCTAATGTTTCTCCAAAGTAAGAGCCTCATTCTTCTTTTGTTCTAATTGTTCCTCCTTTGTATGAGCCTCGTTTCCCCTTGTTCTAATGACTTTCCATGGTGACCATCATCCCCCCCCCCACCCCATTCTAATGGTTCCCCAAGGTGTGAGCCTTGCTCCCCCTTGTTCTAATAGTTTCCCCTGGTGTGAGCCTTGTTCACCCTACTTACGTATCATACTGAGCTGCATCTGCTGATTAAAGCCGTCCTCTGATTGGATGTCGGCTGCCGTCAGTACGTCCATGTAACCTTCCATCACCTGAGATACTTCCACCTGCCTCTAAAATCATCAATATAGAGCTTTTAAATTCTTATTTAAGGCATATTCGTGCAAAGCACAACATTACGCTGACTGTTGTAAGAAAACAGATACATTGTTCATATTTTAGGGTGAGGGGAGGGACTGCAAAGAAATACATTTATTTATGATTTCAACATTTTTCATTGAATGCCACTTTTATTGTTTTTGTAGTTAGGCCAGACCACAAAATAAACTGGTCACAGAACCTATAAATTTCACTCAAGAGAGAATAGGAGGAGGTAGCTGCATGATCACTAATTAACATATCAAACAAATTGTAATTTTGCCAAAACCATAACATTTGATCTCCATGAAAATTACTGAAACCACATTACTGATATGTATGTTTTAGCATTATCCACTTCTTGCTCCCTAGAGTCAATCGTATGCATGTAACATCAAACCTTTATCATAAGATCAGTCAGTACATGAGAACTTATTTTTACTTTGACCTCCAGACTGAGGTCTAGCCACAACTTTTGCAGCCACAATTCACTGATTAAGAGTCTGAAACTGTTCTTCTTTGTGAATGTACCAGTGTCTAAAATAACACCAGCATTATACTCATAAGTAACCAGCTTACAGTCCATGGGAGGCAAAAAAAATCTAACCACAGGTGCCTTTATATATTGCCCAGAAGATTAATTATATATGTCAAAAAAGTACTTTGTACGTGCTATTCATTTTAACAAAACTCTACAAAAAGAGCTTTGTATACCCACAGCATATAAGAGGAAGAAATTCTTAATATGTCAAGATAAGAAGATACACATAACATAAGATTGCAGTCAAATGGGAAATGTATTTTTCATGCAGAAAACTTTTTTTTTTCCTTTTACTTTTTAACTATTCATGGCATGAGTGATTTTGATCTCGAAAGTAATGACCAGAAAACAATGATCAATCATATAAAATGAAATAATTTCAGAAAAGTAAAAAATCTGATGGAACATTCAAAGAAAATACAATACATCCAACATTATTTCCATTTCTATTTGTTTTCTCTGTGATAACTCTTTGAAAGTTAGTTGAGTTGAATTCTTGATCATTCTACCGGAATGCAAATTTCGCCAAGCAAAAGGTCAGGAGCTAAGAAGGTTTAATATGCATGTAATTCTCGTGCGACTGTCTTTGTGTTTGACGCTAAGGAGGCCTAATATGCATGTAATTCTCGTGCTACTGTCTTTGTGTCTGACTCTAAGGAGGCCTAATATGCATGTAATTCTCCTGCGGCTGTCTTTGTGTTTGACATCAGTGGGCGGGGACTATTGAAATTGACATGTGAGGCCTCGTGTAATTTAAATCTATTAGTCTACATTTTTAAAATCTAAAGTTAGATGCGCCCGTTATGCAAATTATCCCACGTTTCCAACTATCGTTGGTGCCCTGGCATACTCTACTAACTAGACAGTGATTCCTTAAATGTATCAGAATTCAATGTTTGGTCAATTTAAGAATCTAGCTACCTAACATCTAGTAAAAAAATCTGAACTGTCCACTCATCCATAAAGTATAAGTCAGATACAGCATTGAAATCATGATTCATAGCAAGCATCCCTAGATGTAGCATCCCTGCAAGTACATGTTCCTGATCAAGGAGGGGTCAAATTCACTTATAAATGATCTGCTACAAAACCTTTAATGGTATTAAGCCAGAGGAGACTGGTATCACCTCACACGGCATCAGTGATTCCATGAAGCCAGAAGCCGGACTCACAATAGAAGTGTAACTCCTTCTCATAACGGTATCATACCATTTGATTTACTATATGTACATGTATATAGGACAAATACATGAAAGGGAAAGATAGGTAAAAATACTGACTTTTCTTAAAGTCCAATGTTTTTATGCTACCCCCCTCGTGAAATGTTTTATTTTTCCTCTGTTATATTGTGATATGAATGAATCAGAGAGTAACTAAGAGTCCTCATTCCAGAGACATTCAGAATGCAAGATTGATACCTACCACCTTAGATTTATTGTGCTATTTAAAAAAAGAAAAGAAAGACAAAGTACCATTAATTCTGCTCTTTTCTGAAAAACAGCTGGTACTCCGAGATTACATGCATGTATTTCATTTTATAAACATTGAAACTCTCAGATTCTGTTTATCAAAGTTGTACAGAGACTGCAGTACTAAAAATTCTTTATTTGGTTTTTGAATATTTGAAATCATCCAAATATAAAAATAACTCAGATTTGTCCTTTGGTACCCTACACTGACCTGGTCTGGACTTGAACCATGGATCACATGAACCATACACACAATACACTTGAGAGCGAGGTCCTTCATTTCTAAGAGATCCTGGCGCTGTTCATTGGCTGGTCCAGACAACTCGTTTGATGACATCATCTGTAGCAGAATATCTAATGTGGCTGGCGTAATCACCCTCAATGCATTGCTCTGAAGACAAAAAAGTCAAATAAAAAAAATAAGAAATGAGAATTTGCATAACTTTCTATAGAATCAGACACCATCAAGATAGTTTTATGAAAACAAAATATTTATAAGAATCTTTCTCAGACAGTTTTTTTCCTCTCCCTCTCTGAATGCTAGTTTGTACCTGTGTTCCACACATCAGAGCCCCAAACAGATGGAGGAACCTAATCTTTAGTGACACAGACAGACAGGGCTTGTTACAGCAGTCTGAAAATCAAATCACTCTTTATACATAGGGCTGGCCATATGTATATATATATAATACAATATATAACAATACATTGGGAAAACACTAAATAAATGTCTAGGTTAGAAAGGAAAACCAATGAAGATTTACCATAAAAGAATGGAACCACCTCCACATGTAATTCTGCTGGCTTGTATGTCATTCGACTCTTGTCAACCACCCAACTACAAAAGTAATATCAATAGGCAATATAAATTGACTGATAATTCTTTCTTTCCAAAACAGTACAAACATGATTTAAAATCAAATGCTGCATGTGTTTATTTTCTTTAGAACAAAGTTTAACCTTTTGAGTCTCTTCCTCCAAACAAAGTAGGGGTCATATAAACATTCAAAGAAATGGACCAACAGCTTGAGGAACTCCTTTACCTGGACTTCTTGAAGATCATTCTGGGTAAGCTAAAACAGAAATTCATAATTATAATACAGCTTTCATCAAAATCCAAATAATTTAATAATTGGTGGCTGCAACTTACTTTTTCTATCAACACCGTTCCTATGGTAACCAGGTATTTCACAAACTGACAGGATCCCAGCAGTGGCACGTTATCATAATTCCTAAAAATAAATAAATTCACAATTGAACTTCAATACCTGAAACAGATATCTCGAATACCATGGATATGTTGAAGCAAGTTGGGAGTCCCTCCACATGTTCTTTACATCTTTTATCTTCAGTATCTCAAATCCTCAGATATCTGAAAGTTTTTTTTGAACCCATCGAGTTCGAGATAATGAGGTTTGACTGTATTTACAAAGCAGTCAAAAATGGAGACCAACATCTTTAAGACAGATTTACAAATAATTCTCATAAAATTATATTATGTGATATTCAATAGGTTCTGTAGCTTAAATGATACACTAATTGGAATAATATCTCCAACATAACCATATCATATGTATGCAACCTGAGAATGCTAAACATACCATTTATTAAATTCAACCTTGAAACATAATTTGTACAAAATATTTGAATTTGTGTTTTGCATATGCATTTGCTGAAAAATTATCATAAAAGAAAGAAAAGAAAAATACAGATAATTTAGGGCAGTGCAATAATATCTATATTTCGGTATAATTGCAATTCGTTGACAAAAAATATTGTATTGCAATACGTTTTTTCAGTACCAATATACTAGTAAAATGTTTGGGCTCTGGATTTTAAAGTAAAATATGAAATATACAATGCTAGAAACGTTTTCAATTGTGCCAAACAGTAAGGTTGCTGTTGTATGGGTGCATTTTGCTGCAAAACTGTAGTGAAATCAACAAAAACGGAATTCCCAGCTAATACCCAGGCCTAAGATAAATCAGTATACTTATATGTACATATCTTTATTTACAAGTACAATGGAAATAACTATTTTACTCTCTGCTACTGTGGGTCTTACCTTGATATAATTATCAAACATTTTACGATGGACTCAGCGAAATGAATATGCTCGAGACTCGAGTCCTCCTGGAATTTCTCCAAGCATTGGTTGAGATGATGAGACAACATCTGTAGCAGGCCATCAGGAAGCTTGGTAAAATGGGGACCCTCCTCCGAATATCTGAGAATGAATGATATTCATTGAGATGACAACATTTAATTATTATTATTACAGGTCTATAAATGATTGTGAAATATTCCTAATAATTAATTTTTCCATGTTTTCTTTATCAACTCTTCATAGGAATATATTGTTATGTATAATAGGGAAAAAAAAGATTTAGAGTACTGCAACAAAGTTTATTTAAAGAGTAAAATAAGGTACAATTATACCCTTCATTCAAATGCAAAAACTCCAAGTCAATTAAGTTCTGGTATGTGTCCACAAATTCATCTATGAATTCCTTTAATATAGCAACATCATTCTGTAAAAAGCAAGAAAAATAGAAATCAACAATATTTCTATAATTCTTAGGTTGCAATCAGAAATGGGTTTATCTTCATAGATTTTGCCCATGTAAACTACAAGAATGCTTTAAAAAGTCTCGGGATCAGATCTGAGTGTTTAAACTGTACATACAATATTGACACAGTATAATTCTCACATCTGTTAACAGACTCAATATGCTTTCAGCCTTTGTGAGGATCTTTTCGACTCAAACTGCAGTATAGTGACTCAATTTTAAAAACACATTCTTGACCAATATACTTGGGGTACAATATTTTGTGCACGTGAACTACACTTAGTTCTCTGTGATTAACATGGTTAAAGGAGACTGAAGTACTGTGACGAAGCATCAACCCTCATTTCAACATTTCATTCTTAATTAAAGTTTATGCATGGTTAAATACACATCATTACAAAGCATCGGAATTCTTTCATTATTATAAAAATAATGTGAAACTATTGCATTTCTGTAAACAATTTAAGGCCTGAATAAAGACTTCCCTCATTGTGTATTACATTTCAGAGGATATTTACACATATATAACCTACATTGCTCTTTTAAAATGCAGTATTTATATTCCCTTTTTTTTTCCTTATATGTATTACATATTATAAAAGATGGCTCCTTATAAACAATTAAACATACATGTTTCAATAAAATGCACAGCCTAACATCACAATGATAAAACATTTCTTTGATAAATAGATTTATAAATGTTTTACATATCAAGTGGTAAAAAAAGCTTAGTGTTTAGACATGTTAGAATGAATGCACTATGAGATATATCACCAGAGGTTGTTGTTACATTGTCATAATGTGTTACATTAACATGATCTTATAAAAATATAACCTTTTGATGAGGTTAATCCCTAGATATATAGACCTTAGGGAAAGCATATCAACTGAAAACAGGGTGCTTTTACTAGGTCTATATATCTAGGGATTATACAGAATCAAAATGCTATATTTGTTTTATCATGCTTCTTATTTTTTATATTGGTTAATAAGAAATGTCTTAAAAATCCATGTTTCTAATTACTAGGCAGTTTGTCTCTAAAATTCTCTGCAAAATTAGGGAAATTAATTCAATCACTATTAGAATATATCAGGCTGTTTTGAAATAAAACTCATATTTTACAATATCTGTCAAGCAGATTGCACATCCTAGTACAATGTATACATATATTTTATTACACATCAACAACTGTACTTTTACACTTTGTTGTTATAAAATAATGTTAGATTTTGATTTGATTAGAAGTTTATTCTTTAATGACATTTAAGACAACAACAACGTACGTCAAGATGGATATTAAAAAACTCAGTTCCGATAACATTTATGCTTTAAATGATTCCTAAGACTTTTATTATAGAATGGATAAAAAACTCCAATAGGCCTATATTGCATATAATGCTTTATAAAATATTGTATTGTATCGTATTGAATTTTTTATTCAATACACAGCCCTATAAGTGTAATGCAATAGAATGATCAAATATATGCTGAAGTAAACCATGATTCTTGCTACAATCCCAAAGCAATTAACTGCATCACTTGTTCTTGTTTAGTTAACTTGAACATAGATCATGACAGATATATAAACATATCTAACTTCATGCATCATTTGAGAATGATAAATAATTCAGTTTACACTATTTATATCACTGTATCTTAACACACCCAACCTTATGTAATTGATTTACTTGCATCACTACATCCTTTTAAACCTTGACATTGGAGTATACAATGTTAATAATACAATGTAAAAGGCTTTTAAAATAATAGAATCTCAGGGACAAATCACCAAAGGAATATGTTAAATAGGAACTATGAGGGGTAAGTTTGATATTTTAATCATGTTTAATGTTAGTTGGTGGGTGTTTCAGATTAATACAAATCAGAGACTTTTCTGTGATGAAATGCTCTTTATAATAAAACGCTGTCTACATAGTGGGTGTGAAGATTGGAAAACAGGAAAAGAATCCCATTCAGTCCAACTTTCTTGTTTACTCGGTCTAACAGTAACAATTATCACAATGTTTCGATTTTGCAAAATGTTGTGTGCTAATAAATGCACGATTTATTAATGTATAGGTAAAGGTGTGACATTGGACGTCCCCTTTCAAGCATTAGTCTTTCCATGCCTATTTTTGGAGAGATGATACAAACTGGTAAACAAAGTTTGGATACCACAGGTATCTCACCTTGGAAGAAAATCTCATCCATATCTGAAACAACTTTTCAGCCGGTGTCAGTTCGGCCATGGTTTTAAAACATTTACTGAATGTTTCAGTGCATCCTATTCCCCTCTTCTCATCATCAGGTTAACAGCTTCCGGCTTCTTGTCACAGGTGTTCATCACCTCTGTTAAACGATTGTTGATTGGCTCATTGGAATTCCTGTTTTATCCCGGTTGTTTTCATTCGACTGCTCCTATTGTGGGGATGATTTCAAAACAGTTCGAGGAAAGGGAACATATCAGAATAGGAAAAATAATTGTAATGGCCTAATCATTGCACATTTAATTATCTGTAGTATTTATGCATTTAGAATGATATGCCCTTAGATTTATAATAGCTGTTACCCAGATTGAAATAGATAAATTCAATATTTTTACTTTACACCTTTTTGTACTTTCAAAAAAAAAAAAAAAAAAAAAAAAATCATGTGTACAGAAGGTACTTAAGCAAGCAAGGTTCTTTTTTATTTACAGCTAACAGAATTTTTGTAATTATAGAACATTATAGTAGAATGATGAATCTTCAGTAGATTATATTTAGGCCTATATATCATGTATATGTATGATGAATATATTTCAGTATAAAGTCAAATGATTCATTAATTAAGGCTCTGTATTTTATTTAAAATCTTCAAAGCCGTAGAATCAGCCCTTGAACTTATTTACCGATTGTGATCAAAGCCATATAAAACATCAAGGATACATCCCTGCAGGTACATGTAATATTCTATCGGGAAAAGGGCAAGAGGGGGACTGACCATAACCCCCCCCCCCCCCTTGTGATCAAGGCCATATAAGAAGCTGAATGTGCATACAGGGTTAGGAGATAGAGGACTACCCATAATCACCTCCTTTAAAAAAAAAAAAGAAAGAAAGAAAGAAACTCATGGGCCACAACGCTCAACTGAGTCAATATGACCCTGCTGTTCTTCAGTAGATTTTTCTTATTATATATATTCCTGTGTAAAAATTTTGATCCCTGTTGTTACCCTACCCTATCCCCAGGTGCATGATTTTTATAGATGTAGCCCCACCCTACCCTTCGGGCTCATGATCATTAAAACAAACTTAAATCTGCACTACCTGAGGATGTTCATTCCAAATGACTTAACATGGCTTTTGCTGTTCTTGAGAAAAAAAATTCCCGTATATATTCCTATGTAAAAGTTAAACTTTGATCTCACATTGTGACCTCATTCTACTCCAGAGGGTAAAGATTTGAACGAACTTGAATCTATACTACCTGAGGATGCTTTCATATCAATATGACTAAACATGACTTGAACAAACTTGAATCTACACTATGCAAAGAAGGTTTAACATATAAGTTTCAAGTTTTCTGCATGGTCCAGTGGTTCTGGAAGAGAAGAAGATTTTTAAAAGATACCACCAAATGTTCACGAATTCTTGATTATCTCCCCTTGAAAGAGGGCGTGACCCTTCATTTGAACAAAACCCTTTGTGGCAAGTTTGGTTGAAATTGGCCTATAGTGGTTCTGGAGAAGAGGTCGAAAATGCGAAAAGTTTACAGAGGGACGAACGGACAGACGGAAAAATGTGACCAGGAAAGCTCACTTGAGGTTTCAGCTCAGGTAAGCTAAAAATAAAAAGATGAATGGCAAGAGAATCCTGTGGCCTTTTACATGGATGGAAGGTTATCTATGCAGATTGAAAAGGTTTTCTCTTGTCCTTATAAGAGTCTACTCTTTCTAGCTAAGTGTCAGTCTAGTTAACTATGTCAATTTGATCAAAACTTTGGAAAATAGACCCTTTATGATTAACACTACCCCATATTCCACCTCCCGTCTGCCAGCTAATGTGTGTATATTGGTGGGTAGGTCAAAAAAAAAATTCCTACCCAGAAATTTCTTGACACGCAAAAAAACAAACAAACAAACAAACAAATAAAAACAAAACAAAACAAAAACAAAAACAAAACAAAAAAACAAAACAAAACAAAACAAACAAACAAAATTCCCTTCCCCAAACGTATTAAACCCAGGAAATTTCTTGACAAGCAAAAACACCCCCCCCCCAAAAAAAAAGAAAGAAAGAAAAAAGAAAAGAAATGTAAAATCCATTACCCAAACGTGAAAATCCCTATTTCGTGGTGATGATAATGGGGTCCACGTTTTCAAGGGAGGAGGGGGTTCCAAAGTCATTTTTTATTTGCTTCAGTATATACTTTTAATAACTCTGCAAATTCTGGGGGGGGGGGGGATATAGTTTTTTTTTCCTTGTTGAAATTTTTATTATTTTATTTAGAAGTAATTTATGTTGAACAAAAACTAATTTCGCCAGTACATGCTCTCATTATCCTGCGTGATCAGATGCTTCTCTTTCAGTCTTACCCGTTCGTTTCGGATACGCTAGGATCTACCCTGGCAAGTTTGCTTACATACTAAACAGTCTCGCTTCTTCATTTCTTGGATGCAGTATATTTCAGGGTCATTTGGACTCAACTAATTATCTTAACTCATTCAGAATTTTAAACACGTCAAATTATAAGAGGGTTATCATTATATCTTATACCAATCCTGTCTACTATAACACTATTCTCTTAATTCTCTATACAACTTTGTGTTTAATAAAAATGTCTGCATCCATAGCCCTATACTTTTGTATTCTACACACCACAGGCCCAGGAAGCAATTTCACTCTGAGGGGGCACAACCATACATTTTCAGTTGGGGGGGGGGGCACTATCAACTACCAAAATTCCTGACAAGTAAAAGCAAAAAAAAAAAAAAAAAAAAGGGGGACATCAGACGTTATTATTGAGGGGGCACAAGCATATAGTAGCTATGTTTTCTATAGTATTCTATATATCGGCAAAATAATTGGGAACACGGCCCCCCATGCCCCCCCCCCCCCGATTCCTACGGACATGCATCAGAAGTAAATTAAAATGAAGGGTAATATTTTTAAACATTTTTTCTTTTGAATTTCTTTAAAGTTATTTCTTTTTTAAAATCTATTTATTCACTTTTTTCCTTTTCTGTATATTTTATAATATATTTTTATTTGTGAGCATATATATGTATTATGGAAATCCCCTTAAACCTGCAAAATTTAATTAGGATCCTTTCTTGAAAACTGTTGACAATCACATTAATTGCCTCCGGGTGCGGATCCAGGAATTTTTTCCAGGGGGGGGGATCCCAATTCTAACAAAAAATTCCTTGACAAGCTAAAAAAAAAACCCCTTAATTCCCCTTTCCAAACGTATTGAATCCAGAAAATTTCTTGAGAAGCACACGCACAAAAAAAAAGAAAGAAAAATAAATATAAAAATTAAAAAATCCATTTCCCAAAAGTGAAAAACACATATTCGTGGTAGTGATGGCGGGGTCCACGTTTTCTAGGGGGGTGGGGGTCCAAAGTCATTTTTTATTTGCTTCAGTATATACTTTTAATTACTATGCAAATTCCAGGGGGGGGGAGGGGGGTCCGGTGGACCCCCCCCCGCGACCCCCCCCCCCTTCTAGATCCGTGCATGGCCTCGCAACATTCTTAAGGGAATGTCAAAGAGATTTGCACTTTGATTAAGTTCACCCTATAGTAAATCTAGACCGGAGAAAGTGGCATGGTTGTTCCCCTATGCTATAGTTGATTTTATGGCACATATATACATTTCTTTCAATTCATTGATTTCGATTGGGAGCACCTATGCATAAATTGGTTGCTTTCCATCCCTTTTTAAATGCATAGATTGCATACATTGATTCTCTGTCCTATATTCTGTGTCATGTTAGCCCAAAGAAGTGTTTCCTGCACTTTACATTTTGAACAGTAGTAGCTGTCTATACACTGTATTTAGATGCATCGAGGAAACCATTGGGAAAAAAGAATAGAAAAAAGACTTGCTTTGTAACATGTGTAAAATTACTCGGAAAAATTATTTCATATATATACAGAACTGAACATTTTATTTCTAATTTAGAGCCCAGACAAGTATGAAATTATTACAATAATCAGATAATAAGGAAAAGATATGCCAACGAACAGCTAGCATAATAATCAGTAAATGACATTGCTCATTTCAACAATACTCGTGTACTGTTTAAGTTCAAAGCAATCTGATTAAAATCAGATCTTTGTTACGCTCCAAAATTCTGATTTTGGAGCGTAACAAAGATATGATTTTAATCAGATTGCCCTCCTCTTCTTCTAGAGGAAGATATGGATCCGCCACCCATTACTTACAAGTTTCTTTCACTGTGTATGATTGGTGAAAATGTTGGAATTTAACCAATCAAAATTGATTTTGCATTGCAAGAATAAGTTTTAAGTGTCATGGCGGACAAGGGTAAGTGAAAAACATATGAAAAGTATTCAAACGATAACTTTTAAACAAGTATGATGTTTTTTGACATTTCAGAGTTATAAAAAGGATCCATAACAAATATATTTTGCTTATCATTTACTAAGTACATGATCTGATCATGCATTGTTCGTATTAAATTGGTGAATCACCTGATAAATATTCATAAAGCAAATATTACTTTTGTTCAAATGTTTAAATTGGATACTTCCTTGTTCACCGTTTACCTTTGTATTAAGAAATTAAAGGCCCACTTATGTATTGTATCCGCAAATTTGGAACGAAATATTTACATTGTTTGATTATGTTCGAATTTCCTCTATTTACATAACCTCAGGCCAGAGGGAGATTTGAACAGGTTGGGACCAATCGCCCAAATAGGCTATAATAACCCATCTGAGATATAAAATCCCAAATGGGATGTAAATTTACAGTGCAAAAAATAAAATTTTTAATTTTGTTATTCCCCTTTTATATCCCAGTTCATTTGGGAGATGGTCCCAACCTGTTGAAGTTTGATAAAATGTTAATTGTTTAACTGAAGTCAAAAGTTCTGATATCATCAAAAAGATCATTGAAATACATTATTTTATCAGAGTTGTGGAAAACTGCTGGTCATGCCTGCAAAACCGATTAAAAGTGCATGTGACTGGTAAAAGCGCCATCGATGTAGGTCAAATGAATGCGGGTGGTTACGTTTCGATTACTTGTTCGACCCGCGTGGTTTCGACACGAATCCATGTTCGACCCAAGTGGTTTCGTTCCCCAGCAATTAATTAACAATTACTTGCTTCGGAACGAAATTAATTAACACTTTCAACAGTTTTACATTTTATTTTTTCGTCTACTTTTTTTTTTTTATATCGACCACGTATATTTGTGTTAATTATCGTATGTAATTTAATTTGGAGAAACGTACATTGTTTAGACAGTGCATATGCATGATATGTGATCACGGTACATTTGAAGAAGTATTTGATTAATTTTTATGGAAAACTGTTTAAATATAATTCATTACTAAATCAAATTTATCAACATTCATGCTCCGCGATAGTTGAAAAAAATGTTAGGAAACCTTCTCACTGCATGTTGACTACACATACGGAAACAACTACCTTTTGACACGCACATCTCTGAAGCCATACAATATACAGCTACCGAATATCCATTTGTTTACCTCACAGTGTATACCCCTGTACTCAGATATTGACATGTAGGGATATATATTAGCAGCTGATTAGAGTAGGTCGAAACCACTTGGGTCGTATCCACGCGGGTCGAACACGGAATCGGAACGTAACCACCCGACACCGGTCAAATGACAAGCCCTTTTTTTGGTTAAGTTTTGTTTTTGTTTTTCCTGTTATCATCACACTTTCCAGCAAAATTGTCCTATAAATATAAAGTGCGATTGCATAATACTTTTTCTTTATACGAGATTGAGGCTAAAGAAAGCAAAACCAGCATGGCCTGTGGCCCATTAAATTTACAACTGGAGTGAAACCAGGTAAAACACATAACTTTGAAATCACTTATCAGGCTGCTCACCTTGCTGCAAAAATGAAACCTCTCCTATTTTTGCCTATTTTGTCTATATCATATGACCTTTTTCTGGGAGAGGACTATAATTCCATAGGATCTCCATATTGAAGCAAAAACATAAATTTTAATAACTATGGGTGACATCAGGCAAAATAGATCATTTTTGAGTGAAGTTTCTATCGGATAAACATGGTACATAATTTTTCAATAGTAGCCATGTCAGACAGATCTCGCATCATTACCTGTGACTTAAACTTAAAATTTAAATAAATATAGGTGTAGACAAGTTAACCTGTGGTATGCCAATCACTAAAATATAACTAATTAAATGCATTCAAGATGGAAAGGATAAATTCCTACAACAAATGTCAGAGGCAAACTGTAAATGGACAACAAAGCCTTTTTAATATACATGACAATACATGTGGACATCCCATTGATTATTCTTTGGGCCAGGGAATGCATTTTTATGCCACATGAAATTTGTATTCATCGATAATCTAATGATATCAATTGTCCACAAATTGCCTTATACAACGTGTTCATTGGAGTGGAGAACACTAGAATTCTACATAAAAAAAACAGTTGTTTGTACATGTGAGAAGAGAAATATCGATAATAATGTACAAACCATTTCTAGTCTTTGAAATGCAGCATGGAAAAATACTGGTAAATGTGTCTTTCCAAGGTCTGTTTTTTTTTCCAAAGCATAAAATGTCTCTATTTTTAATTTTTTTTTGAAGAACTTAAAAATAAATCATTTTACCGATTCGTCAGTTTATAAGTCATGTTTCTGCCTCATTAGCATTTCCATGACCTGTTTGTAATGGAGAAGGGTAATTGAATTTTTATGTTTTAAACACATCATTTGAACTTCATGAAGATTTTCCTGATCACCACACTGTGATTTTCTGAATCTATATACATATACTGTACTAATTTCTGAAACTGATGATTTAGTACACAGTAAATATAATAATAAAAAAGTTCCTTGTAAATCTATTTTGTTTATATTGTCTGACTGATCCAAATAAATCACTATATATTTAGCTAATGGTAGAAGGGTATATATAATGAACTTATTAGCTGTATCACACCTTAGTGACAGGCCTGGATCATCAGATCAAACTGTACACTTCCTGTCTCATTTGATCTGATGATCTGCGGCCATCAACTCAACATGATCTGGCTCGTTTGATCAAGCAACTGTATCTTTCGTTTCAGGACCATATTGTTTGTTTCTCTCTGTACAATTGTGACACAAATCAAGGACAAACACCCACACCCTATATTTGAGGGTGTTTTGGAATGGTGTACTGTTAGCCAACAAACTGGACCCAAATGATGAAACCCTCTATGCAACATGTGATGTAAGCGCCCAAGATGGAGCCCCAAATGACCCCAACTTAGAGACCTCAGAAGCTGGCTGTTTGACTGGTAAGAAAAACCACTTAGCAGTCTTTGTTAAAAAATGTATAAATACCAAATATAAATAACTCTTGAGGGTTAAAAATCGCAATATTGATGGTAGATTCTGGGACTATAACCTATTACTTCAAGTATATGTGACAGTGACAAACCATATACAGTCAAACCTTGTTATCTCAGACTTGATGGGACTGAGAAAAAACTTTGAGATATCCGAGGGTTCAAGATGTAGAGCAGTGATTCATTTTGAAAATGGTTATCATGGGTCCAAAGGACCCCTCTTAATGACAGCAATGAGTCCCGTACCAAAATCAATGCGTCCAAATCGTACCGTATATTAGATGTTACAGAGGAAATTCTGTTGAAATAAAAAGGGGTAATGCACGAAAGTGCAAATGTTTTATTGTAGTTGTGAGTGATTTATATTTTTACTATCAATTGTCCAAATAAGAGTACATGAGTTTTTGTCATAAAAATAATATATTGTCCACTGTGCACTTTGGTTCTATTTTTAGATCGTACATACGATCTCACACATTGTATCAGTCATAAAATGCACAGAAGCAGAATGAAGTGAAAAAAAAAAAGCGTAAGAAGGAATGATAAATAGTCAGAAATAAAAATGATTAAATTTTATACTTCTTAGCTTTTATGGAAAAAAACGAAACGAAAAAAAAAATAATGATACAGGTTACAGCTTAAATACAAAGGTATAGTATTCGCTTCAGAAACGTTCCACCGTATAGACATAACCATTGATTATCAAACTATGCTATCTAACTTTCAAATATTTTCTGATAATTGCTTTTAACTTGAGTTGTGAAATCTGACCTGTTGTTGGCAACTTTATACCTGTTAAAATCGTTCATGCATATCGTTTAGCACGTGGATATGATGCAATCTGTCAAGTTTTGAATCAGATTATACCGAAATAATTTAAAATAGTACATGTCCTTCTATAAATTTATTGCGTTCATTGGGATGCACATTTATTGAAATAATGCTTCCTGGGCAAAATTTGTGCGTAATTTACGCAGGATGCACACCAAAATGAATCACTGGTAGAGGGTAAAAGACATCAACAAAAAGTGGTTGGGACTTCCAAATAACTTTATATGTCCGTGGTATTCAAGATATCAATGTTTGAGATACATAAGTTCAACTGTATAAGAAAAAGTGATATAAACAAGTTTATGCTAAAGCAGACTATAGCAGTTTTTGAATAAATGTTAGATTTTCAAAACTGATTAATCAGTCGCATAAGAAAACTGGTCAGAAATCATTGCTATCAAATTAACTGATCAATTACTGTGTACCAATTGATGTTTGTATTCCAATGCATCTTTATGCTATAGATATAAATATGGTACATAGTAAAACATTTAAACTTGGTGTTAGTTTTCATTGAGACTATACTCATTATCATCGTCTGTTTAAATACTTTCATATTTGTATGCTATGATTTTATGATAATATACAGGTAATAGAGGTATGGATGGTAAGTGTGAAAGAAAATGTATTCATGAATCAACCATATTTGGGAATAAAAACTAAAAAGAAAAGGATAACTCAGGAACAGTAACTCTTGCATCCCTGTATTAAAGATAGTCAACACCTTAAACTGTTAAGAAGAATTGAACTAGTCAGAGATACCATATTCCAGTTGGTTTATTATAACTGAATAGGGATGCCTTACTATTTGAACAAAATTTCAATACCAAATCTTTAAAAAGTTGCTTGTTCTTGCAATTACAAAAGTAGTGGATGAGCCAAAATGTATTGAATAGTCCATCAACTTATATGTATCAGCCAAGGAGTAATTTTTGTGTTGGAATAACTCCAGTTTGGATTTTTTCCTCAGGAATTGTGCAAATCGGAACAAACTCATCAATATGATGTGTTCCCATGGCAGCATTTTCTTTAACTATAAAGACAACATCCAAAGCAACATGGCTTTTTAATTAGCATTGAACTTTTATCTGAGTATGATCATATTTTTGTGTACAGGGGTATGAAAAATATGCTTTGATTGTGGAAAGTATCCAGATAGAGGATATATTTACAGGTATATATTATACTTTTTCGTGAATTGTTGAGAAAAACACTATTCTCTCTGAACAAAACCATGCCCTCCAGCATGATAGGATTTAGCAACAGTCAACATTGCTTGATGAAGGGTGATATGTTCCCAAAAAATATTGACTGCATGGAATTTACGCTTGCACGCTTGACCTTAATTTGTACAATGTATTTGTATTAAAACATTCAGTATTACCATGGTAATATAATAAATACTGCATGTAGTTGAGGGTTAACATTGAAAAATTTCACTCTAAGAAAAACCATTGTCAACCGAAGCACAGCCTTGGTTGACAGTGGTTTTCTTGGGGTGAAAATTTTCAATGTTAACCCTCAACTATATGCAGTAATGTGTATTTATATAATATATTAATTAATACAATGAAGAAGTTATGGACCTGTAAATCTTGTCCTCCTTCAATTTTGTTTGTTTGTTTGCATATATACACTTCACAGACTTCTTTCTATGGTAGAGCAAATTAAAAAAAAAGTTTTATGATCATGAACAAAGAGGGAGGTTTAGCCAAGATAAGAAAATGTCACATGTATGTTACATAACCAGGGGTTGATATGGAGAGAAAAATCTCAGGATTTTGCTAAGTTTGCAGAGAGTACATTTTTACCTGTACGTTCATAGTGACGTAGGTATTTAGGACAGGATATATATATTCTACAAGTGAACTTGAACTCACCTGTGCAAATGAATGCATTTACCATTAATTTGTTTGGGAGGTATGATAACACGATACGTATATAAATATAAGTACATCCATATCAAAGATCACATGTCACCTGGATTTATATAAACAGGTAAAGATTTATGTACATTGATTTTAATACTAATACATGTTTTTTTTGTTATACAGTGTATTTAATAATTTTTTTACACGATAGCATTGATAAACATATTTCACCATATTATTAATCATGATAAGTGTCCAAATAATCATTACTTACTTAGACTATATTAATTACTTTTACCTCTGTGTATAGATTTACATTTATAAAATTCTTTACAGACATTTTATCTTCTAGATCAATATAGACAAAGCAGGAAATATTACCCAGTTCACATTCATTATTACAGGGTTTTTTTATTGTTAGATAACCTAATTCCTTTCTTTTTCAGTGATATACCACTTAATATTTAGATTTACATATAGTCTAAAAATGATTCTATAATGAACTAAGCAAACTGCAGTGTTTCCTATTTTGACTAAGAAGGAATATAAAATTGCTATTTCAGGAAATCTTGCTGAATATTTTATGCATTATGTAATTAAGTATCTAAAGTGGGATTTTTTTTTAAAAATTTGATTGAAATTATGAAGGTTTAGAGTTTTGTAATTCATGATTATGAGTGTATAATTGTAAATACATTGATAAGATGATGATAGTCACATAATGTAGTAAGACAAAATAACAGAACTAAGGGTCACAAAATATAGGAATATAATTATCATAATGATGACAACATTATTGAAGTTCACTCATGCAGTACTGCATAATTATTTAAGATTAAAAAAAACAACTTAGTTCTCATATATTGGCATAAATTAATGTGGTGTATTAAATACTTTAAGATAGTGAGACAAAAGTCTAATGCGGGAAGTATGTTTTTTTAAATTACTCTGAAAAGGTTTTGTTAAATAGGATTGCATTTTACAGAAGTCAGATTGGACAATGTGTTTATATAAAAAGCATTTTGATGAATTATCCATAAATGCAGTGCACTCTTGGAGGTAAATACTTCAGAATTCTATTTATTGTCCCACTGGCATAACTCCTCATTTTATTGACTTTCAAGACATAAACTTTGAATTCTAAACTTGAATAAGTTGTGATGAAACATGATGGAACTATAAGGATTTGAATTATACATGTACGTATGAAACAGCAAAATCACTTTACATGATTTTTAGCTCTACTGGTCAGAGACCAGAAGAGCTTATGTGATAGTAAGGTGTCCGTCGTCCGTCCGTCTGTCTAGCTGTCTGTCTGTCCGTCCATCTGTAAACAATTTTTCAAAATGCTACTCCTCCTACAGTTTTGGTCTGATTTCAATATAACTTGGCACACAAGTAGACTACACTAAGGTACATAATTCTGTATATCGGTTTTTGATTTCAATGAACGGTGTTGCCATGGTTACTAAAAATAGAGATTTCTTGGAAATACTTTCAAAAGGCTATTCCTCCTACAGTTTTGGTCTGATATCAGTATAACTTGGCACACAAGTAGACTACACTAAGATACATAATTCTATATATTGGTTTTTGATTTTAATGAACAGTGTTGCCATGGTTACTAAAAATAGAAATTTCTGTGAAAAACTTTCAAAAGGCTACTCCTCCTACAGTTTTAATCTGATTTCATTATAACTTCACACACAAGTAGACTATACTAAGATATAAAATTCTCTTTATCGGTTTTTGATTTCAATGAACGGTGTTGCCATGGTTACTAAAAATAGAAATTTATGTGAAATACTTTCAAAATGTTACTCCTCCTATAGTTTTGGTCCAATTTCAGTATAACCTGGCACACAAGTAGACTACACTAAGATACATAATTCTCTTTACCAGTTTTGGATTTCGATAAACAGTGTTGCCATGGTTACTAAAAATAGAAATTTCTGTGAAATACTTTCAAATTGCTACTCCTCTTACACGTTTTTTTCTGATTTCAGTATAACTTGGCATACAAGTAGACTACACTGAGATACATAATTGTCATTATTGTTTTTTTAATTTTGTTGATTGATGTTGCCATGGTTACTTAAATAGAAGGCTACTCTCTTCCTACAGTTTTATTCTGATTGCAATAGATATTGCTACAAAAACAAAACAGACAAAACCAAGGATCATTATTATATTTATTACTGTAGCAAAGTTTCAAGTCCAATGCTACTTTTATCTTTCTTTATAAGTACAACCAGTAGAGCTACAGTCTCATCAGAGACTTCTGGTTACTTACTAATTACTTATTCCTAATTATAGTAAAATTAAGTATTATAGGGTTATTTAACTTATATTGGTAAATACTGGCACAAGTTGGCTGTACAAATGCATGAACTTACGTGTGCATTTGTACAGCAAACGAGCGCCAGTATTCACCAATATAAACTCTATAACTCTTTCATTATATAACTCAAGCATTTTCCTATTGATTTATATTAATTATTATTTAAATGAAATAACTTGAAAAATAATGAAAATTACTCAATATCAGTATTTACATTGAAAGTGTGCAATATTAACGTCTGTCCTGGAAGTGTTTCAAATGACCCTACCAAAGGTTGTGATATGCTTAATAGGTTTTTATTGATCGAGGCTTATAGACACTAAATTATTAACTAACAATTTAAATTTTGTGTAGAAATAGACCCATCTTACGTAGGTGCCATTACCCATCTTAAATATTGCCGGTGAGCGATTGACCAGATGACATTTTTTGTTTACAACAGCACGTTTGATATTGTATGCTCATGTTTGAAATGTTTTGGAGCTTACATAATGCAAACTCTGCATTCAATAAAACACCAAGATACTGAAGGCTGAAGTTCTCTAGACTTCTAGTAGTTTGTTTATTAAAGATTACTTATTAGCTTTATAATAAAAATAAGTTATTTATTTACGTATGTAAAGATTGTCACTAAAGTCCATATTGGTAAGAGAGAGAGGGAAAGTTCACAAAACTAATTAATTTAAAAAAGAAATCAATATTTCTTAATTTAAGCTATTTAAATGTCATGTCAAACTGTGCTATGAAGTTTAATATATACTAGAAGGTACAGAGGAGGAAAGTTTCTGCACAATCTTTAACTTGAATAATACTGAGGAACCATATTTAACAAGAAGCAAATAAGTTACTGTCAATTTATTCGGTTATGTTAGCTTTGATAATGATTAAAACACAACATAATCAGTATTAATATTGGAACACATCCCAGACACTGACTTCAGACAGAGTACAGTTTCTGATGCAAGTTATGCGCATCAGTGTCGATGATCCTGAGAATCAATGTCATTGAGGAGCTTTTGTATGTAATACAATGTTAAAGAGAACAGAGTGTATGTTTGTGATGTAGATTTCATAGGGATAAGCCTACAGCTGGTAAAAAATGTGGATATTGTCATATGTATTATATATAATATTGTGTGTATTCACTTAATATTTGTCATAGACAATTTGTAGGATGACTATGCTATGTCAGAATTTTTTGGTGCTTTTCGATAGACACATTTAATAATGTTTGATATATACAAAGAAGTTTATCTATAAACAACTTGCCTTTTTAAATAGCCAAGATATTTACTTTAATCTGTGTTTGAGCAAGTTGTTTTAAAGCAAAACTTCTTTGCCCCAGATTTCTTGGTTGGTAATGTAATGTCCCACATGGACCATAATCCATGTCTGAATTTAGCAGTACATATTAATAATTCACAGACATATATGTAACTATATAAATACAAAGACATCCCAATTTCTGCACTTGGTTTTTTTTTTACTGGGTACAGTGTATTAATTTGATATGATGTTTTCAAAGGCTGTCTTTATACGCTTTATGTATAAAATTCTTTGTTTTTTTTTTTTAGATGTGTGTAATCTTGCAAACCTCCCTGAAGTAGAAATCCTCAGTCTAATCGAGGAGCAGATCCCAAAGTATCGCCTGCGGGCCGACACCATCACCAACTTTTGTGGGTACGAGAACGAGGACTGGATCCAGACCCCCCTTATCCCCATTGACGAGGATCTTGAGCTCTCTAATGACCAGATCCAGGAAACGCTTAAGTACTTTGGTAAGGAACTGGGAGGGAATTCATTATGGGAGGGGTGTGTTTGTTAGGGCTGGATTTTGTTGACAGTTACAGAGAGAGAGAGAGAGAGAGGGGGGGGGGGGGAGGCACTTTAAAAAAAACTGTTTACCATGGACTGTTTTGTGTAACTATTGATTTTGTTGTACACTGATATAAAAGAACTTACTGAAATGAATTGAAGCAAGAACTGTATTGTCTGTGTGAGATTGAGTGTATAACAGAAATTGCTTCATCAGTATATGTATTGGGAAGGAGAATTTTTTTGAGAAATCATCTCCTCTCTCTGTGAATAGCTTTATTGACTTGTTAAAGGAGTTCTTGGATGAATTTCCTTATAAACAACAATGTGATTATTTCTCTGTAGAGAGATGAAAACATTCTTCATCAGAAGTTTTACTCTAAGTCTTTTATTCTTTTATGAGATTTACTAATTACTTTGTTTATTTACATAGGCATATTTTGAAATGTGTAAAAATGGCTGTGTTTTTTAAAGAAGATTATTAAAGTTCAGTTTTACCTTTAAGAAATTTAGTCCTATTCTTACAAGTTTTCTTAACACTTTTGAACTTGCTTGAACTACTGTGACCTATAATGTACAAAATTACAGTATATGGATCTATGTGTGCAAAAATGTTACTGAAGTGGATAATTAGATTAGCAAACTTGCATTTTTATATAGATTACATATACCTTGTGTATGGGAATTCAATAGGTCTTAAATAGTTCATCTAAGCCAATTGATCCATTCATAATGTATGTGCGAAACAAAGTTCTGTTCCAATAAGTACAAATGTTCTTTTCAATATACCGTGAGTATGTTAATGTATTTCTGATGGGTGTCACTTTCTGCAAGTTACGGGGGTGAATTTAAACTTACTGACCTAAACCAAAACTGAAAAGAATATGGTAACAGTTTTTGGGGTATAACAGTCATTGATTTCAATCAAAGGCCTATTTGTAAGGTGTAAAATTGTTTTGGCAAAGTGTCTTGCTTTAAAATTTCAATGGCTTTTAATTAACATATAAATTAAGATTGGAACTCTGCCATGTGGTGACTTAAAAACAGAGTGTTGAAAAATTCTTTGTCAGACTTGGATTTATAAATTATGGAATATTAATTGCTAACAGGATTATTTGATTTGTGTACATGTAAAGCTATTCAGATTGCATGAATTGACATAATTGGATTAGCATCTTGCTTGTTTTTGTTTGTTCACATATAAGTAACAGTTTAGGTTTGTGTTTATTTGAATCAAACTTTGACTCATCATAGAATCTTGACAAACTTGATAATGCTGATTTAGAATTACAAGGAGACTCAATTCTTTCATCTAGAATATGCTGGTACAAAATGGGGGAATGCGACTGGTTTCATCTATAATTCCTTCATGAAATAAGGCATTGTTTTGCAGTATATACTTGTTGTGTGTATTGAATGAAATTGCAACATCAGCATTTAATAATCTGACATCAATTCTTTGATTGGATTAAATGTCATTTACCTTGCGGATTTTGAGATTTCAGATCTGGTAATAATTCTGATAATAGGTAAAGGACCGGATTTTAATTCCAATATTGATGTGACTGCTCTGCTTTCAATAGTTGAGTTTGAACATGTATGCAAAAAAGTACCGAGAAAATTGATGCTGTTTCCAATAGCAACAGATGGGGACCTGTCATTTGACGGTGATTTCCTGGAATATTGGCTACCTGGGAATAATTTCCCTCATGGAATATTTATCCTGGTGACTGACTGTGTGTATTGGTGAGATGGCAATAGATTGAGTATTGATCTAGTGATGTGTATTGGTTAGACTTGTATTTGGGTGGATGTCGGCTTTGTGTAACAACTCTCCAGCATGTGTACTGGGATTATTGACAAGAACTATGGGTATTAATGTGTGTTCCCCAAGGTGACAGAACCATGGTCATCCCATTAACACTTCCTTTGATGAAAAACAATTAATTTAATGGAGATTTTGGAAATGTTAAAAGAGGGCAAAGAAGCTTAAATTCTTAGGAAATATGAATTTCTGTTTTAACAACTGGCTTTAAAGTTTAGTAAAATGATGCTTTGAATGTTTACTCAGTTAGTAGTGAAAAATAAACAAAATTGTGAAGCTTGAATTGCAACGTTTATTTAACAATGGAGTATGGATGATCAGTTTGAGTCGGGGAGCAGTGCAGACAATAACCTATGGAACCTAGCAGGTACTCAGTTATACAGTTAATCTCCATACACGGGGGTTTTGGCACATACTGCATGTCTTTTATGTAGACTGCATAAACATTATAATACACTCCATATATAGGCGACGTCAAAAGTTTATCGGCATGTTTTGATCTTTATTTGAATATGAGCCAGGCATTTAAATACACAAGATTAGTTCAGCAAATTCAAAACATTAAAAAGGAAAATTTTTGTGTCAAGTGTTATGTAATTTCTTAGAAATGAAGCATGCTAAACTAGATTTTTTTAAGCTTTGTAAACTTGACAAACATGTATTAATGGAAGTGAAAGATCCCAGTGAATTCAAATAAGGTTGAGAGATAAAACTAAATCATCTGGGTTAGACTATTTTGCCCATGATTACTCTGCCAACTGGATTTTAATACCAGGGTACATGCACAGGTTTATGCATAATACTTCAAGAAGTTAAGCTAGTTTGTTATTGGCAGAGTTTGCGTGGGTTGGCTGAATTTTTCATATTTTATGGTAAGGTTTTGGAATTGTTCATTTGAGAGTTATTATATCTTTATAAATAATTTTAAAATTAGATGTTAGATTCTCATTCTCAAATATTCTAGCTAGTAGTGTGTATCCCCATAGTACTAGCTTTGCAGTATTACCTAGTATAATGGGAGGGAAAGTTTGTATAATTGTAGAATTCTTTAATCTCTCAGACTTGGTATGGCCAGTAATTAAAAAAAAAAATAATCAAGGAATGAATTTAATAGCTACCCAAGTTTTACTGGTATAACCTGGGTTGGGGCAGTTTACACTTTGTAAACCGTGAAGCGATTTATAAAAAAGCGTAAACTGTTCCAACTCAGGATATACCAGTAAAACTTGGGTAGCTATTAAATTCATCCCTTTTAATTTAATTTTCCATCATTAAGTGTAATAAAGTAAGACATTTCTCTTCAAAATGCCTTCAAAATGTACACATTCTAAATATAACGTCAAGCAGATTGATACGTTTTTGATGTAAGTAATTGTGACGTAGGCAACCCAGGTTATACAATATAGTTTCTAATTTTTTTGTCCAATCAAATGACGTGTTACAACTAGGGATGTCAATTTTGTCAATAATTAATATTCGAATATTCAATGAAAGTATTCGAATATATTTGAATATTCGATAAAATAAATAAAATCTGTTTTATTTCAAATGTGCGTCATGAAAGGTTAAGCGTAGGTATACTTATATTGGAAGTAAAATTGTATGAAGACTTTTGCAGGTGTACAATAAGAAATTCCATTTGATATTTGTCAATGTTTGAAATAAATAATTGATTTAAATGTAGAAAAGTATAATTTTAACAAATGAAACTTGTATCTATAGTAGGAACCAGTCGTCTTACCAAAGGCAAGATATAGTCGTAACGGTATACTGTTCAGATTTCATTACGTGTAATGAATTACAATTATCTGCCTAATAAGAGATATGATTATAATCTTTGATACAATGTAAACAAATATTTCCATAGACAATTTTCCTAGGTAATTAACTAATTTCCTGATAATGAATATAAAATTCAGGATTATGTACAACCCGAGATAATCAAGTAATTTACACATTTATTCTGAAATTAAGCCCTTTACAATATTAAATACAGACTAATTCTGTCGGACACCCGTTCAATGCAATGATCAATTAATTTATACTCTTCATGCCTTTTAGACATTCTAAGATTTCATTTTGTTGTCCTCGATTCTAGATCCGATCATATCTAACTAAAAAAAATATGAAAGTACGTTTTGTATTATACATAAAGCATTATTGTACAATTCTTTAACACCTTACTCAAAACAAAATACATGTAATTAATAGTAGATCTATAAGATAAGAAAGTAGTGAAAGAAATCAGGCGATCAAAATTGATCGCTAGTAAATTAAACAGGGATAATTCCAGCACTGTTCTAATCAAAATTTATTAATCACAGTACTTCTTTTTATGAAATCTGAAATTTACCGAATATTCGAATCTTAAATTCATATTCGAATATCAACTCATCGAATGAATATTCGAATGTTTGAATATTCGTTGCCATCCCTAGTTACAACCAAAATTAAATTATTAAATAATAATGCAGGAATTTGACTTCTAAGTACATAAAAAGAATTTGCAAAAAATCAGAAAACAATAAAATGTGCTTCATATCAATTGAAACAAAATCATCGCAAAAATCCCTTTCTGCTGGCTCAAATATGCGTTTTCTCAGTTGTTGGACAAAATTTCAATTTTGCAGGATTTCTTCTTTGTATATGAATGTGAATAGTATGTAGAGGGTATTTATAGGCATTGCCTGTTGCCCAATCTATTCATTATTTTGAATAAATATTGTTTAAATCAATAGTATGTTTGGTATTTGATTTTTCTGTGGATTTTATGAGATATGGTCAGAAAGCAAAACATTCTTAATAAACAAGTTTATTTTTTATTCTTGGCTAAAGATTCTGTGATAAGAAAAATTGCAAAACTTAAAACTTTGAATCTGATGAGAAAAAGATTTTAATATTACTGGTAGTTAAAATGCAGTTTGGCGACTTTGATTGCTCTACATGTATCCATAATGAGTATGATGACCACACCAATTACAGATATGTACCGCTATTCAGATATGAATAAGATTATGAACTGGTTTCTCCCTTTTACACTGAAAGGTGTCATATGAGGACATCTTAATAGGTCTTACATTAATGAATATTCATGAAATCTTTGTTCTATAATGCATGTATCTCAACATTTGATTTGAAATGAGTAACTGGTCTGGGTAACAAATTTTTCGATGAATCTGTTTATTTTTTAATCATAGGACATTGTCAAAAATTTGCAAAATTACAGACCATATCACTTTAAGTCAACACTTGAAAATGACAGAAATTAGATTTTGACAGAAGAAAAGGATTCATTACTTGCTAGAAGGAACAACTTCACCCTAAAGATAACACACTTAGAAATGACCTCCTGTTTGGTATCTCTGGGATGCACATTTATTTCATTTTTGTTTTTTTTTTCAGTGCTATGTTCGGATCGTGTGACCCAGATGACTAAGACATATAATGATATAGAAGCAGTTAACAGACTTCTGGAAGAGGTACATGTAAATCCCTCACCACACAAGTATTGGTTCAAGGTTTACCCCTAAAAGAAACCCAGTTAAAAGTACATGCATGCACAACAACTACAGAACAGAAAAGGGGGATTTAAAAAAGACATGCAGAGTTGCAGGTTCATTGCATTAAGATCAAGGCATTGTTTGTACAACATTTTGACAGGAAGTCTTTTCAAATTTATGATGTCTGGCTTTGATATGCAATGGAGCCGGAGACATCCTGCAATATAAAAAAGACCAATTTGAGATACGACTTTCAATAATACCACCTTTTTACGTAATTTTTATCATTGATAGAAATTGCAGAAGTTTAATGCATCATTTGACATACAGAGAAATTTATAATTTTATTTTATTTTGCAGAAAGAAAGAGATTTAGAATTAGCAGCTAAAATTGGACAAACTTTACTGACAAAAAACCAAGAACTTTCAGAAAAGAATGATGTATTGGAGGAACAGCTAGTTCTACTGACAGAAAAGGTATATAATGGCAGCAATAACGGCATGCCGAGATAACGGAAACAATAACAGCAGTGATAACTGGTCAATCTCGTGCAATTTTGTTTGCAAGGGCACCATGTATAGGGGCAAAAATAAATGTTATATAGTGAATATTTTACAGGTTAAATCTTAAGATGCAATACTGAAGGCTTGTTTAAAATTTTAGTCAATTTGAATGCCTACCATTGTTCATAGAAAAAAGGAATAAAACAAACACATAGATTTTAAGTCCTATTAGGATAGTGACTGGTTCCTACACATGTACGTTTGTGTTTATGTGAGTGTTTAGGTTTCATATCAAGAACACCACCTACCCTACAGGACAGTATCTGATACCCATATGTGTGTGTGTGTGTGTGTGTACGCGGTATATGCAAATGGTTAGGTTTCATATTAAGAACACCACCTACCCTTTCACTCCCATACTCATTACAAAGATGATAGTTGGCTGGAGGTAGAGCCCAAATAAATGGTTATTTGATGAGGACCTTTTGTCGTAATTATTCCTCTCATATCTAATTGCTGGAATGCTAGGTTATTAGTAAAAGAAACTGATAGAGTCAGGTAGTCAAGGACAAAATAAGTGATTGGATATGTTAGTTTAGATACAATTTTAAGTTTTTGTATGACCATAGTCACCACATAGTGTTATACAATATACTTGGTATAAAGATTATAGATTGAGGAAAAGGGTCATGTCAAAGTCAGAATTCAGATTAAATATTTGTAATGTTGTGAACTTCACATCAGCATGATCAGTTTAACATTTGAGAAATTTTGTTCAGATTTTAAAATCAGTTTAGGAGGGATGTTCCACTCTGCAATACTTTTGTTGAAATTGATGTACAGTTGATTGCAGGTGTGAAGGGACCAAAAACTGCATGGATCAATATAATCCTGTATAAAACTTAATTATTATGTGAATGTTTGGATTAATGTTTGGATTTTAAATTGTAATTCAATTCCAAATTTGTTTTAGAAATATACATTATAAAATACATAGAAATACTTTGCATTTTAACTCATCATCTGTGTTTTTTTTTTTGTAGGTAAATCAAATCAAACATGAATTATCACTGAAGGATGGTCTACTCCAGGCATTCTCAGAAACAGCTGATTTGTCACTCAGCGAGGAATCGTCCAGGTAACACTTGACTAGTCATCATTACAGAGTTTACAAAGAGCATTAGTTTTATCCAAGATTTCTGTTATTATTTGTTAAGAATGTACATTAATGTTACTTAATTTGTTTTTTACCTGTACTTTCATGAGTTGGTACATGTAAGTTACATGTTTCTAATTACATGACTTGTGTAGATGTATAATCTGTAAATATAGTAATGACAGGTGTTACATTTTCTTTCATTCATATTTTAGTTACCTTGACATGATTTTCACCTGTGTCTGTACTTAATAAGTGTAACTTGAATTGTCCCCTGATATTTTCAGCAGCAGCAATGACTGTTTACAGCACATCGGAGGAGCTTGTGCTTTACAGACAAAAGTTAAAGATCTGGAGGAGGAAAATCTCAAGCTCCGATTAGAGGTCTCTGTTAGATTTAGCCTAAAAGTCCTTTATCTCTAGAGTTAATATTAAATACAAGTAAATAAATGTTATTAATCCAAAAGTTGAAATTTTAGGACAAAAATTTCAAATTGAAGAACAAGAAGCAGCTATGAAAAAATTAATAAGAAACTGATAAATACATATATATGTTAATGATTGTGTGTATATTCATAATTTGAACAGACTGAGCAGCTTTCTGCAGAAACCTCGAAGTATGAAGAGAAAGAGCAGAGATTAGTGGACGATTGTGTGGCACAGCTAAGTAAGTAAACATAACTCTTTAGATTTTTATCCATTGTTTGTGACATTGCATACTCTTTTACTAAACAAAAATAATTTATCATCAGATGCCAAGAAGAAGGAGTTGGACCTTCTGGTTGAAGATTTATTGAAGAAGACGGAGGAATGCAGTGGTCAAAAGGAGGAAATCACCAACCTGCTGGCCCAGGTGGTGGATCTACAAAAACGTATAAAAATCGTATGTATTTCTGTACTTGACTGATGGTGGATACACAAAAACACAAAAAGCTGTCGTGACAATTGGTGGACCTAATAAAACATTTAAAGATCATGAGGGTTTCTGTCTGCAATGGATCTGAATAATTTATTTTCTTTTTTTTTCCATTGTTGTTAAGAAGTTTTTATGTATATATATTTTATAATGAGATTACGTTCATTACACATATTTGATAAATATATAAATAAAAAAAACGTCTTCATTAATTTCATTAAACAAATTTTTGAAATGCCATCAATGTTTTCATAAAATATTTATAAAATGTCAAATGCGCGTGCTAAATTGCATCACACGCAGATAAGACATTTTAGCTTTAAGTGACTGATACCAGGGTGCAATAAGATATATGCTCTAGATCTCTAAATATAAGGCTAGATAATGTGTATTACACTGTGGGTAAGGTAAAGAGAAAAATCAATATTTCCCGGAGAGCTACGTGCTTTAGATGAGGATGTCAGTGGTCTTGTGTGACAGAACAAATCTAATGTAATGTATGGATTTACTGGATAATTATAAGATATTTATTGTAATTATATGTGTATATAAATGTTGTTTTATTTATTGTAGGTGACTTTGGAGAATATGGAGTTACAGAAACACCTTGAAGCTTCACAAACTGCTCAAAGAGAACTAACTTCAGAGGTCTGTAGCTAATCACATCCATTCATTCATTAATCTGTTCTTCATTAAATCTTTCATCATTCTTTCATTCATTCACTCAGTCATTTGTTCATTCACAATCAATTGTTCATTCATTCACTCATTCATTCATTCATACATCATCATCCACCCTGATCATGTATTCTTTTAGAAGTCTTTTTATTTATACAGTCATTCATTGAGTTTCATTTTATTTCATGCCTTAAGGGAAAAAAATACCCCTTTGAAATAGGTCTTTACCATGATTGTTTCTGTTTTTTTCCAAGATGCTAACCACATTATTAATATAGATTACTATTTTCTTTAATGACCAGCTTGCCAGTCTGAAGGATAAACATGATGAGATGTGTGCTATGTACGAGCAGGCTCAGGAAGAAATCCGTGAACTGCGACGTAAACAGAAGCCTGGGGCCGTCAGACATAACTACATGTCCTCATCAATGCTCAGTCTCCCATCAGACTCGCTGGCCTCAGAACTAGAGAGCTCGCTACGGAGCGAGTGTGATTATCCCCCAGGTTACTCACCAGCTGAGAGAAAGTAAGAAAACTTGGACTGTCCTCTTTTTAATCAAATTAAATTGGGGTCCTGTGAATTTACTTTGCTCTATCCGTAATTTGTTATGTCTGTATAATGAATTCATTAAAGTACATGCATATATAGTGAAAGCACAGTACATTTAAATACATGTATGTCTGCTGAATATGTTCTAGGAAGTATTAAATATAAAGCTTTTTGGAGAACTAAAGTTTTCTGAAGAATTTAATTTCATTTATAAATACTTACGAAAAATAATTTCAGTTTTTTTAAATTCTGTGATTTTTAAAAATTCACTTTAAAAGATATATATTTTGATATTTTTAACCTCTACAGGACATGAAATCAATTTCCTATATCTGTAAATATGTTATTTCTGCCTTTGTTATAAAAGTAAAATTTTACAAAGAATTGTTAAGAATTTTGCTGGGGATCCCAGAATTCTTTGCTCTATCTGTTCACTATATCTTTGTTCATACTAAAGGAGTTTTACCATATAACCTCACTGGGAAATATATCGGGGTAAATTCTGTAAATGCCTTTAAATATAAAAAATGTACTTGTTATATTCTTTCTGCAGAAGCAAAAAATTATTTCGTTCTTCAGAGTACACAACTGGAAGATCTTTGAGACTGCTAAAGCTGCGCTAAAGGCAGGAAATTCCCGCGGCTCTATACCTGGATCAAGAAGTTCTCTTGCCCCATCTGTTAGCCCGAGCATGCTGAATCTAGGTCACAGTCCCCCCGGGGCCAGTAGCCTGGACATGAGTCGTAACGACAGTGGTGGAGAATCAGCATCGGTTTCTACAAGGAGTTCTATGTACTTTGCTGACGTGGAGGGAAGTGAAGCCCCATCAGATTTGGCAGGACTCAACAGTCTGTACAGGTAATCAGAAAACAAGATTTACAGCATTCAGCAATATACAGGTGTAAATACTTAATTACAGGATTTTCAGCATTTAGCAGTCTGTACACAAGTAAATAGGTACAGGACTCAGCAATCTGCACAGGTAATCAGATAACAAGATTTACAGCATTCAGCAGTGTACAAGCACAGGGGCTTGCTCCCGGCGTGTAATAATTATTTATTTAAAAAAATCATATACGTTAATACTAAAACTACACAAGGGAGGACGCCATTTTGGACCCCTACCTCGCTTCAACCTCTGTTTTCGTTATATTTTCCCGTATTCTACTGACTCACCGCCTCGGATCTGTCAAGTAATGATTCTTCTAGGACATAATACAGGTAAACTTCGGTATCTCGACATCGGATATGTCGACAACCTGGGATATGTCGACATCCTTCCGCGGTCCTGGCAGTATTTACTATATAAATGATTTGCAAAAACTCTGATATGTCGACCTCGGTAATGTCGACAACCCGGGTTATCTCGACGTATATTTACAGTCCCAAGAGCAAAATTTACCTGGTATATGTCGACATCGGCAATTTTCTGCTCTACTGAACCTAACTGTTTGTCAGATAGGGTCGCTCGTCACGCACGGACGACTCCGGGTATCTCGACGTCGTCAAAGTTTCACACCCATGTTTTGACTGCACGCTGCTTAATTAATTTTATAGACTGTGTTTGTAGGTGAATCCCAAGCCCCTTCGGCGTCTTTGAGAAGTTGATTGAGCTTGGGTAATATCATTACTAAATCTACACGATTCTGTAAATGTACAGAATGTTATTTATATCGAAACGTAACATAACTTTTAAATTTGAAAAAAGATAACTAAATAACAATGAATAAAAAAACACACTGAAAAATTCAAACTAAGGAATTAAAAAAATGTTTTAATGATATTTTGTAGTTAAAATGTATTCAACAGGAAACAATCCAATTAACGACACGATTGACCGAATCAGCCGTAATTCGTGCATCTGTAACATCACTACGTTAGTTTAGATACACAAATCTCTTTTAAAAAAAATTAATTTTAATGTATATTCTTCCAGAATAAAATAAGAAAAAAATAATCCGCATTTATATTTTTCTTTTACCGTATATCGGATGTCGACTTTATACGGTTCGAAGTTTATAGAGCGCATTTCGTATCCTGTTCTGACGAAAAGGCAAGTTACACGCGAATGCAGCTCAATGCTGTAACTTTGTGCTGAAACTTTGTGAATTTAGAAATATTTCGATAAAGAACACGTTTCATAAACAAGATTTTTAAAATAACTTCTTAGATTTTTAATTAAAATAGAGAGATTCTGAAATATGTTGAGCTACAGTCTATATTAAAGTCATGTACATATAATAAGCTTGTCTGTTTGTCCAAACTCGCTCTTTAGGACAGTTGATAGGGACAGAAAACGAAAACACATTCGAAAATCTCGGGGTTTTTCTACTAGTTAACACAGCTGCTAATTATAAATTTGAAAAAACCGCGTTCTAATTCCGTATTCGAATGTAAAACGCCGAGGTTACTTTCGTTTTCTGTCCCTATCAACTGTCCTAAAGAGCGAGTTTGGATTATTATTAGTCTGAAATGTGTATTGTAGAGGCTCCAAGGGGAAAATTTAAGCATTGTGTCCTAGAAGAATCATTACTGTACAGATCCGAGGCGGTGAGTCAGTAAAATACGGGAAAATATAACGAAAACAGAGGTTGAAGCGAGGAAGGAGTCCAAAATGGCGTCCTCCCTTGTGTAGTTTTAGTATTAACGTATATGATTTTTTTAAAATAAATAATTATTACACGCCGGGAGCAAGCCCCTGTGGTACAAGTAAACAGGTGTAAACACACAATTACAAGATTTACATCATTCAGCAGTACAAGGTGTAAGTACATAATTACAGGATTTACAGCAGTCAACAGGTAAACAGGTTTAAATATAGGATTTACAGCATTCAGCGGTGTACAGATAAATAGGTGTAAAAACAGGATTTACAGTGTTCAACATTTTGTATTAGTAAACAGATAAGCACATGTTTTACAGCATTCCACAGTCTATATAGGTAAACAAAAGAACGAACATGAATTATATAGGATTTAACTTTAAGGTCTTTAAAACTGTTTGCTTGAAAATCAGATTTTAGGGAAAATTTTAAAAAGTAATTGCAAACTTACAGGTAGGACTAAATGTTGTTTTATTTGAAGGAAAACTTATAACCACAAAGACAATTCTTTTGTAGGAATGAGAAATGTCAGTATGGTAAACCAGGGATTCCAGGGTCGAATGACCTGGAGACGGCTCTACGTAAGCTGTCAATAAGGCGGGCTAACGAGCTTAATGAGCGTGACTTCAGGGAGGATGAGGAGAAAAGACAGAAGGAAAGGAATAGGTATGACGTGTTAAGGCAGAAGTAGGCTGGGTAGGGCCCAGATAGATGGAAAAAGAAGTTTTAGTGTTTTGTTTTAGTTTATTTCAGGGATAATAACATAATGACTATGATTGCAGAACAGTGACACTATAATACGATAAAAGATCAAATTTGTCAGGATCAGTAATTGTGTGTTGTAGTTTTGCATTCAAGTTCTCATTAATTTGAAAATGATATAAATCTTCTGAGATACATGTATTTGTTAATAAGATTAAGTTAAAAAGAAGAAAAAATTTTCTCAAACATGAACATCTTGCTGACAATATGGCTTTGATCTGACAGGACAGACAGTGATGTATACGACACCCCGGGCACCTGTCGGACTCCTGACAGTACCTTATCTACAGGAAGTGGTCTGTCACAGTTCTCAATGACAGGAAGTAACAACCCCTACTACCGTCTCCCACAGAAACTCCGAATCATCAAACCACTTGAAGGTACAGACAGACTTCAAAAGATCTCAAATTGAAGTTGCAGCATTTAACATGAAATTAACATTTTTTATCCCCCAAAACATAAACTTTAGTTGCCAGAGATACTCTCTAGATTCAAAACTCATAAATATGATAGACTTGAAGTAAATAATTAGTTTCTTGTGAAATGAAATTGATTTCTTGCACATAAATTTTACATGTACCTAGAGGATCAATTACATGGTAGTCAAGATAAATGGTAGCACAAGTGTAGTATCAAAAATATATATGCATGGAGTTATATATACTGTAAGGCACTTTTCGAGTCTGGTTTTGATGTGAAGGGCACATTTTGACTGTTTGGGGGTTTTCTGTACAAGTTTTGTGACCTACATTGATAGTTGATTAATATTAAGGGCACCTGTTGACTGGCTCTTTGGTTTTCTGTATATGTTCTGTGACCTACATTAATATTGGATTGTTGTTAACTGGTTATTTGGTTTTCTGTATAGGTTTTGTGACTTACATTGATATTTGATTGTTGTTGAGGGCACCTGTTGACTGGTTCTTTGGTTTTCTGTACTGGTTCTGTAACCTACATTGATAGTTGATTGTTGTTGGGGGCACCTGTTGACTGGTTCTTTGGTTTTCTGTATAAATTCTGTGACTATTACTGATAGGTGATTGTTGTTGAGGACACCTGTTGACTAGTTCTTTGGTTTTCTGTATAGGTTCTGTGATGTACATTGATAGTTGATTGCTATAAGGGGCACCTGTTGACTGGTTCTTTGGTTTTCTGTATAAATTCTGTGACTATTACTGATAGGTGATTGTTGTTGGGGACACCTGTTGACTGGTTGTTTGGTTTTCTGTATAGGTTCTGTGATGTACATTGATAGTTGATTGCTATAAGGGGCACTTGTTGACTGGTTCTTTGGTTTTCTGTATAGGTTTTGTGACTTACATTGATATTTGATTGTTGTTGGGGACACCTGTTGACTGGTTCTTTGGTTTTATGTATAAATTCTGTGATGTACATTGATAGTTGATTGCTGTAAGGGGCACCTGTTGACTGGTTGTTTGGTTTTCTGTATAGGTTCTGTGATGTACATTGATAGTTGATTGCTACAAGGGGCACCTGTTGACTGGTTCTTTGGTTTTCTGTATAAGTTCTGTGACTATTACTGATAGTTGATTGTTGTTGAGGAAACCTGTTGACTGGTTCTTTGGTTTTCTGTATAGGTTCTGTGATGTACATTGATAGTTGATTGCTATAAGGGGCACTTATTGACTGGTTCTTCGGTTTTCTGTATAGGTTTTGTGACTTACATTGATATTTGATTGTTGTTGGGGACACCTGTTGACTGGTTCTTTGGTTTTATGTATAGGTTCTGTGATGTACATTGATAGTTGATTGCTATAAGGGGCACCTGTTGACTGGTTCTTTGGTTTTCTGTGTAAGTTCTGTGACTATTACTGATAGGTGATTGTTGTTGAGGACACCTGTTGACTAGTTCTTTGATTTTATGTATAGGTTCTGTGATGTACATTGATAGTTGATTGCTATAAGGAGCACTTGTTGACTGGTTCTTTGGTTTTCTGTGTAAGTTCTGTTATTATTACTGATAGTTGATTGTTGTTGAGGACACCTGAGGCCTGTTCAACAGAGCGAACGATCGCGAGTGCTCGCGAACATTTCCTTTGGAAAGATAAGGAATTTAGGCGAGCGCTCGCGAATGTTCGCTCTGTTGAACAGGCCTCTGTTGACTAGTTGACTTTGGTTTTCTGTACAGGTTCTGTGACCTACATTGATATTTTGATTGTTGTTGAGGACATCTGTTGACTGGTTCTTTGGTTTTCTGTATAGGTTTGGTGACCAACATTGATAGTTGATTGTTGTTGAGGACACCTGTTGACTGGTTCTTTGGTTTTCTGTATAAGTTCTGTGACTATTACAGATAGTTGATTGTTGTTGAGGACACCTGTTGACTAGTTCTTTGGTTTTTAGCTCACCTGAGCTGAAAGCTCAAGTGAGCTTTTCTGATCACATTTTGTCCGGCGTCCGTCTGTCTGTCCGTCTGTCTGTCCGTCTGTCTGTCCGTCTGTCTGTAAACTTTTCATATTTTCGACTTCTTCTCAAGAACCACTGGGCCAATTTCAACCAAACTTGCCACAAAGTATCCTTGGGTAAAGGGGATTCAAGTTTGTTCAAATCAAGGGCCACGCCCTCTTTCAAGGGGAGATAATTAGGAATTACTGAAAAAATAATGGCATCATTTAAAAATCTTCTTCTCAAGAACCATAGGGCCAGGAAAGATGAAACTCATGTGGAAGCATCCTCAGGTAGTGTAGATTCAAGTTTGTTCAAATCATGACCCCCGGGGGTAGGGCGGGGCCACAATGGAGGATCAAAGTTTTACATAGAAATATATAGGAAAAATCTTTAAAAATCTTCTTCTCAAGAACAGCAAAGCCATGATGAGTCATATTTATATGGAAGCATCCTCAGGTAGTTTAGATTCAAATTTGTTCAAACCATGGCCCGCGGGGGTAGGGCGGGGCTGCAATGGAGGATCAAAGTTTAACATAGAAATATATAGGAAAAATCTTTAAAAATCTTCTTCTCAAGAACAGCAAAGCCATGATGAGTCATATTTATATGGAAGCATCCTCAGGTAGTGTAGATTCAAATTTGTTCAAACCATGACCCCTGGGGGTAGGGCGGGGCCGCAATGGAGGATCAAAGTTTTACATAGAAATATATAGGAAAAATCTTTAAAAATCTTCTTCTCAAGAACAGCAAAGCCATGATGAGTCATATTTATATGGAAGCATCCTCAGGTAGTGTAGATTCAAGTTTGTTCAAATCATGACCCCCGGGGGTAGGGCGGGGCCACAATGGAGGATCAAAGTTTTACATAGAAATATATAGGAAAATATCTTCTTCTGAAGAACTGCAAACCATGATTAGTCATTTTGATATGGAAGCATCCTCAGGTAGTGTAGATTAAATTTTGTTCAAATGATGACCCCCAGGGGTAGGGTGGGGCCCAATGGGGGATGGAAGGTTTTACATAAGAACATATAGAAAAAATATTTCTTCTCAAGAACAGAAAAGCTATGTTTAGTCATATTTATATGGAAGCATCCTCAGGTAATGTAGATTCAAGTTTGTTCAAACCATGACCCCCGGGGGTAGGGCGGAGCCACAATGGAGGATCAAAGTTTTACATAGAAATATAAAGGAAAATATCTTCTTCTGACGAACAGAAAAGCTATGTTTAGTCATATTGATATGGAAGCATCCTCAGGTAGTGTAGATTCAATTTTGTTCAAATGATGACCCCCAGGGGTAGGGTGGGGCCCAATGGGGGATGGAAAGTTTTACATAAGAACATATAGAAAAAATATTTCTTCTCAAGAACAGAAAAGCTATGTTCAGTCATATTGATATGGAAGCATCCTCAGGTAGTGTAGATTCAAGTTTGTTCAAATGATGACCCCTGGGATAGAGAGGAGCCACAATGGGGGATCAAATTTTTACAAAGGAATATATGGGAATTTTTTTTTAAAAATATTCTCAAGTACAAAGCCATTTGTTATATTGACATGGAAGCATCATCAGATAGTTTAAAATTCAAGTGCCCCCCCCCCCCCCCCCCCCCCCCCCCCCCCGGTCTTTTCAATACTGAACTGATTGTGCTTTTGCCTAGCCAATGTGCTCAGGTGAGCGATGTGGCCCATGGGCCTCTTGTATGTACTATAGGTCCTGTGATGTACATTGATAGTTGATTGCTATAAGGGGCACCTGTTGACTGGTTCTTTGGTTTTCTGTGTAAGTTCTGTGATTATTACTGATAGTTGATTGTTGTTGAGGACACTTGAGGCCTGTTCAACAGAGCGAACGATCGCGAGTGCTCGCGAACATTTCCTTTGGAAAGATAAGGAATTTAGGCGAGCGCTCGCGAATGTTCGCTTTGTTGAACAGGCCTCTGTTGACTAGTTGACTTTGGTTTTCTGTACAGGTTCTGTGACCTACATTGATATTTTGATTTTTGTTGAGGACATCTGTTGACTGGTTCTTTGGTTTTCTGTACAGGTTTGGTGACCTACATTGATAGTTGATTGTTGTTGAGGACACCTGTTGACTGGTTCTTTGGTTTTCTGTATAAGTTCTGTGACTATTACTGATAGGTGATTGTTGTTGAGGACACCTGTTGACTGGTTTTTTGGTTTTCTGTACAGGTTCTTTGACCTACATTGATATTTTGATTGTTGTTGAGGACACCTGTTGACTGGTTCTTTGGTTTTATGTACAGGTTCTGTGACCCTCAGACAGTGGCAGCAGCTAGCCACACCTAAGATGGACAATCTGTTTGAGTCCAGACCTGGAGTGGCCACTAAAGGAGAGAGGAAGCTGGACGTAGAGGTGGAGACGTATAACCTCAGTGACTTTGAGGAGGATGGTAATACAAATCTTACTACTCATTATAAAGCAGTATTCACCAGGTTGTTATTACTGTAACAGTTTAAGATTTATCTTTAAAGAAGAGAACAATTCAAAACTGAAGTGTTAAATACTGGTCATTATATTAACTTTGTCTGATGTAGAGAAGTAAGATGTATATTTTAGAATGTGGAGCTTGTTAGTTAGAACTTCACCAAAGAGTTTACATGTTCCAAAGCAAATACCGTAATCAAACAGCAATATCAGTAATGGTGTAGGTAATTTTCAGTAATGTATGTGATTGAGTGACTTTCATTATAGATGATTACCAGGAATGTCCAAGTAAACGGTTTGAGGAGAGTTCTACCATCAATACAGTGACAGACTCCAAAGTCCGACATCCATCAGACTACAGCAGGTAGGAACCAACATAATATACAGCATGACTTCTGTATGATTGTGTAATACTGTGTAGTTTAATAGCATTATAATTATTTGTTAAATGATTATCAGTTTATTATTTTAGTCCATTATTGTATTGAAAATAAATTTTATTTTATCAACATAAATTAAAAAAAAAAAATTATCATGCACTTGAAAGCATTCTCTGTCCTCAATTATTAGAGTTTAAATTCTTTTTCTATTTTTTAATTATATTTTTTGTTGCGGAAGCCTGTTTTTTGATTGGTGTGAATTTTTGAGTTTGATTTGAATGTTACTTTTAAACAGTGATGAGGAAGAGACACTATCTGAATGTGATAAAAATGAGTGAGTTATCTCCTCTTGAGTGACACAATAACTGGGATAAGATTGCTCTGTAGTGCTACTGATCTATATATAACCCATTACTGTGTGCATGAAATATACACCTGATGTAGTCCATGGTTAGGCCTTTATATTTGATTTAGCATGCATTTGTTTTATCCTTTAGAGATATCTGATCTGCACAAGCAAGTTTTTAAAATTAGAATTTTACAAAAAGAAATCTGAAATTTCATGCATTCTCCTAGAGTGGCTATGTTATTTTTAAAATTTTTCCAAATATCACCCTTTTCTCAGCCATTTAAAATTTAAAACCCTATTAATGCATCTATCCCTGCTCATGTGCATTAATGAGAGCAAATATACTATCATTGAAATAGGACAGTACAATGTATCAGTATTAGTTCACAGCTAGATCTGCTGATGCTGTGTGTCTGTGCTTATTTGCTTCATCTGATGAAAACATTGCATGTAATAGGTGTAGTCCTTACATTTTCCAGAACCAGGCGAGTTCATTTTGCACCAGGTACAGAAAGTGCCGTGTTCTATTGTTCTGGTAATGCTTTAGACTGTTCAATAATCTGTCACTTTAAGTGAAACAACGTGCAAGATTTCACTCCACATTTTTGTTTGTTTTTTCGATGTCACTGCATGCATTTCTGTTTATATGAGGATTTTGGTTCGGAAAACAATCTAACAAGTTACCACATTTAAATACAGTGGTGTTTTGAATTTACATGAAACAGGTTTTATTTTGAATTAGAAACTTTTATAATATGGAACACAAATTTTTCTAAATGCTATATAAACCAACTTTTATAAATATGTGACAAATATCTGTGAGATTGGCAATCAACTTCAGCTCACTTAGATGGTTACTGAAAAAGTCAACCTCTGTTTTGAATTTTATTAGTCTCAGACTGTTTTTTAGTGGGCAATTCACAAATATAAATTAAGATGATATGCACATCATTGGTTTACAATACAGATAATTTATATAGTTACCCATGAAATGTGAGCTTTATTCAAGGTACGATAATTATTAATAATTTTCTGACTACAATGTCAAAAATGAGAAATTTGGTTAAAAACATGGAAGTCGATATCTATTATTTTTATTACTAGTATATTTACTTATGATATTACTAAGGATAACTCTTGAATTTGTATATTATGTTCTTTTTTTTAGCCCCAGAGTTACTCCAACATCATTTACCTCAAGAATGGCAACAGGTCACCAAAGTCACAACAATGCCACTAGTACATTCAGTGTATCAATGGGGCTGGCATCCATTCTGAATGAGAGAGATCTTTTTCCACCATCAAAGGATCCGAAATGTAAATCAGAACTGGCAGGGAATCCAGAAAGGGTCGACAGCATTGTCTCCGATTCCCATTTTGAGTTTTCCAAAATCACAACGTCTTCCACCTACACCAGCCAGACAGAAAGCAGGACAGAGGTGTCTACTGGACTAAGTTTACCCACTTCTGGTACTGATACACCAGAACTGAGATTACCCCATCCTTCTGCTACACCGTATAGGGGATTACCATTTGATCATCTTAATCAGGGCACACATGTTTTAATGGACACCCTGAAACATACTGGATATTCAGTCTTAAACTCTAGGTACCTTGGGGGAATTCTAGGGTCACAGAAAAAAGAGACAGACACTGGACCTTCTTCTGTGTCCACTACTCAGAATCCAGTGTCTTCAACAGCTGACAAATCTGATGTAATTCATGTGACTGCTGGCAGCATGACAAAGACTGAAGTGTCAAGAATAAGTTCCTTGTTTGGGCGTGCCCTTCCAGGGGGTGTGTCGGGGGCATTAACACAGCTAAGGCAAAATGGGATCTTCTAAAGATACAGCAACTAAAACTCAGTAGAGGACATGATTAACAGAGACATTGACTCTGGGTGACGGGTTACTGTGGTGTGTGCCTTATCATCTAGCATTATAATTGTTTTCACAAGCATTAAATATCTACCTTTACCTGCGTACAATCATCTCTGTGGCATTTTTTGTTATTTGCTTTAGACGAATCATTGCAATTTCCAGGTATCTTAGTAATAACCACCTTGTTTGTCATGACCCTGTCTACTTGTCTATACATACATGTACATGTATTTAGTAGAAATAGGAATTATAGTGAAGGATTTAATTGGTACCAAACCTTGCCAAGGCCTTTAACAAGGTCTGAATTGTCTCACACTAGTCAGGATTTAAAAGCATTTACAGGAGAAATTTGGTTATAATTTATATTTGCTCGGTGGTATACATTTTATCTACTCCCCAGCAAAGTCTTAAATTAGCTCTTCCACAAGGTTAAACATTTAAACAGAAAGGAAATCATATAGATTAAAAGTAGAAGTGGAACTTTAGAACTTTTGCTCATTTGGTGATCTCAAGGGTTTTGTTTGAATACATGAAGGTAAAAAAGTTCAATTATTGAATTATAGTTAGTGAATTGTTCACATCCATGTAGGAGTTCCAGTGTCAATAGACAGACTGTAGATTGATATTCAGTCCATCAATTAGTGCTAGTCCATGGTGGGTTATTAGCAACCTTGTCATTTAACACAATATATAACAGTTACGGGCACACTGCAAATTCTTACTGCTGCTTAATTTTTCCACGATGGTTGTGGATTAATGTATCCAAGTGTGGAGTCAGTATAAGTTCACACACATTTACATCTACCTGCTTTATTAGTTAAGACTGATGTTGTAGTGTGGACCTGCCTATACAATCCTCAGTGAGGGAATTCAAGTCCATTTGTGCTTGTTTAAGTTTTCACTGTATACATTACTTCCATTAAATGATTTTGCTGTAGACCAGTAATTAGTCAGGGACTCCAATGTTTTTGTGATATAAGCTTTGTGATCATGTATATACTGACTATATATATACTGTAATAATTGTGGTGATCGTACTTGGAGTGAGATTTATCTTGAGTTTTATAAAATTGGCAATTAATGGTCCAAGACACAAAGTTGGGTCAGAGACTGACATAGTTAGGGCTGTGATGTGTCAAGTGTTGTACTAATTAAGTTTTGTGCTAATTGATACTGTGATTAAAGTGAGAATGTCAATTTACTAATGAATTTCTACCTAGTATGAAGACAAATTGGGTGCATTGTAAGAATCTCAGTCTCTTATAACAACACTTAACTGATGTTTAGTGTGAATTACAGCTGCTATAATGTAGATTTCCAAAGGAATGTCTTTCAGAATGTCTGGTTCATTTAATTGCTAAAATGACCCTTGTCAAATTTTTAGACATTGAAATTTAATCTACTACATGAAGTGTGAAAATGTTCAGAAAAACTGAAGTTCACGAATATATGTATGTATAAATAAGTTCACGAATATATGTATGTATAAATAAGTTCATGAATATATGTATGTATAAATGTAATATGCAAAAACTGAAATTTTAAAAGTACATGTAATATGCATGACTTTAATGTTGAGTCTGATTTGTTTTATTTTCCTTTAGTGGTCGTATCTGTTCAATGTTGATGACAGTTATCTGTTCTAAACGTTAACATTCACCTGTCATTCATTCAGACAAGAATTTTTGTAATCAAGTGCTTGATTTTATGTCCATTTTTTTTTTTTAAAATAAAGTTGGGTCCATTGATTTGTTTATTCCCTGTTCTGGAAGTTAAGCGGATTCGAACAGGGCCAGAATTTATTTGACAAAGAAAGCTTGTCACTGATGAGAATTTTTTTTTGTGTGTCATGACTTTCCTATTTTGTAACCAGAATATTTTGTGTTGTGATATATATTTTATTTTTTATTCCTAGGATATATTTACATTAAGGGGATTAAATAAATGTACATCTACACCTGTAAGCAGAATCTTGTAATCTTGATAAGGACAAAAAGACTGCAGGTCCTTAGTCCTAGGGCTGATTGAAATCTTGTTTGTTCAAATGTGCCAAAGTTTTAAATTCATTTCAGATAGATTTTTAGTGTATATATAATTGTCTAGAAGTACAATGTATATTCTGATTAGTGACTAGAAAGCTGTGTCTTAAGTTCTACCCTTTACCTGATTTTGTACTTAAATAATATTTTCCCAATAGCAGTAATGAAATCACTTTTTAAAAAAAAAAACCTTCAAATTAAGTTAATGTACTTGTACATGTATGTCACTTACAAATTCTTTTCAGAATCTTGTAAACTAATTTACAGAGTTTATATAAATGACATGTATTAATTAAGCAAAATTGACTAAATTTCCTGACAGATTTGTTGTTATGATTTGCGGGCTGTTGATTGTGGGATTATCTGATTTAGACTCCCAGTATGGGTGCTAAACTTGATGGAGGAAGCCTGTTTTTATTGTTTTTCTTTGATTACTATGCAACAGACCAGAGATTTAATATGTTCCCTGGATTCTGTTATAGAAATAAACAAAGATTAAAATATTGTTTTTTATTGTTGTATGCAGATGAACAAGGGTGTATCTGTGCCCTGCAGGATAAATACAGTCTGGTAAAGAAAACATTAAGAACTTTGGAAAGTACAGACAACTATGAGTCAGTGTGAATGGTAACAAAGGTGACCAGCTACTTGAGAGAAAAACTGCTTCATGTCAGCTGTCAAATTAGCAATATGAAATTTTGAACTTTGGTTGAATCTGGTCTAGATACTGTCCTAATAGTTAAAGATATGAGAAACTGAACTGTGGTTGAGTCTGCTTTTAGCTACTGCCCTAACTGTACAATATACATTAAAATATGGTTGAATCTGGTCTAGATACTGTCCTAACTGTACATGATGCACTGTACATGAAACTGAACTGTGATCAAATCTGGTCTAACTACTGTCCTAACTGTACAAAATACTTGAGTATGAGATATGTGAAACTGTCAACTTTGGTTGAATCTGGTCTAACTACTGCCCAAACCGTATATGTGAAACTGAACTGTGGTTGAATCTGGTCTAACTACTGCCCTAACTGTATATGTGAAACTGAACTGTGGTTGAATCTGGTCTAACTACTGCCCTAACTGTATATGTGAAACTGAACTGTGGTTGAATCTGGTCTAACTACTACCCAAACTGTATATGTGAAACTGAACTGTGGTTGAATCTGGTCTAACTACAGCCCTATCTGTACAAGATACACGAGTACAAGATACGTGTAACTGAACTGTGGTTGAATCTGGTCTAACTATTGCCCTGACTGTATAAGAAATGTGAAACTGAACTGTGGTTGAATCTGGTCTAACTATTGCCCTGACTGTATAAGAAATGTGAAACTGAACTGTGGTTGAATCTGGTCTAACTAGTGCCCTGACTGTATAAGAAATGTGAAACTGAACTGTGGTTGAATCTGGTCTAACTATTGCCCTGACTGTATAAGAAATGTGAAACTGAACTGTGGTTGAATCTGGTCTAACTACTGCCCAAATTGTATATGTGAAACTGAACTGTGGTTGAATCTGGTCTAACTACTGCCCTAACTGTATATGTGAAACGGAACTGTGGTTGAATCCCCTGATCTCTCACACGTATACTCTTTCTCATATATATATGAGCCAGTGAATGTATCAGTCTCAGATAAAAACTAGGACCGATATTAAAGCCAGAGAAGGGGAGAATGGTTGATGTTTTTTGTTTTTTATAAAGAAAAAGCTTCCTTATACAAAGGCTTTAGCATCTCAATGTATCTCAACAGCATACTTATTGAGCATAATTCAGGTTTGTTCAAATCATAACCCCTTGGGGGCACTAGAGGGGTCAAATTTTTTTTACACAAATCCTCCTCTGAAAATCAGCAAAGTTGCAATTCGTCAACTGACAATGAAGGCAGTTTATGTTTTAAATCTTTTGTTCTGACAATGAAGGCAATTTATGTTGTAAATCATTTGTTCTCGCATGACTTCCTGGACTTCAGTTTGGTCAAAGATGGGGTTTAGGGTTTATATATATGTATAGATACATGTGAGAGATAAAAATAATCCTTAAGAAGAGAACATCAATTAAATTTAATGCCTTCATTCTCATGTAGATTCAATTTCCTAGTCATGAACCTAGAACCAGGATAGGTCCACAATGGATTTGATTTCTGATCATGCAGATTCATTTGAATGTAACAGCAATGAGAATTGAATGAACATGATAGCCCTTCAGATTCTTGTTAATTTTTACAAACACTTCTCAACCAAAGCAGAGATTTAACTATTTATTTGTTAACAATAATGTAAAATTAGTCACAACATAAAAATTGTACATTTAAATAAACATTAACAAGAGCCCATGGGCCTTGGTGGTCACCTGAGTAATATTTTCTGAACAAACTCACTGCACACTTTTTATTTCATTTTTTTTGTCATATGCCAGCTTCTCAAGATACAGCATTGGGGAAAAACAATTAATGCTCAATTCTCTATATAATCATGTGACAAACTTTGTCTTTAAAATGTCCAATTGTAATTAAAAAAAAACTTTTAAAAATTTGATACATATTCAATTAATATGAATAAAGTAAAACACAGATTCCTTGGTTATAACTGTGTGAACTGTTTATCTGCCAGATGTGCAGGTAATTGGGGGGGGGGGGGGGGCAAAAAACCCATCAAAATGAGTTTAAATATTTTCAGGATTTTATTCCATCCCGGGTGGCCTTCAAGAATTGGGAGCTAATGACTTGGAGAACACATTTCCCCTTTTCTAATAGATACTATGTCATTGAAATTTCATATTAAGTAAAATTTTAGCGACTAAGAAGGGACGGGGGGAGAGAAGCAACTGAGCTCCTTCTTAGTTGCTAAAAATTTTACTTAATATGATCTTATTTACTTAGAACATAACCCATTTTTTCATTGGTTGAGCCTAAGCTCTGCACCAATTAAATTTTTCTCTTTCATCTTTGTTAGTCAAAGCTGTCAGGTGAAAATTATAGACATCACTGTGAACATAGAAAATTCTTAACGATTAAGTGAATCACTTAATAGAATATTTAGTGATTGCTGTCTGGATGAAAGAGAGAGTTATGTTCTAATAGCAGTAGATCAAACAGGTGACTCAGCTGAGCTAAAAATTCAAATCGCAACAAGCTGAGACATTTCAATTGTAAAATAATCAGTTAGAATACATAAAAAATATTCCCAAGGCTTAAAAATGCCTGCATTGATAATTAAATTTTAACACAACTTCACCTTCACAGCATTAAATAAAACATTTACTACGCAGCATTTTCTTTATACTTAATCTGTAGGAACTAATATGCTGAGGTCAGTAAAATTTTGTTCCCAGAACCAGGGAATTTTCATTTATTGATAGTTACCTGATTTTGACTTGGTGTTTTTAAAGTCATTGAATGTAAAATTTATCTGGCATATATACATGTAACAATTTATAAGAAAAATTATATCAGTGATGGTCCCTATATAAATTTCTACTGATCTTTATGACATACAAGGGGCTTCAAATATAATTGAATTGTCTTGTCTGTATGGAAATCAATTTTTTTCTATAGGATTAAAAAATTCAGAAAGAGCATAATGAGTACCAGAAGTACATCAATACCTGTATATTTTTAGTTAAATCAATACATTAGACAATCATCCATAAACAGGACATTTGACTAACTTCTGGGGCATATGATGGTCAGGTTTTGATGCTAGTCAGGATCCTATTAGGTAAGCATTGTGGCCTAAGGGCCTCTTGTTCAGTCCACTGCAAATATTGGCAAAATAAATTATTAGTTCAAGAAAAAGGGATAGAAATGGATGATCCCAAACTCAGAAAACTTAATCTACAAAATTAAGAAAATGTAAATATATCAAAAAACAACAACAATGCTGGATTCTTGTAAACATGGACATTAATATACAAAATATGTTCTGATATTATGCATGCATCTGAATATAAAAATACTTCACTGCACTTTCGGAACAGCCTAATAAGTTAATTATTAAAGATAATTAAGAGCTCAAGAGACTATAAACTTTGGCACTATGATAATGTTAAAAGTATAATTATAATATCACAAAAATCTCTTGAGCTTTAAAAATAAATGAATGAAAAAGCTATAAAACACTTCTGAAAAAATATAATGCTAATTGTACATGTATGACATACTGTAGATTCCTAAATATACGCGAGGAATTAATTATCGCGTAATTACGCGAGAAGCACCACTCGCGAAATAAAATTTCTAGCTTTTATTTTTATGGTGCTGAAATCAATGTAAAATCCCTTGATCAACCGTCCACTCGCAAATTATTGTTTTCGCGATTTGACATGAAAGAGCCATTTTGCGATAATAAGTACTCGCGAAAAAATAAGGAATCTACAGTACATAATCTCCATCCAATCAACCTAGCTGTTTTACACCAAGGTGCCAGCTAAAACAACCCTGAGCTATATGAGACAAAAGTATTTATATAAAATGGTTATTTCCTATATATTATAATAGAGGAAACTGTAAACATCTTTTTAAAAAAAATATAAAGTTATGCAAAAAAAAAAAAGACATTAAAAAACAAAAATCAAAAACAGTTACAAATGAGTTAAGGCTTATGATGAATGATAGTCTGGGCATTTAAGGCAACATGGCTGGGACTTCCAATTAATTCACAATCCAAAGTACATGAGATACAATATGGATCCACGATTGAGATACCAAAGTTCAAAGTTCAACTGTACACACATGTATTTAGCTAAACTGCTTTAATTTGCAGTTATTAATTAAGTAAACCTTATGTCCAATCCTTTTATAAATTTCTAGTGTGCCATTATACCACAAAGGCGGATCCAGCGCCAGGTGTCCCCCCCCCCCCCCCCCCCCCCCGTTTGAATTCTTTTTTTTTTTTTTTTTTTTAAATTTTGTTTGTATTATCCTAAAATCTAGGGGAAAAACACCTCTTATTTGCTAGAATTCCTCAGTTTCAGGGGCCTTCGCCCCCGAACCCCCACTAGGGCTTTGCCTTGAACCCGCTGAGGGCTTCAATTCAGACCCCAAACCCCCTGCCTTCTACTGCCCCCCCCCTCCCCATTACGAAATCCCTGGACCTGTACCAGATCAATTTATTCTTATTAGTAAGTTCTCAATACCAGTGCTATTTATTTCATAGTCTATGTGACATTAGTGCATGTGTTAAACATTGGTAAATATATTACATTTAAACAATTTTGTACCCAGTTTTTGTTAAAAGATAGTGTAATATTGAAACAAAATTTTCATAATCTACATTTAAATATTTCATTGCTCAATGCAAATTTACTGGTCAGAAAAACTGACCAATGCTTACATATATGTATAGATTTATCCTGCGGGGAGAGCTAGAGGACGATTGTAGATAGTCTCGTTGTCGTAGCCATAGGAACGGTACAATTTACCCTTGACAGCAGCCTCCTTGAGGACACGCATCATCAGGATGGATAGTTTGTGGTCCTCCTGTGTGATGTTCAGAGTGGTATACATAGAGGACAGAGCTCCGACATAAGCTGTGGTCAGATTCGCCTCGCGATCCGCCTCAGATATCACACGAATTTTCTCAGACTCTGCATTACCAGACTCTTTAATCTCATTGGCTGTGGAAACAAATCGTTCATACACTTATTTTTTGCAGGATACAAATAATTTTGTTAAAAAATGTATAAAACGTTTTTCTCAAGACATATACTACAGAGACTGGATATTTATAAATTAGAGTAGTGATTATTTTTCCTATTTAAACTTAATTAAGTCCTTCGGATAAGTTACATGAAAATTCTGTCAGCTCTCTGTTGATCTTTCTATTGATACTTGTGGGTGTTAAGTTTGTAAACCCTACCATGATTGTGAACTTGACTTGTTTGATGTTACCTTGCTTGCATACTTGTCTTGTTTGACATTATGTAATTCTTAATTGCATACTTGACTTGTCTGATGTAGTTTGATTCTTCTACTTTGATTGCATACAATTGAATTTGGTTATCTCAAACACTAATATCTTGAGTATCAAAGATGGCTACCTTGATTGCGTGCTTGACTAGTTTGACGTTCTGTAATTTTGTCTTCAACAGCTTTGTCTTGCTTCAACTGCTCTGTAAACACTTGCTCCTGTAAGCAATTTAACAAAATCCGTCAAAATATTTATGATGGAATTCTTGACATAAAAATACTGTTTTCATATCCAGTACTCCATTAACATGTAATTTTAAATGCCTTGTTTCTCATAAGGTCCAAATTTTCAGCTTTAACTTAATTTATATGTATATCTGGGTGGTACTCTTTTACCTGGAGTTTCTGGGTGGTACCCTCTTACCTGAAGTATAACACTTGTGAGGAACCGCTCCAGTACCTCCTGTGGTATGTCTACCTTTGTGAGTTGAAAGTACACTACGTAGATGTGGTATCCTTGGTTACATGTGGTGGGGCCCAGACAGGTAGAACAAACAGTGTTGTTAGTACAACTAGTGGGACAACAGCTCGGACAACAGTCACCTGCCAGAGTATATCAGTGGATGCACAAAACACATTCAATCTAATGCTACTACAAAGAATTTTATACAAGCCATTATCTGCCCCCTAAAATCAAACTTCAATCAACGAGGAAAGTTAAATTAGAGCTTAAGCAGCTGATTTCAGAACAAAGATTAGAGTACAATCTCTGAACTAACTTTTAAAAATACACTGTACTTACCCTCCAGTCTTTTCTTGAGTTTGTTGTGGAAATATGTTTCTAGATAAGCTCTCTGAAATCTGAAGTAGTCCACACTGATACTGGTGGCCGAGTTCTTTACTCTGCTTTCTGTGATGGAGCGGATAACAGAATCATATCCCATACCAAACTCTCTGTGTAATGTCCCTATCTCGGATCTTCTGTTCAATAAAGCAAACAAAAATCAACAGCATGCTTAAGAGAAATATGTGAGATAATTCTAATACAATACAGTTATGCACTTATACATTGGTTAATGTCAAAAACTCATTGGGACTGAAAAAATAACTTCCAGACATGAAAAAGTTTTAAAGACTGAAGTTCTTTAATTCATTAAGCAGTATAGATGTACAGACTATGTAGACCCACCTCCATATACACAATCATATAATATACTGATGCTTGATATGTACATGCATACAGCATAAAGTAGTTTTTTTTCAATTATATAAATTAATTGTTAATAAAGGTAAAATAAAATCTACACATTAAATATTTTAAACATTTGTGGACAATAAATGCATATACGAGGGGTTATCAAAAAGTTCGAGGACTAGTGCCATAAAATTAAAACCGCTTTAGGTACATCAATGAATTTTGACACAGTAAGTTAGTGTCATCTTTTCTATCTGTAGAATAAACCATAAATCATAGGTTTTAGTCGTTACTAAATTGTTAATGTTTTTGTAAGCAATGGTATGTCCAGTCGGTGCAACCTCCAACACGACATTTTTTTCTACCTGAGTGTAATTGACAAAAACTCTTTTGATGCAAACATTAGTCATCCAAAAAGCCTGTTAATTCAGGAAGGTTGTATGACACAATTGTTCCGTAAAATTTGCAATTTTTGCCTAATGCTGTAAGTTCTACAAAATTTTATCGTTCATTTTATATGGAGTGTCCAAACAATTAAAGACTTGAAAATTACGTCGAAAAGAGAGAGGGGTTTCTTTTTCCAACATTCTATAGAGTTTCGCCCTTGGAAAAACTGGTATAGATGTAGGAAATGTTTAAACGGACCACAGAGAAATAAAATGTATCCAGAGTACTTGTTTTTAAATGCAAAAAAAGATTCAGAGAGATGAGAGGTGTACAGTCAATGTGATTTGTAGTCAAAAGTCAGTCATGTTGAAAAGTGACGTTGATCATGAATGGTAAATATTGAACTCCGACAAGCTAAATATGTTGACATAATCAAGTGAGGCTCTTTCCCTATGTATAGATCCATTTATAATATTATATGCATTGAAAGCAGCTGTTCATAAAATCATATAAACAAGAACAGGTCTAAGTCCTTACTTAACTCCAGCAAATTGCATTGAGATAAGTGTATGAGGTAGAGGAAGCAGGCATCGAGTAACAATGACGTTGTCGGACGTCATGAAACTAAACGGAGACAGCCCCGGGTGATCATATAATAATGTCTTTTTTTTATTTTATAATAATTTGGAAAATAATCAACGTATCAATCTAAAATTTTCAACATTTCTTTAACTTTTGTTATTTTATGTTCCTTATAAATTTTGTAAGAACAGACTACATAGTTTTATCTCCTCAGTCCACGAACTTTTTGATAACCCCTCGTACATGTAGTTTTAACCTTCAATTTCTGAATTTAATGAACATTTTGTATGGGGATCTGAATGAACATTTTGTATGGGGATCATTTTATGATTTACCTGAGGAAGTACTGCAGATGGTAAGTAATTTTGATGCTCAATTTATCCACAGTGAATACTTCGTGTGACTTGGTGATAATGTGAGCACTGCGGGAAAATGTCAGGAATGCTGTACTAGGGCCAAGGATATAACAACCAAAATCGTAAGCCGTCGACCTATCGACTACACCAGTCACTTTGTTGTACTTTAGAGCATACTACAATAACAATTAAACTGCATAATTAATTATCTAATAACATCAGCAGCTTCTGACTGCAATGAAAATTCATACTGTTAAATATGTACCACTCATTAGGAGGAAATTGACCTCTGTGATGATTCTTACTAGTAAATAAACTTGTCTGATGAAATACTGAGGATTTTTATATTGGATGTTCCAATATAATTTGTACAACAGCATTTCTGCATAGCAATAACAATTCATACTCTAAGTTTAAATATGTCCTCAGACTTGATGCCTCAACCCTGACAGAAGACAACTATAAGCCTGCACTACAGATAAAAATGACAGAATAAAAATTTGCAACATACATTCTCAAAGATCTATAATCAATTATATTTTACCACAAAAAGACAAACGAATTCTATTTTACCTCGTGATAATCCAGATATACAAAACTGCTAGGGAACAGACCCAGGAATACAATGGCCGCCACAACTGATATTGTAATGGCAATAATACATTTACTTTCTCTTGAGGTCCAGTCCCTGTTTCTAAAAAGGAACCTCCAGAATCGAATCAGAAACCTACCAACCACTGTACAACAGGAGTTCAGGCAACACATGCGTTTACATTCAAAATCATCAGCTTCACTCCTGAAAAAGATTTGCATGATCTCATTAATATGTTATTGTTGATTATCAGCAATGTGAATCTACTAAACACATTATATTTAGCAATCTAATTAAAATCACCTGTTTTTAAAGCTTTGTTAATAAGTACTTCGTTTAGGAGCATTGTTAATAAGTACTTTGCTCCTAAACCAAGTGATTTCATCAGACCGAATTTCCGGTGAATGCAAAACAGTCAAATAATTTTCAAGTTTTAGCTATATACTCAAAAGTAATATGGAGTAATACTAAAAATTCTTAGTACTTGACATCACAATTCTTGCATTTATTACATTAATACTATTGTAATGTTACCTGTCTTCAGTGAGTAAATTTCCCTCCTCCAGTCTCTTGAGGTGTGTACTCCTGAGGTCCTTCATTTTATCCAGTAACGGCCCCTTTAACTTAGCATTTTTATCCTCTGGTTCTTTCTCCCCTGGACCCTCTTCAGTCTCTGGCTTCTCTCCATCTTCTTTGTCCATCACGGAGGAGATAGGTGGGAGGGATCTCCCCACCAGTGTTGTGTCCTCCCGCAGATGGTCTGGGATGCTGTCGACAGGCCCTGAATCTTCTGCATGGACTTTATTGAGGGAGGACATGCGCTTTAACAGAAGGGGAGGGAGGGCACGAGTCTCGTTTGTTTCGGAGGTACAGGGGGTCTTTGTTTCTACATAGGCTGCTGTAGGGATCTGAGGGGGGAGATTCTCCTGTTCAGGGAGCTCCTTACCTGATAATCAAAGTAAAAGAAACACCATTATCAAAGAGTAACTATGTACCTGAGGGATGTTTTGTTTTCTGTTTTTTTTGAAAAACAATAGCTATTACAGTATACAATACACTACTATACATGCCTTCATCATTTGAATTTGAAGGCAAAACTGGATTGCTTTTTCTCTTTTTGTTTTTTTTAAAGCAATTTACTACAATTTCGATTTGCTGTTCAATGAAGTATGAAAAAATATCCCACACTCAGTAAATCCCACAATGGATTCTCACCTGTCATTGCCTCTATGATCTCACAAAAGAATCTCACCTGTCATTGCCTCTATAACCTCACAACAGAAACTCATCTGTCATTGCCTCTATAACCTCACAACAGAATCTCACCTGTCATTGCCTCTATGACCTCACAACAGAATCTCACCTGTCATTGCCTCAATGACCTCACTACAGAATCTCACCTGTCATTGCCTCTATAACCTCACAACAGAATCTCACCTGTCATTGCCTCTATAACCTCACAACAGAATCTCACCTGTCATTGCCTCTATGACCTCACAACAGAATCTCACCTGTCATTGCCTCAATGACCTCACAACAGAATCTCACCTGTCATTGCCTCTATAACCTCACAACAGAATCTCACCTGTCATTGCCTCAATGACCTCACAACAGAATCTCACCTGTCATTGCCTCTATAACCTCACAACAAAATCTCACCTGTCATTGCCTCTATGACCTCACAACAGAATCTCACCTGTCATTGCCTCTATGACCTCACAACAGAATCTCACCTGTCATTGCCTCTATAACCTCACAACAGAATCTCACCTGTCACTGCCTCTATGATCTCACAACAGAATCTCACCTGTCATTGCCTCTATAACCTCACAACAGAAACTCATCTGTCATTGCCTCTATGATCTCACAACAGAATCTCACCTGTCATTGCCTCTATAACCTCACAACAGAATCTCACCTGTCATTGCCTCTATAACTTCTCTCTCCCTGATCTTCTTTTTCTTTTTTTTCTTGGCTTTCTTCCAAGATGATTCTTTCTCTCCGTCCAATGTCTCTCCCCCTGCCTTCTCTCCCCCTGCCATCTCTACCCCTGCCATCTCATCAGGACTGGTGTCACGGCGTTTCTTTTTCTTTTTTGACTTTTTCTTTGCCTGCTCATCTATGACAGAGTACTCTCCATTTGTTGACACTAGCATCAGTGGGCCGTCCTCGACAGTCTTTTCCTCTCTTTGTGACTGATCAGGAGAGTCTTGTAGCTCTACATCAGGGATGCCCTCTGCCTGATTCTGTACAGCGAGAGACATTTCTGTTATGTCTCTTTCACTGGCTTCTCTTTCCAGGAACTGTCATAAAATGTCAATATTAAGAGTTGTTTTTATAAAATAACACTCGTTGAAAATTTCCTCTAAATTAAATCCTCTTGTTTATAATCATACCCTTTTCTTTTTTTTCTTTTTCTTAGACTTTTTGGAGGAATCTTCACCCTCTGTGGTTCCAATTTCTGTTTCTCCATTCACGGCTTCAGTCCATGTGTGGTTGGAGTTATCCCCCTTTACCTCAATCCTCAGTGGAACCTTGAGGAATGAATTTGAACTGATTAATTTGATTTCACCTGAGTAAATTTCTACAAAAATTCCTCTTAAATGTACATGTACATTCATAATAATTTAGAAATCTCTTTTATTTACTTATATTTACATTTGCTGTGATTTTCTACTAAGCCAACTGTGAAATTGATTTGAAAGTCATTTTTGTGTATACTCACGCGTAGAAATATACATGGTAAAACTCACGCTAAAGTGACGGCACAATGAGGTTACAGAGACGTAAATAAAAATGTAACGATATAGGGCAGCAAGAAATTCAAATATTGAGTATATTTTTGGTGCTTTTAAACTTGTAAAATGTAAATATAAGGAATGTTTTTAAGTTTAGTGTGAATTATTGGTGTGTAAATCACACAGACTTGCACGTAGGCATATTTTTCATGAAGCGCTAGCGCGCTTCATGAAATATGCCTATGTGACAAGTCTGTGTGATTTACACACCAATAACTCACACAAAACTTAAAAACATTCCTTAATTAAAAAATCTAGCTGAAAACAAAATTATTCCTATCGATTATAAAATGACATATAATTGAAAATAAGAAATATTTACCATTTCTACGTTGTCCATGGGATCCATCTTAATCTCACTATCTTCACCATCTCTGCTTTTTGATCTTCTACAATTATTTACAATCAGACATAACAATAGTCTTCCCTGTAAAACAACTAAAATATGACAGCATGTTTCCCTGTTTATTACCAATGTCCCGTAGCTTTGAAATTCATACCTAGTTAAATTACTAGTTCATCATTTTAACATCAATACACAAACTGCTGTATAATCAGGTCTTTCAAAATCTGTAGGTACACAATCATAGTTTTACTTGGCTGAAATCAGGATTGTTTGATGGAAAAAAATTAGATAACATATTTAATCAAAATTACCTGTATTTTCACAAGGTACCTCCTATTTTCGTAAAAGTACTGCATGTTTCTAATCTTTTTGAATGCCCTGTATATAATGCTTACTTTTTTTTACTCTTTTTCCTGGTTAATTTACTTTTGTCTCTCCCCAGAAACACAGTTTCTCTGGGTCCTGATGTATTTCCCTCCCCAGCGTGGGTGGGGCTGGCATCCTCCGTTGAGTCCTTACTGTCAAAATAAAAATGATTTTAAAAACATGATTATAATTATGTCAACAATGAATAATCACCTCAGGCCATTCCAAGTTTTTTCTATGTTTAGCATCTGTGTGCGCCTTGGTTTTTGATACCCCATATCCAAAAAAACATTAACAAATTCAGGAGCCCTGAAATCGATTATTCTGGTCAAAATCTTTGAATACTGTCAATTTCTCGAAATATTTGTCTACAATGTCATATTAGTTATATTTTAAGCATTCAATACTTTGATCTTTCTACAAGAAAAATAGATTAACATAACCAAATTCTTTGAATGTCATTTTTATGACTATAAAGTCTGTTTTATTTCTTTGCTTGTGTGTTTTTTTTAGTCCCCTACCGGTGAAACCGGAGGGGACTATAGGTTTCCTCTGAGTCTGTCCGTCCGTCTGTCTGTCTGTCTGTCCCTCTGTCTGTCTGTCTGTCCCTCTGTCTGTCTGTCAGTCTGTCCCACTTGGTTTTCCACACTTTTTTCCTAAACGCTTGCAGATATTGAGCTGATTTTTGGTATGTGAGTGTATCTTGATGAGTTACAGATCAAGTTTGCATTTCGTTCTGCTTCATTGATTTTTGACGGAATTACGGCCTTTTCAATTTTTTGGGGTTTTCCGCAATTTTCTTCTAAACGCTTTCAGATATTGAGCTGATTTTTAGTAAGTCACTTTACCTTGATTAGTAATAGGTCAAGTTTGCATTTCGTTCCGCTTCATTGATTTTTGATGGATTTATGGCATTTTCAATTCTTAACGGGAACCAGATTACACTTGCCGGTAGGGGACTAGTATTGCTAATGCAATACTCTCAGAATGCTTGTTTTTTTGCAGATAGGTAGGTAAGTTTTTGATAGATGGGTGGATGCTTAACATAGAAAAAAAAAACTTCGATCAGCCTAAAACTAAAAAAAAATTGTTGGAAAAAAAAAATCACTCATGAAATTTTTCCCCATAATTTTTTTTTTTAAGTAATAGCAGTCATAGATCACATCAGATAGAGTTAACAGGGGAGAGCAGATTATAGGTAGAAATACAACTTACAGTCCTTTATATCCCCGAGACACGGCCTCCTCATATGAAGGTAGTTCTTCCTCTGGAAACACTGGCTCAGGATGAACAAAACTGTCCTCTCTTTGTTCTATAAATATCAAAATACAGGAGATTAAGACATTAGTTTATAGCAAGCTTTTTATGAGCATGTATTTTATTAACATCAGTAAATCATGGTCAAATATAAACTGAATTCAATGAACTATGAATGCATGTATCAACCAAGTAATGGATGAATCTTGAGGTCTGGTATAATGAATTACATTAACTGTCATACCTAGCCTAATTTTTCTTTTATATTTCTCTGATACGTGATCTTACCATTATACAGATGTCTGAGGGTCTCTCTGTCCACTGGAGCTATTGACAAGGTGTTACTCTGTATTCTGTCACGGACTTCATCTATGTAATTTACCGGGTACATAATGAATAAAGCTTCATTCAGGGATAGACATTAACTTTCAGATTTACTTGCCCTTCGGGCAAGTGGTCTCAAACTTTGACTTGTCCGAATGCAAAACTTTGTTGCCCAAAATAAGGAAAGAACTTCAGAAGAACTTTTTTTATTACTGTAAATGTTAAGACAAGAAAAAATGTGACCAAATACACTACTGTCAATTTGGCAAGGTGAGGTACCTGAAAAAAATTCGATGCTGAATGTATACCATTGTCCTTGTAAATTTAACCTGTTAACACACACTGTCATATAGCAATAACCCTCCGTTTTAATAAAATTCATATTTTTAAAAATTATTTTCGGTAGGATTCTTTTGTGAATCGTGATTTTCTGAGATAACTGTGAAACAACGCTGAAGGAAGATAGTTGCTACGTAACATACATCGATCTTTACCTTGATCAGGATACATCATGTTACACTGTACTTATATTCTGTGAGTGAATAAATAATCTAATTTCCAAATAAGAAGTAAAAGTTTAGATGTTAGACAAACAGCATATTTACCAGGGAAAAAACGGAATAACGAACCCAATTTTCAAATGAAAGGTATAATCCAGAAATTGCAACAAGGAATTCCGAATGCAAAAACAATGTCAGTCAGGTACCTGGCGGAAATCAAGTCTTCAAGTTATTGTTTTTTTTTTTTTTTTAAATTAATGTAAACTAAATAAATATGTACATTTCTATGAGAAAAAATCACTTGCCCGATTGGACAGGTACGTCGTAAGATTCACTTGCCCGAACTGAGAATTTACTTGTCCCGGGCAATCGGACAACCGTTAATGTCGATCCCTAGCTGTCATTATAACACACCTCAAAGGACAAACATTTTACCAATGATACACTGGGACTGTTCAATAACTTGCTTGTAATTTTTTTCATAGAACTCAGTGGAAGTTTGGGGGAATTTAACAACTGAAGCAGGTTACTTTTCATTTTTATGGACAAGGTATATACAACCCATATGTTAGTGAACTTCAACACCCCCTCCCAAGTTTCTGTTGCTGAAAATATGATAACTGCATTACATTATATGTCCCTACAGATGCATGACCCTTAGGGGTCCTTCATGTCTGTTTTTGTTGTTAATATTAGTTTAATCAAACACCAGTATATCATTTGACTTTAAGAAAGTGATATAAATGCAGGAAAAATCCTTCTCAAACTGTGTACACATGTACAAATATTTACAGTACATATATATGTGTTTCATTTTGTTTGAAAATGATTTTACTTAATATTACCTTTTTCAAACAATTTATATTTACCGGGTACAACAAAATCTAGTAACTGTTCCCCTTTACCAATTTTTTTAAGCACCAGGTATTTACTTTGTAGGTAACAGAGGTACATGTATATGTACATAATGTTTTGTACTTCTCACCATTTCTGTCTGTAGTGTGACCTGTGTGATCAGCCATTGCTTGACTTAATTTACGATTGTGTCAGTACGTGCCTCCATTTTCTACAAAAATTAATACAGCTGTGTCAATCATGAGTGCCAATACTATTAGTTTACACTTGAAAGGACTATATTTGGTCACAGTCAATATCTGCCCCACCCCAAAAAAAAGTGTGATGGGGAATCTTATTAATTTAAATTATGTTCTAAGCCAGGAGGGTATCTGTACACTTCAAAACATTAAACAATTTCACCCACTGTGAAATCATAAGTTAGATATGACATCAAAAAATGACATAAATTCTATATTTCAATGATTTTAAAAGAAAAAAAGTGTATTTTATGTTGATAATTTGACAGCATGGATCAACTATCTATAGCACAGGTCTTCTCAGACTCCATCTTTTGATACATATAATGCGTAGAATGAAAATATCAATGAATTTGTGAAAATAAATCCCGGTCAAGTTTGCACTCTATAAAAACTAAGGTCAAAATTGAACCAAATTTGTGCATTTTTCTCTCTATTTATAACAATAACAGGAAACTCAATAGTTTGTGCCAATATTTTTCTTTTTGTGGTGGTGGTGGTGGGGGGTGGGGGGGGATCTATACCTTTACCAAATAAAGTTCTTTCTTTAACCATGTCAACAGCCATTAAAATGCTGATTAGATTTTTCTTGTGTCCAGAGTCAAAAAGACTATCAGAGTGCTTTTATATCGAAACATACAAGGTATCTGCAGGTCATAACCTTTTTTATATACTTCAAAAAACTTTGTGTCGACAGTCTTCAATTCAATACAATCGTGATGTATTGATAATACAGTGTCTGTGCTATGTGATGACATCTTGTTCATAGTCTACTCTACCCCATTTGCTCCTTGTTTGATCTCCAACTGACATCTCTGAAACAAATTTTCACAAAACACAGCATACAGTAGAACACGTGATGATGTCAACTGGCAAAAATGTGTAAATACAATGTAGCCAGGTAGCTGCATGAATAAGTAGGATCATGGAATAGGAGTACGATGTTGGAAATGCATTTATTTATTAAGCAATATATACAGATTTATTCATTACAAAAAGATAGATGTACCTTTAAAGTATGTCACAATATGGTCATTTCCTCACCTGTCACTGTGTCCACTGACAGATAATCAGATTGACTTTGTTTTAGGTACAAGCGCCAAACATATTCCAAACGCTTGAAAGACTGACATACACGAATATTTAAATTTACTGGGACGACCTAATTTATTCCGAATTTGTCAACAGGTGCCCGTTACTGAGACAAGGAAAAAAATTATGAATATTTAAAAAAAGCTGCATTTCTTTCTGTTTTATTTTTTGCTTTATTTTTTTCCCTCATATTCTATGTATTACATGTTGCACATATACACAATTTACTTGAGCTTTGAACAAAACACTAATGTGCATGAATCTTGAATATAAGGATTGGAAGAAAAATTAAAATTTAAAATGAACCTACTTAACAATTAAAAACTGATCCACTGTTCATGAATAAAAATCCATAATTTTTAATTATATGTATTGAGGATTCAAATTTTAGATTGTGTACATACACGTAAACTTGTCATCGCTTTGAATAATCTTTGTAATGAAATATGAAGATAACGAACAGTAATATTTAAAGCTCAAAAGTCCATTGAAACAATACAGATTTGGAGCAATGCAAACATGGACCTCTAAAACTCCAGAGGTGGGATCAGGTGCCATGGAGGAGGAAGCATCCCCTGTCGACCTGTCACACCCGCCGTGTGCTCCTTGTCATGATCGGACAAACGGAAAAATCCGTAGACATATCTGTGTGAAAATAATGGCCTAACAATATGTATGAATAACTTCAGTCAACATTCGACTTAATGATAGTGTATTTGAAAAGAAATTGCGTAAGGTTGACTTAAAACGAGACTGATCATATTCTTGTTTCATCAACTTATTTGTCAATAGCTTGCCTCGTTTTAGAATTATTCCTACGTAAAGCATGCTCTTGCGCATCGAATCAGTTTAACTGGGAGACATAAACTCCATATGCAGGTGATAGTTTGCATATTACTACATAAATAGGGGTGTTGACGATAGAAAAGTTTGTCATCACGTTTATCATAATGTTTTTGTAGTTAGGTTAGTACGTCTTTTTCTAGTAAAATATATGAAATATGAAACAGATGTGTCAGACTCTGTGGTTTCTTTTATTTCGAGCTCAAAGGGATACATCGAATCAATGTAGGAATGAAAATGAATACTGTTAATGTGATCATAAAACGTCGTCGGTATATCTAAATGATGAAATGAAGGCCACAGCAAGAGACTTCTTCTTTTCATGCAGATGTAAGTACTTCATAATAGCCCGAAGTGCCCAATCAAAAAGATTTAAACTGATCTTTCAGATGTAAAATGCAGATGACAAGAGAATCTGAAAAAGGCTATTTGTATGCATCTCCGAGTGCAACATCTTTGATGGTTGGTCATTGTCAACCTTATAATCAGTTGGGAATAAAACCCTGTCAGAAATTTTAACCTGAAAAGTACACATGTATATATAGATGAAATACAGCATCTCAAAGCGGAAACTTCATTAAGATATCAGAAGCGATATACATGTTACACATATATACAAATATATGGAAGATAAGTCAATGTACGGTAAATGTAGGTCGAATTAGTCTACTTTAGAATTCCAATTATCATAGCATCAAAAGCAAACAATATTTCATAACCGATATCATCCATGCAAAGGGGGTTATTGTACGATTTTTCTAACAGTTTGAAATTGATCATATATATATATACATGTAGGTCAAAAACAGCATCAAAGGTATGTTATATAGTATAGACCAACATCTTTCTTAATTAACAATGCATGCAGCTAAACGAAACATGACTGCGACGTAGCATCGTATATCCCATCTTGAAAGATTGGTTAGATCTAAGCTTTGCGAGTGAGCCTTTTCCAAAGAGCATGTACATTCGTGTTTAATCATTACAAATAATGGTTATATCATGTTGTAAATTTTTATTGGTAAATTCAAAATTTACAACATGACAGTTACATGCAGAATATCCCAGACATGATTGAAATTATAAATATGCATCCTTATTTTCATCATCCATGTAAGTTTGCCGATGATAGAAATCGTACAGCTATTCTTCGAAATTGTTACTTGGGTCATCCACAACATTATTGAACATTTACAATCTTAGCGTATAAAAGTATCCAGTATTAAATAGAATTTATATTTTAAAATGTACAGAACTGTAAACAAAAGCTTTCATTGTTTTTGATCCATATATTTTTAGGCGGAGCCAAACTCAAAAGTACAATCCAAGGATGGTCAAATAAAAAATATAGAAGGAGAAGCGATGATAAGAAAGTGGATGACGGACTGAAGGAGATAACATTCATATACCCGAACTTTCTTTGGAACTGGAAGTGCGGGTACATTAATTAATACGTCCGTGACGTAGTGTGACTAAAGTAGTAATACAATTTCCTGAGGCCATCGTGCAAATGTTTTTAAGAATAGAACTTACAATTAGGTTAATGAGTGGCTTCTTCCGGGTGTTGTGTGGGTGGTCAGAGTCAAAATGGGGCTTTTGTCAATGTGGAAAATTCTCTTACAGATATTTATTATTTTGTGTCTTTGTGATTCACCGTCAGGGTTATATACATCTACGTACAAGATTGAAAGTTTGACAAAAATGGATTTCGACTTCTTCAACGGTCTTCGACGATACAACGAACACCAAAGGAATTGCTCTCTTGAGGTTATACCAGCTATCCAAAGGTAATATATAGACATTGTCACACATGCAAAAGATCACCGAGTATCAATAACATTAATATTGACTAAATGGATTTTTCTTTGATTGCTCACCGTAATGTTCGCTCTTTGCAACGCTTTTCACAAAATTCTTGAGATTAATCTTTTGGAATTTGTAGCTTTCTAAACAAAGAATTCACTGTGCCTCCAAACAGAGATTCTGTCGGACATCCAGTAAAGACATTCCACGTCCTGAAGAGAATCATGGGAGACTGGAGAAATATTGCCAGCCTGGTGTTTAATAATTCCGAAATCCAGGAAAAACAAAGCACAAAAGGTTCTTTATTTATTTAATAAATAATTTACATGCCCCCCAGGTATGTTGACAGATTCTACACTGCCTGGATAATTCTTTAAACACGAGTTAACCTACATAGTAACTAAACAAAATATTGCATAATTGAGGTTCATCGACCCTCTGATAAGAGAGGTAACTCTCACTTGGTTAAATAAAAAAAAATAACTAAAAAAATCATGAAATTGATAGACATATCATGTTGTAAATTTTGAATTTACTAGGGGGAGGTAAATGCAAAATTTACAACATGATAATGTTGTAAATTTTGCATTTACCTCCCCCTAGTAAATTCAAAATTTACAACATGATAGACAACTCCAAATTTTCTGTCCAATGTATCTATGCCGATATGAATATATTCAATTTATGTAAATATGAAAAATATATGATTGAATTTTTATAGAAAAGTGTGCTATAAAATTTTCTTAATAATTTCTTTTCAAAGAATTCCGAGAATTTTACCGCAAGAAGGAACTTGAGATATCAAAATGGCCGACGATAGACGACATTAATGGCGCTATGACAGGACTTCTCCGTGTTTGGTCAGTTTATCAGTTGGATGCAGATGACGTCATTGCGGGTGTCATTTTTGGTGTTACCTCAACACCGTTGTCAACAGATGATATGATAATGCTGGCTGAGCACGCGAGGAAACTAGAGTTCTACACTGAAGAAATTGCTCTTCGCCAAAAGTGTCTGAAACGTCTTCATTTGGAAGAAAAAGAGTATTTAAAACATACTTTAAAGTTAGCAAAAGCTTATCACAACGTGAGTTCATCAACATTACATTATAATCTGACTTTTTATGCATGTATAATCTCTTTCTGTTTACGGAAACTGACGCTTTTGTGAACTTTACATTTAGATAAAGGTGTCAAATACAGCAATGAAACTTCTATCACCCTTTCTACTGACAGGTTTGTAATAAAATATGAAGGGAACGAACAGCATAACCATTGCAAGCTCAGAAGTCCATTGAAATTCGAATATTTTTTTGAAAAATATTTCGGCTGAAAAATAGCATATGATTTTTATTATGATTTTTAAAATCATTTCAGCACACAACAAAGTTAAACCGCTCCTGATAAAATATGAACAAGCGGCAAAAAATCAGATTACATCGACCGGGAAAGTCTACAGAGAAAGACGTATTTTTTCTGAAACAGACCAACTTTGTCAGAAGAACATTAAGGTGGTATTTTATTAATATTCAGAGTAATTTAAAGGTATAATAAATTATGAACTTGTAACATATATGCAAATGGAGATTTAAGTTTTTTTGGAAAATACTTTATGTGTTCGTGATTTCTATAGAGGAACTGGGCTCTTGTTCTGTTTATATGGGTCTACTTGTTTAAAAAAAAAATGAAATCTCCTAATTCGAACTTTCTAAAGAAAATTGGGGTATATTGTAGTTATCCATATACGTCCGTCGTCACTCTTTCTTTTTTAAAATGATACAATAAGGATTTTGTATTTTAATGAAGACCATAAGGAACTCTTGATAATTCAGTCCCTCTGGACTTGAATTATATAATTCCCTATGAAAAGTTGTTGGAATGTATTCTGGAATTTTGCCATGAAAAACTTAAGCCAAGGTTGCAGCTGTGCAATAAGGTTTCCAAGAATGCTGGAAATGACTAACATTTTCTGAATGAATGATTAAAATTCTTTAACAGGTCTATTAAAAAAACCCCATGATTTCTATTTTAATGAACCTTACAAGAATATTTATAATTAGGATTCATTTTAATATATATATGTAATGATATGAACTCTGCGTGCTTGAGGCCTATATTGTCTGGATGAGTTACCATATGTTTGATGTTTTCGGAGCAGGTCACTTTTCATGTAACTATAACCTTGACTAACCTTGCATTGGTGTTGCATCTTGGGATGTATACTACTATTCATGCTTTGGATGCTGTGTGACCCATAATTTCAGGATCAATGATCAGATAGATGTTTTGGAAGCAGGTCTGATTATTATTGTCATTCCTTAAATGTCGAGAGAAGCTTCTATAGAGTTAATTCAGAGCACAGTGAGAGATAAGTTTTCGAAACACATCCCTCGTCGTTCAATCCGGCTGAAATGAATCTTTTCACTTGCCTTTTTTGTGACATATGAGAACATCGTACGGTGCAATAAAATCAAACAGAGAGCAAGGGAGAGGGCTAATATAGATACTATTATTCCAACCTTTGATGTTGGGATTTTATAAGTTGAACTTGGTATATCAAATCTGAACGATATATAAAAACAAAATTAGTAATAAACTCTATAAACCTTGACAGACTCCAAAGGAACTTTCAGAACTGTACTGCTCTATAAGGAGAACTAAAATCCCATATTACTTAGTCAAAGAAGAGGTCCTTCATGTTCACCCGAGAGTGTCGCTTTTTCATGAGGTCATATCCGAGGACGATATCAGAACTTTGAGAAGATACACTCTTCAACAGGTGAGGTAAAAGGATCGCGGCTAAATAATATAAATCAATAAATAGTAAATATTTTCCTTAATAAATTTTGATTTTTACCAATTTCTTTATCTTTAATTAATTATGATAACGTCATATTGTGTTGAAGAGAAATAACACAGGATATCAAAGAAATTTGATCAGGAAATTAAATTTTAGAGATGCAGTGAGTATGTATGTATGTATATGGATTGTAACAAGCTTTTGCTTGTCTTTGATTTATAATACATGTATATAATTTCCTTTCTTTCTGTGCAGGTCAATAAACCTTCGCCAGCTGAGACTGAATTCGTCGATCTTGGAATGACCATGTATGTATATGTCGTACTAAAAATTAAGCAACCTCAGAATACACTCATTACATACAATACCATTTTTATGATATATAACACACATGCTTTTCTTGCGGGTTATTTCAGATATCAGTTAAATGAGAGAAAATTTAGGAGGTTGTCGGACAAATTAAGCAGGAGAATGTCTCTAATTACAGGACTGAGTACTCACTTAAAGTCGTTACAATCCGATGTCGAGGACTTTCAGGTAATTAAATAAACTGATTTACAACAGTGAAGGTTTCAGAAGACAGTCATGCACTAATTTTGTACAATGTTATCTGTATAACATTGTGAAAATATCACCTAAATCTCATCATCTTTTTAGTACATCTCGAGTAGTAATTTTCTGGATACCATACAACAATAAAATACTGCAGCTCTGAATATAATGCGTATAACGGTATATTATCCGACTGCAGCGAGTCCTATATTTGAGTGATTACACTATTTTGAGTAACTTTTGATGCTTTTATGACATAATTAAGCTATATGCCTGAAAAGTTATATATCACACAATTGTTTTCAGTCCTAAAGCACTCTGGTCGAAATTTAATAAATGACACCACAGAGTCTGACACGTCTGTTTCATATTTTGGTATTTTACTAGAGAAGGAAATTGACGGCAAACTAACAACTAAACTTTGTGATAAACGTGATGACTTCAACTTTTCCATTTTTTGTGTAGCAATGAACATTATCACCTGCATATAGGTTTATGTCTCCCAGTTGAGCATGTTCTATCTACGAACAATTTCTAAAATGAGACAGGCTACTGAGAAATAAGTTGATGATACGAGAGTATCAACAATCTCGTTTAAAATTAACATTTGGCAAATTCTGTGGTCGGTACAATGACTTTGTTTGCAAATACAAACTGTTGTTATGTCGAATATTGACTGACTTTGTTTTTTTTAAATATTAATTCCATTTGAAAGGAAATATTGATTTACATTACTGAATTAATGGTATTCTATTTTTGCATTAAATGAGATATTAGCACTAATATATATTATAATCCCATGAAAAATATTGCAAATATCAGTTATATGAGTATAATTTCTATTCTTTTTTCCTTATTACTATTCGTAAGGTGGTCAATTACGGAGCGGGTGGTCGATTTCCTCAGCACAGCGACTGTAGGGTATGTAGCAGATTCCGACTCCTTCATCAATATACTGATTTTCAAATAATCATGACAAAAATGGAATATTTTTAATTTAAAGATTTTACGTCTTTTTTTTTTTTTGATCATCTGAACCTGAGATTTTAGTTATAGATTTGATTGATTTCTTCTTACTCAGTCGGAGCCACTATGGACGAGCACGGACGATGACCAGCTATCCCTGTCTCCCTATATCAGATTTTCAGGTGACAACATAGCTACCTGGATCAACTTCGTAAGTCATATTTTTTAACTTCTCATATATTTATCAAACACTGAATTTTACCATACGTGTGACAATATTCTGGACCAGAAATAAGGCTTTTGTTTCCATCAGCAGTGCTCAGAACCCGGAAGGTTAAAAGAAATAAACTCAATTCAAGTTATTAATTTTACAGATGAATGATGTCCGGGAAGGTGGTGCTACAATAATGCCAAATCTGAAAGTCAGAGTAACCCCTGTGAAAGTAAGCAAATACACATATATCATAATTACTTCATATTCTAGGAGATCACAATTGTTAATATCTCCTATGTCATATCACTTTGTAAAATTTCATTTAAAAAAGAGAATATCTTCTCGCAAAGAGTAAGTTTTAATCAACACATCAGCTTGTACATCAAATTAATTCATTGGTTTCAGAATCACTCTCTGCAAATTTGACAGGTAACTGGTTTGGACTGAAGTCTGTAACTTATTAATATTATTTTAGAATATGACTCTATACCCAAATCAAGTTTTCGCTTAAATTTTCTTTAAACTAGACCTTCACATGCCCCAAAATTTGCCTGCAATACTGCATTGAATTCTTGCAAGAAATTCAGCCTGTAACATGTGATTGAGACGATTTCCCATCATTAGTTGTTATTCCAAGAAAAAATGTTTCAAGTATTTTAGATCTTGTTCACAACATTATTTGTCAAAACCATTTCTTAGTCCTTTTTCCTGAAATGAAAATTTTTGTCGGTAAGTGCCCAGTTTCAGAGACCCTCATTATTATGTATTCATTCCAAGAAAGAAACCTGGCATCAAAAGTAGATTAAAGCTTGCTTACACATGATTAGAAGGAAGGATAGAGATTAAGTCAAATCAAGCAAGTACTTAATGTTCTAGGACTTTCAATTACTAAAAAATAGTGTACATGAATTTACACTAATACACACAATGCTATTATGGTACTAGAATTTCTTTCCTTATAGACATGAATCTGGTTCACACTGTACTCTGCATAATAAAAAAAAAACTGAAATCTACCGTTTTCATGGATAAAGTACCGGGATGGAGCTGTTCGTTCAAAGCATTTATTTGATATGTACATCCTACAGAAAATCATCAAATCAATTCGATTACATATTTGTAGGGATCAGCTTTATTTTTCTACAATTACAAACGCAATGGAAACTGTGATTTACGTACTCAATATGGCACATGTCCGGTGGCTTTAGGGACGCGGTGGGGTAAGTGATTGATTAATTATATGTTGTTTAACGCCGAGTCGGCAGTTTTTCCAGCCATTTTTCGGCTGAGTTAGTGCTTTGATTGATTGACTAATTAACGCCGAGTTGGCAGTATGTCAGCTTTCGGTGAAGTAAGTGGTTCGAAGCCGAGATATTCCTTACGTCAATTTATATAAGATTTAATGATTAGTTCTATTATAAGGATTATCTACTCCTGTAAAATTCTAGCTGTAATATTTTAAGAGATTAATCCTTATCTGACTTTGAATCATATAAAACGTTGTCAACACAAATATTTATTTGCAGATGCTGTAAAATTGATTAAACAAGGCGGACAAATTTTCCGAAGATTGTGTGATATATCGGTGGATTAGAGGCCGACTAAATTTGTTAAAATGTACACTATACTCACACTGTGCATAATAATCGTTAGTGTCTCATTGTTTACTTTGGCTACTATTGTATTTAATAAAAAATCTGAAAAACTTAGTCGTATACTGTGACTTTCAAAAATGAGGAGCACGCGGGTCATTCAGGGAAGGTCAGTATGTCATGCATGATGAAATGTGATGGTAGGTAAGGTACAGCTACTATATTTTGTAACTTTATACGTATATGTTGATATGTTTTTAAATTATCTGTACCTAAAATATGGAGACTTTAGTCACATATTTATAGGTACTTGTAACTTTGATTTATTTAATAAAGTTGCTATAACTTCATCTTGAGAATATTTATATTATTCACTCCCTGAATTCGGATACAAGAAAGATCTCTTGTTCCTTCAATATCTTTATTTATTATTAAACTTAAATTCATTGAAAAATCTTTCAAAATTCATGATTTCTTAAAAAGTTGCTTGCGTAAAAAATTGTGTTTCTAAATTCATTTTAAAAAGATTGTAACCGTTTTTAAATTTATGTAATGAAGAAAAGAAATCGCAAAAGTACATTTTGGTCGGAGTTGTAAGTTCTTAAGTAAAACGGGGCTCTGATGTCTGCAGTTTGACTTAAAGATTCGAGTTTTTTTCTGTCGTTTTTCTCACTGCCCCCCCCCCCTAAAAATCTAGGTTTTGTTTGTTTTGCGGTCACTTTCATACTTCATGTTTATCTTTAACTTAATCTCTGTACCTGTTCAACTCACTGGACACTTGTATTCACTTCAGGATTGATGGAGAAAGTCCAAACTCTTTCATAACGTCCTCAATTTGAATTTTCTTAAAAGTTCTTTTCTGTTTGTTGTTGGCCCAAATCCTTTTCCCTTCGTAGTTTAATGTTGTTCTGTGAGTCCTTTTTATGCTTCCATTTTTTTCCTTCTTTTGTTCTAGTTTTATTTTTTATAATATTATTTTTTTTGTATTTTCTTAAAACGCGAACATGTACATGTATTAATTTTTTTCGTGAAATATGTGGAGATAACGGAGCTCAAAAGTCCATTAAACATTACAAAATAGGAGCAGAGCAAACACGGACCTCTAAGATATCAGAAGTGGGATTAGGTGCCATGGAGGAGTGAGTATCCCCTGCCGACCGGTCAGACCCGCCGTGTGCTCTTTGTCATGATGTCACGTCCAGTTATATAGAAAATTGTGTTTTTTTTCCCTGAACTGCTTTGTTGAGCTCGATGTCCCTGTACAAGATCAACAATCCTCATGTTAAGCACAATATCTCATATTTTATATATTCCTAGAACTACATGTATAAGTTGTGTAATTTAATTCTTGTAATTTTTTTAAGGTTACCATTGCTCTCATGCATGATATGTATTTATTTCTCCATAAGAGACTGATGTAATCACCAAATTTGCAACATCTTACGAGACCATCAATGTTTTACTCCCGTTTATTGATGCTATACATGTAAGAAATGTCAACAATTCTCATTCTTGTGAGAAGGAAGGAACCGAGATGGAACAAAATTAAGCACTGATTATTATCATGTCACAGACGAAGCATAATTTGTTCATCCAGACATCTATTTATACTGTACATATTTCTTGCACTATTTGCGTTTCACATTTGAAGCTTTCCAGTCCATTGATTAGTCTTGTTTTGGTGTTTTTCAAATTATAAGACGTTTGCCTTTACCTTCGAAGTTTATCTGAACGACTGGAATAGGAATTTTTAAAATCCTTTCATCAGGTTCTCTGTTATGTCTCAGATGTTCTGTCTAAATTCTCAATTTGCCCCCACCCCCGCCCCAAGGATAATTGCGCAAGAATATAACACCAATCTATTTAATTTAAACAATATTTTATTCACAGATGTAAGAGTGAATAGGATTGGGCAGCAGGCTCAGCCTATTTTAGCCCTCTCCCTACATCAAGGTCAAGGCAAATACATAGTAAATTAATTATTAAAGCAAAAGTAAGAATGTACAAAAGAAGAAAGCAAAAACAAAAATGAACAAAGTTACAGAAGGCAAAAGAAGCAAAATTACAAAAGAAAAGAAAAATAATAATAATAATAATAAAAAAATAAGCAAGAGTACAAAGTAGTACCGGTTTGGAAATATTGAGAGTATTACAATATACCACATATATGTATATGACAGTGATTATATAAATTTCAAATGAAATTATGTAAATTATCTTGTAACTCGTGGTAAAAGCCTTGCATCTATAGCCTTGTACCAATTCAGTACTGAGGAAAAATATTTATTGAATTACTGTAGAATATTAATTGGATCTTGTTTATTAACTAATTTTTGAAATTTTATTTGAAGCAAAATTTAGAGGCTATTCAAAAACCTCTTGCACTGGCCTTTAATTCGACATTTAGATTTATCGACGAATTTTGATAAATTAACAACATTCATTTTCATGATTAGATATAGCCAACAAAAATCGAAAAAAAAGACACCAAAGTGCAGCTGTTTCATATTAGGTACTTCACTAGACAAAAACATTGGTGGCAACTAAACTTTCTGATAAATATGATCAATTCCATTTTTTCTATCTTCAACTTTCCTTATGTATGTAGCAGTATATACCAATGTCACCTGAATACGTGTTTCTGATTTCTAAATCCAATTTCTAAATCAAGACAAGCTACTGACAGATAAACTGATGCTAAAGGGTATCAACAATTTAAACTTAAAGTCAACATTTTGCAAAAATTATAGTCCTTAAAATGACTTTATTCACAAAAACAACCTGATATTAAGTCAAATGCTGACCGATGTTTTTAATACAAATTGTAAGGCCATAGGCCGGATTATTTTCATACCGATTTGTCTATGGATTAGCCCGTTTACCCGATCAAGACGAAGGGTTCACGGCGCGTGTGACCAGTCGACAGCGGATGCTTACTCCTCCATGGCACTTGATCCGACCTCTTGTGATTGGTTGTGCGTCTGCTCTGCTCGATCTCAATTTGTAATGTTTAACTGGATTTTTCAAGCTCGATTACTCTTCGTTTTTTTCACATCAAATCTTGTTAAATCTTGAATCACAAAACACCAAGTGGAAGCAAATAAAGAATTTGAGAGGATTTAACAAATTGATACAAAATAGTAGACATTGTAAGCTTGTTTCATTCTTGAAATAATAAGACTCCTTAATAATTCAAAATTGTAATTAATACGTACTATATAATGATTAAGAGGCCATACACATAGTCACTAAAGAAATTAAATGAACATATCTTCCAGTCAAAGAAATGCTACAACCGTTTTTGTTAACACAGAATAGTTTTATTTTAATCAATTACTGGTATTCGGATGTGCACTAAGAGATTATCGGTGTGATTTAAATTTTGGCAGTTAATGCTCTCCATATATTTTAATCCCACAAACTGAACCCTAGACTTTGTTTATTATCGTGTTGTACGTACCCAGTAGTAGATATGATTGTTTGGATCTGTAATTATCTGTCTGAATGCACATAGTAAGTAGTAAATTATCTATATCTTACATTTATTGAAGCAGTTTCAAATACAAATACCAGTATTACATGACTGACCCATCTCTACTGACCAGTGGTAGAGCGATGATTACTCTGTCCATAATAAGGTAGATTTATAACTTTATTTACGAGTAATTTTAATTAGATACTATTGCATAATTTGCTTAGTAGAGAGATCTATTAATTTTGTAATGATGAATGTCGTATTGCCCAATTTGGTCTTGGACACGGTTTGTAGAGCTCTGCACGTGTTCGTAATGATGAAACAGGGCATTTTGAGCAAACTTAGGTGCCTAGAATGACGACTAGCCCGTTTTACTTGCTTTGTGTTAACTCATTATGTTATAATAGACAAATGACCACCACGAAAATATTATTTATCAAAAGAAGAGCTGGGGATCTACTGAAACCTATACGGTACCACATTTTTGCCATATTTTCCCAGTTTTGTTAAGAAAAACCCCACTTTAAATATTTCAGAAGCCGGGAGCACCTGCATCTTTCACATTTTTTTTTTTAATAAATGTAGTACTCTTAAATCAGATTCGGGAATGAGTAGAGGGGAACTTATGCATTAAAAAAAATCTCTCTCTGATTATTTTTATGTTTTAATACAATGTCTATGCAACAGTTTTATGTTACTTAATAAGATATTTCTGAAAGAATTCAGACAAATCATCGAGTGTCTCCTGTATACTTGAAAATGTTATACTGACTATTCTTTCTGGTACTTTCAGACCGATTCATTTCAGTTAAATAACTGGTTTTAAAAGCATTTGTATGGAAAAGAAATAAAATTTTATTTTCAAATTAGGACCCATGGGACAAGTTTCGGTTTAAGTTTCAAGTTTCTTTATTTCCTTAAGCCAAATGGCACATCAGAGTAATAAAAACGTGTTTTAAAAAAAATCATACAGAGAGAGTGAACGTAAAAATACATGCATGGAAATAGTGTTATGCATCAATATTGATTTTTTCTTATTCAAAAATTTGCCCAAATTTAAAAGACCTTTAAGATTATTAGTACTTGAGAATTAAATTAATTTGAAGACACTAGGCTTAGTGTAACAGTACTTTTTTCATGACACATTACAATTATGATAACACATAAATGCACATAATACAGATTAATACGATGTTAAAGAATCCACTCATTGTTTGTTAGTATAATAAAATAGTATGATGAACTTCATATAATATTGTACATACATGTAAATTTGACGTAGATTTTGTTTAAATTTATGCAACGTAGTGAAGATAACAATATGAGTAGAAAATCCATAATTTATACTAAATATATAGGTCCCTGTTTACGTTTTTGCGATGAACAAGAGACAATATCATATTGATTATGCTCAATTTTGCTCAATGAAAATTGTACAGGTACATATATATTTTTAAAGGTAATAATAAAGAAACAAATCAAAAATAAATGTTAACACATATATACATGAAGTCACAAGAGGCATTAATTGGTCCACTTTTAGTTGGAGCAATACATATTCCAATGTAACATATAGTCATGTGTATTGTAAGTACGGTAATGTAATAATGAATATCATACACTGCTAAAGAAATACAAAATGTTACATGAGTTCATATTTAAAAGAGCTAGTGCCACTATAGGCATATTAGGTGGAAAGTGTGTGTAAACCTATAGGGTATAGAAAGGACATTTTATTTGAACACTTTAAACTTGGACTATATTCATATCATAATCATTTTAGTTATTAATAGTGAACTTAGTAGTGACAGTAAAATAAAATAAAATTAAACAAGGAATTACATTATTAGTGTACCACAAACAGTGACTTTATAATTGGAAAAGGGACTTTATGTTCATGAACTATAATTATCTTGTTAGAACAAATTGGATTTTGTTGTTGGTACAATGAACTATAATTTTGTAAATCATTTTGTAATGGAATTGATCAGAATAGACCAATTAAGCCCGTCGATACTACCGGTAAGTAATAAAATTTGAACGGAAATGTAAGTTACTGTTACTTTTCGGACTTACTGTGTATTACTGTGTTAATTAACTTTTCGGACTTTGCATAAATTGTTATATAAACTTTTCGTATATTTCGGCTAATGTGTTAAATTCTATAAATTCCGCACAACCTTAATCCCACCCGAGGCACAGCCAGAGATGGACAGTTATTCTGTTTATATTTATTGACACTTAATCTTTCATCTACTTTAATTCTATTATATACATGCCGCTAAAATGTCATCATTCGCTCAATAATTGTTTAATACTTGATTTCTTAATACTTTTTGTTAATCCTTTTGTTCTATCATTGTTCAATATGTATGTATTGTTGTGAAAATTTATAGTCAGTTGGAATCAGACCTTCGGTGCTGATAGTTCCCAAACTCATGTAAAAGTTAATTCCATGCTGATTCTATATAAAAGTACTAAAACTATAACGCGTGTTGGCTTTTTGGAGGTTTTATGAATCTGGGTTCAACAATAAGAGGAAAACTCAGGGTTGGCCCAGAATTAGAATTTGACGGACAAATGCTTCCCGTAAAACATGGTGTGAGAAACCTAAGGGTAACAACACCCGGGGCTGCTTCATATATTTTGTAGTAGTCAGATCCTGGACCTCTACAAGAGCCAGATATCGAGTTTCCCCAGATTTTAACAATGCTGTGTACAGATGATGCAGACGTATTATTAGATAAATTCAGCGATGGAATATTCTTTCCGACCGCAGTGGAGACAGAAAAAGTTCAACTTCCCTTCATGTCAGCATCCAGTGTGCGGAAGGTGTGGAAATGTGCATCCTAACGACTTATGTTTCGCGTTGAAGCAGAAATGCTTCACATGCCACAGAATTGGACATTATTCAAGGATGTGTTTTACACAAATGAAAAAAAAAAAAAAAAAACTGAGCCAAAACCCGTAGATAAAGGACCAGTCTTAGGCAGAAAAAAAAGCCCGAGACATGAAACAACTGTGCAAGTATCTCGAGAACAAACGAATTCTACGAGAATTACCATTCAATTCTCTTCGAGACATCCGTTTCATTTATTGTGTGATAATTCTTACACTGTACGAAATGAGCTGAAAATTCTTAAAATTCAACTACGCAAGTCTAGTAAACTAAATAAGAGTATGTCGGTTAAACTCAAAAACTCCGAGGTTGATAGGGAAAGACTTCAAAATGAAAATTTCAAAATGAAAAATAAGATAGAAGAACAATCATATAGTTCCAAAGATAACATCTATCGTGAGAAAATTCGCAAACTGGAAGACGACGCGCACGGTGATAGAGTGATTATGGACTGATGCAGAGGAAATTAAACGAGATCGGAAAGGAACATAATCAGTATGTAATGCAACTTCAGGCAGAAGCTGAGAAAACAACCAAACAGTTAAGGGAAGAAAAAACGCCCTACTACAGACCATCCGAATATTGGAAGATGAAAGGGATCATCTGCTCGCCGTGTTTGTGGAAAACAATCGACAATTTCAACCATGTAGACATCAGGGAAGACCAAGAAGAGGCCAGTTTTATTGAAAAAAAAAAAAAAAAAACACGAGAACGTGTTTTACGCGAAGGCGGAGCATGCGTTACGGTGTAAAATACGACTTTTCGGACTTATTGTATATTACTGTGTTAATTAACTTTTCGGACTTTGCATAAATTGTTATATAAACTTTTCGTATATTTCGGCAAATGTGTTAAATTCTATAAATTCCGCACAACCTTAATCCCACCCGAGGCACAGCCAGAGATGGACAGTTAATCTTAACTGACTTCTGTTTATATTTATTGACACTTAATCTTTCATTACTTTAATTCTATTATATACATGCCGCTAAAATGTCATCATTCGCTCAATAATTGTTTAATACTTGATGTCTTAATACTTTTTGTTAATCCTTTTATTTTGTTTTATTTTGTTCTATCGTTGTTCAATATGTATGTATTGTTGTGAAAATTTATAGTCAGTTGGAATCAGACCTTCGGTGCTGATACATCCCAAACTCACGTAAAAGTTTATTCCATGCTGATTCTATATAAAAGTACTAAAACTATAACGCGTGTTGGCTTTTTAGAGGTTATGAATCTGGGTTCAACAATAAGAGGAAAACTCACGGTTGGCCCAGAATTGGAATTTGACAGACACATTCATCCCGTAAAATTACTATTAAGATTCTTGATTAAGAGTGATATTGGGAACTTTGAAGCTAGAACTCCTGTGGTGCAGAGATGGAGACTGAGTCCATAAATATTATTAAAGTAGGTATACCTGGATTGGAGGGTGTTGCCATGTTGGGGTTCATAGGTCAACTGACAGACCTACGGACAAAGCGTAGGTGGCATGGCAATGGTAAGACAGCCAATGAGGAGTATTTTTATATCCGGGACCATGAATACCCTCGGAGCACAATCTACTTTGTTTTTGTCGGAAAACGTCTCTCTTTTTCTTTGACTCTTTTGAAATACTTTTTTGGACTCTATTTTTTTTTTAGGACATCACCTTAATTATTACTTTTGGAGTTTAAGTTCAACGCTCTTCTGAAATATTTGGGACGGATCTTAAAAACTTTGCAATAACCAGTGTATTGATCTATTCTGATGACATTTCAGAAAATAGCATTTAAAAATCTATTCGATCACGGTTGTTTAATAAACTTTTCAAAAAACTTACAAACTTTGTTATTGGCTTACATGTAGCTACTCTATTAGATTTTTTTTACTTTTGAAAAGATTTGAAATTAATTCGGTATTTCAAGTCAAAGAATGGGTAATGCCATATTGATTTTTTTAGCTCACCTGAGCTGAAAGCTCAAGTGAGCTTTTCTGATCACCCGTTGTCCGTCGTCCGTCCGTCCGTCCGTCTGTCTGTCCGTCCGTCCGTCTGTAAACTTTTCACATTTTCAACTTCTTCTCAAGAACCACTGGGCCAATTTTAACCAAACTTGGTACAAAGCATCCTTGGGTGAAGGGGAGTTTAAATTAAAAAATCTTCTTCTCAAGAACCACTGGGCCAGAAAAGCTGAAACTCATGTGAAAGCATCCTGGGGTAGTGTAGATTCTAAATTGTAAAAATCATGACCCCCGGGGGTAGGGCGGGGCCACAATAGGGAATCCAAGTTTTAAATTGAAAAATGTAGAAAAAATCTTTAAAAATCTTCTTCTCAAGAACCACTGGGCCAGAAAAGCTGAAACTTATGTGGAAGCATCCTGGGGTAGTGTAGATTCTAAATTGTTAAAATCATGACCCCCGGGGGTAGGGCGGGGCCACAATAGGGAATCCAAGTTTTACATTGAAAAATGTAGAAAAAAATCTTTAAAACTCTTCTTCTCAAGAACCACTGGGCCAGAAAAGCTGAAACTTATGTGGAAGCATCCTGGGGTAGTGTAGATTCTAAATTGTTCAAATCATGACCCCCGGGGGTAGGGCGGGGCCACAATAGGGAATCCAAGTTTTACATTGAAATATGTAGAAAAAATCTTTAAAAATTTTCTTCTCAAGAACCACTTGGCCAGAAAAGCTGAAACTTATGTGGAAGCATCCTGGGGAAGTGAAGATTCTAAATTGTTCAAATCATGACCCCCGGGGGTAGGGCGGGGCCACAATAGGGAATCCAAGTTTTACATTGAAATATGTAGAAAAAATCTTTAAAAATTTTCTTCTCAAGAACCACTGGGCCAGAAAAGCTGAAACTTATGTGGAAGCATCCTGGGGTAGTGTAGATTCTAAATTGTAAAAATCATGACCCCCGGGGGTAGGGCGGGGCCACAATAGGGAATCCAAGTTTTACATTGAAAAATGTAGAAAAAAATCTTTAAAAATCTTCTTCTCAAGAACCACTGGGCCAGAAAAGCTGAAACTTATGTGGAAGCATCCTGGGGTAGTGTAGATTCTAAATTGTAAAAACCATGACCCCCAGGGGTAGGGCGGGGCCACAATAGGGAATCCAAGTTTTACATTGAAATATGTAGAAAATATCTTTAAAAATCTTCTTCTCAAGAACCACTGGGCCAGAAAAGCTGAAACTTATGTGGAAGCATCCTGGGGTAGTGTAGATTCTAAATTGTTCAAATCATGACCCCTGGGGTAGGGCGGGGCCACAATAGGTATTACAAGGGGGAAATCGGGTGAAAAACAGCAAGGCCAAAGTTACTCAGGTGAGCGTTGTGGCCCATGGGCCTCTTGTTTTATCCTTCAGATGAATTATTTGGTCCAGTTGGTCTTCTCTACGTCATCTTGAAATTTCCAGAACAAAACTGATTAGAAGGTATGTATTGTAACATTAAAATTGTCACACAAAACTTGCTGTCTGTCTGTAAAATAAGATTTTAAAAAGAGAAATGAATTTCACAATCTGATTTAAATCACTTCTCATGAAGAGATCAAAGTGAGTGGATCATAAATATGTTTTTAAATCAAAATCATCAGATTGTCAGTGTTAATGCGACAAAACTTCACGGTTTTGAATAATATTTAGTGCATTGTCGACAACGATTGACTCTTTAAAAAGGTATTCACTTATAATTCCTCAATAATTTTTGACCGAAGGTTATCAGCTGGTCATTTTGTATATGTATATTTATTTCAGATGACCACTGCTAAGCGTGTAGCAGTAATTGGGGCGGGTGCCAGTGGACTGACCGCCATTAAATGTTGTCTGGACGAAGGAATCACCCCAGTTTGTTTCGAGAGAACAGATTACATCGGTAATCAGACTTAATATTAGGACTATTAACCAAATGTTCTTTTATATGGGTTTCTCTTATCAAATTGTTCGTTTGTTTTTTTTCTTTTTTTTTTACCGAACAATTAACTTTTGTGATATCTTTGTATCAAATGAGGAATATACTAAAAACTCAACTATCCTAGGGATTTGTTTTTGTTTTGTTTTGTTTTTCTTCCAAATTGTGCTTCGTGTTCCTTTAAGTGTTGGGGGTTGCTACATTGAAAGAAAAGTCTTTAACTTTAATGTTCCAAATTCTAGTTTGATTGTTTAGTTCTGTTAGTGAATGTCCATTTACTGTCCTTATACATTGTAAAGGAGGTCTATGGCACTACACTGACGATTCACATGACGGCCAGGCCTGCGTGATGAAGTCCACCGTCATCAACACCAGTAAAGAAATGATGTGTTTCAGTGACTTTCCTATACCTAAGGAGTATCCGATCTTTATGCACAACAAATATGTTCTTAAGTACTTCCATCTGTATGCGGAGAAATTCAACCTCACTAAGTACATTAACTTTCAGATAGAGGTAATAACCGTTAGGAAAACATAGTACTGTGACAGAAGAGGCACCTCCGTCTTCCATAGAGTTTCAGTGAATATTAAGCTGAAATACAATCAATAGAGAAGAAATCTTATTAAAGTAGTTTTTGTAAGATAATGAAAGGGCGTCAAAATACAAAACGCTGAAATGAACTTTTTGAAAATCATTGTGGTATTATCATAAAGATTCCATACTTGTTATACTTGTTACATTCCAATGACTTATAGTTACTTTCAAAGCTGTAATTAGAGAAAATCTTGCCCCTCCCAATAAGTATTTTGATTAAATTTCCCTTCATATTTTTAGGTCTTAAGTATCAAGAAACACAGCGATTTTAAAAGCAATGGATGTTGGGATGTCAAAACACGTGATTTGAAAACTAATACAATTAATGAACAGACCTTTGATGGTGTACTAGTCTGTACCGGACATCACGCAGAAAAAAATATCCCAACATTTCCAGGTAAGCCAATACACTGCAGGTCAGAACTCAGAACAGACCGCATGCGAATCTTTAATGAATGTAATATTAATTTCGAGTGTTTTCATATTCTAAAGGTCTGGATAAGTTCCAAGGAGAGATAATTCACTCACATGACTACAAAAATCTCAAGGGATATGAGGACAAGCGAATAGTTATTATTGGCATAGGAAATTCGGGCGGAGACGCCGCGGTGGAACTTAGTCGTGTGGCCAAACAGGTTGTTAATCCTTTTTATCACTAATTTTGTACTCTTTTTCAACTTTTAGAAATGAAAATACATCCAAATGTACATCTGTTTTTCTTTTGTATAGGTTTTCTTAAGCACACGACAGGGTTCATGGGTCATAAATAGGGTGGATAGCTTTGGATATCCGGTGGATATGATGAGGACAACGCAATTCAATTTTTGGTAAAAATAATTTTTTAAAAAAGTAAGTAGTCTTTGTACCATAGCTATTTATTATTGTATTTACCTACCTAAATAACGTCTTATACAGGATGATGCGGAAGATCGTACCCGCTTCTATTGTTACATGGATCACTGAAACAAAACTGAACATGAGATTTGACCATGCGCTTTACAGCCTGAAACCAAACTTCCCCCCGCTATCCCAGCATCCAACAGTCAACGATGACCTTCCCAATAGAATCATCAGCGGAAACGTCATCGTCAAACCCAACATCAGATGTTTTACTGAAACTGGTGTGGAATTTGAGGATGGCACAGTAGAGGAGGAAATTGACGTTGTATTTTTGGCCACAGGGTATATCTTTGGGTTCCCATTTTTGGACAAATCTGTACTGGAAGTGAAGGAAAACAGAGTAAAATTATATAAATGGATGTATCCACCTGATCTAGAACACAACACGTTGGCGGTGATAGGTTGTATACAGCCCTTAGGAGCCATTATGCCTCTCTCCGAACAACAATGCCGACTGTACACAAGGGTTTTGAAAGTATATATTTTTTCTTAATAAGTAGCAATATGATTTTAAGGATAACTTATTTAGACAATTTCAAAATTCTTTGAAGTTAAAGACCACAGATATACTCAATTGATTAAAAATTCTGGTATGAGTTATCATTTCAGGTATTTTAACTATTTAATTGCTAACTTTGTACATTAGTTTAATTTTCCTATAATATAATCCTGTGTAATATTTCAGGGTGAAGTGAAATTACCACCTTCAAATGAAATGTGGCAAGACATAAAGGAAAAAGTGACAGCGATGGCCAAACGTTATGTTAAAAGTCCCCGTCACACGATACAAGTAGACTACGTCGTGTATTTGAATGAGTTAGCTACTTTGGCAGGCAACTGTCCTGATCTGGGTATACAACCATTTTCCTTGTTCACTCTGTGTTCTTTACTCTGGATTGGTCTCTATTATTATACTGATTTATCATTGAAATTTCTCTTATGCTCAAAATGGTAACAGAATCTGTGGTCTACAAATATTACGGTAACATTAAAATGATTAAGAAAGGGAAACAGGTAAATGAATGATTTTTCTTCATTAATGGCCAATATGTTTTTGTTTTAGCCAAACTGTTCTTCAGAGACCCCCGTCTAGCCATTGCTTGTTTCTTTGGCCCATGTACTCCGTATCAGTATCGACTGGAGGGTCCCAGGAAGTGGACAGGTGCCCGGGAAAGCATACTGACTCAGTGGGATCGTACCTTCTTCCCACTGAAAACACGACCCATCAAAAATCCTCCCAGGGAGTCTCAAATTACGTTCTTTTTCTTCTTCCTATTTGTTGTTGGGTTGTTTACTTTAACTATTCACCTACTCTTTATGAGGTGAATATTTATAAGATTGTAAAAACCATTGATGATTGATGTAGGTGCTCACGTGAATGTGTTCTCTGTAAATTACCATAAATCAAAGTGAAACACTGCTTTAAAAGCGACATTTTAGAAATAAAAAAATAACCAAAGCAACAACTCTTTCGAGATACCAAACATTTACTGAAACACTATTCAAAACCACATCAGACTGGATGTGATAATCAAAACAAAAATTCTATTTTTCTGTTTTTGGTTGTACTTATGCTGTTGTACCAGTCGTGTATATATAATGCAGTATAAGATCATAAACTTTGAATATATTCTAGATTTGTGTCACGGAATTCATGCTTCAAGAGCTAGAAAAACTGTGATACAGTGTATATATATAATATACTAGTATATATTTTATAAAAGACATATTCTTGAATTCTATGTTGTTTTTTTTTAAATATTTGTTAAGGATACATAACACAAACAAAAATTTGATGCATGGATTGATATATATTTTTTGACTGATTTTGAATAGAAATGACATAAATAATAAATCCCTAAAATATAAGGAAATCGTAAGTTTTCTTTGGTGCTTAGATTTGCGACTTTGTATGGTATTCTATGTATTTCTATACAAAATTTTGCACATATTTTTAATCTTGTGACAAAAACTTACAAAATTTTTCCACTTTACATGGCAAACATTATTCAACTTACCTTTTGGAATATAAATCTATAAGAAATGTTGCTGATTTCTGAAAAAAAGTTTGTTTGTGTTATTTATCATTAACACATAAAAATTTATCAGACAAGGCTTTAAAACAAAGCTTGAGAGAATTAAAATCTTTGTGTGGAATAAAACATCGTTCCATTTCTTAATGGAGAATGGAAATTGATATGATAAACTTTATGATAAACGTGATAACTTCAACTTTTCTATCGACAACTTCCCTTGTATATGTAGTAATATACCATTATCGCCTGCATATGAGGTTTATATCTCCCATATGATTCGATACGCAGAGCATGCTCCACGTACAAACAATTTCTAAGAGGCAAACTATTGACAAACAAGTTGATGAAACAAGGATATCAACAGTCTCGTTTAAAATCATCATTTCACAAGTTCTATGGTCGATACAATGACCTTGTCAGCAAATACAATCTATCATTAAGTCGAATTCTAACTGACGTTTTTCAAACAAATTAATAGGCCAACATTTATACACTGAATTGCCTATGGATTTTTCCGTTTGCCCGATCATAACAATGAGCACACGGCGGGTGTGACCGGTCGAAAGGAGATGCTTATTCCTCCATGGCACCTAATCCTACCTCTCCTGTATTTTGGAGGTGTTTGCTCTGCTCCCGGTTTGTATTGTTTTAATGGACTTTTGAGCTTGATTATTGTCCGTATCTCCATATTTCATGATTAAAAATTATTATTTCAATGTGTTGGATATTTTTTTAAATCTGGTATTAAATATCATTACATAAAGATTTGAACGATTCCAAAAAATGAACGATTATAATACAGGGTTTTCAGTAATTGACGTACTCTTAGAATGTAAGATTAGTGAACAAACAACTTGCATTATACAACCTTTGATGACAGTAGAACCAAGGATGGTAGATTATGGAGAATATATAGGCCACTCAAAAACCCTTAAAATAGATAGAAAGTACTTAATGAGTTCTACTGAAAAGCAAAGACACATAAACAATAAGAAGATATTAAGTCAGGAGACAAATTATGGGTTCTAAATGAATGCTACGGGAAAGCCCGGTGATGTTACTGGGGAGACAGTCATACTGAAAAAATCACACATGATGATAAGACGAAGCCTTTTACAGGCGAAATGATTGACAATTCACCTTGTATGTATAAGCAACACATGGTTAAATAAAATCACTCTGCTGAAAATATCGAAAGGTAGATGTAGAATTCCAGGAATATCTACAAAACATGGATGTTGGTGTTGCTAAATTTGGTATTTTATTCACATTTAAAATTTACTTGCGCAATATTTGATTCACACATATTAATCAATTACAAGATCTAAGAAGAGTCTGAGAAGATGCTATGAAGATTTTGTCTTTCTTTAACATGCCGACTTTTATGCAAATTATATTATGGTCTTTTCAGAGGAGAGAAGTTCTTTGAAAAGGGCAAACATTGTCTCCATGCAAATCAGGATGGCATAGAGGCATAAGTACCATTTCGAAAAAAATATTAAGAAGATTCAATGATAATTTGATTTTGCCCATAATACCTATAATTTTCTTGTCATTCTATTTTTAGGTCACCTGAGTCACTCAGGTGACCTATTGCTATCCGTTCTCGTCCGTCGTCGTGCTTCGTTTGTTAACATTTGAACATTTTTAGCTTCTTCTCTGAAACCGCTTAACCAATTTCAACCAAATTTGGCATATAGCATCTATGGGTGAAGGGGAACAAAAATTGTGAATTTCATTGTCCCTGCCCCCCTGGGGTCTGAGGGGTGGGGCTAAAACCACAAAAAATAATGCAATCTTTAAAAATCTTCTTCTTTACTCCAGGATATCAAGCAGTCAAACTGTTGGCATGATTGTAATAAGCATTGAGCCCTCTACCAAAATTGTGAAATTCATGGCCCCTGGGTCAGGGGTTCTGGCCCCAGGGTAGGGCTATATAGATCATATAGTGAAAGTGCACTATTTCTTTGAAAATCTTCTTCTCTGCTCCTGGGTATATTGAATAAAGTAACTAAGTACATAGTTATGAAGAGCAAGAGTGCCTCTTTCAAAATTGTGAAATTCATGGCCCCAGGGTCAGGGGTTCTGGTGTTAGGGCGGGGCTCTATTGATTATATAGTGAAAATGCATTAATTCTTTGAAAATCTTCTTCTCTGCTCCTGGGTATTAAATAAAGTAACTAAGTACATAGTTATGATGAGCAAGAGAGCCTCTTCCAAAATTGTGAAATTCATGGCCCCAGGGTCAGGGGTTCTGGTGTTAGGGCGGGGCTCTATCGACTATATAGTGAAAATGCATTAATTCCTTGAAAATCTTCTCCTCTGCTCCTGGGCATTAAGGTGATAAACTAAGTACATAGTTATGATGAGGAGGTGGGCCTCTTCCAGAATTGTGAAAGCCATGGCTCCTGGGTCAGGGGTTCTGATGTTAGGGCGGGGCTCTATTGATTATATAGTGAAAATGCATTAATTCTTTGAAAATCTTCTTCTCTGCTCCTGGAGATTATTTAAACAAACTAAGTGCATGGTTATGATGCATAAGGATGGCTTTTCAAAAATTGTGAATTTCATGGCCCCAGGGTCAGGGGTTCTGGTGTTAGGACGGGGCTCTATTGATTATATAGTGAAAATGCATTGATTCTTTGAAAATCTTCTTCTTTGCTACTGGAGATTATTTAAACAAACTAAGTGCATGATTATGATAGGCAAGGATGCCTCTTTCAAAATTTTTAAATATATGGCCTCAGTTTTTGGGGTTCTTGAGGAAGGGGGGGGGGGGGCTCTATTGATTATATAGTGGAAAAGCATTAATTCTATTAATTGATCATTAATTAATCCTGTTTGCTCCTTAGCGTTGAGCTGATAAATAAATTGCTTAGCTATGATGAAAATGGGAGCTTCGAACAGAATTTTTAAATCTTGTGGTCCTAGGGTCAGGGGTTCTGGCATAACGAGGCGGGGGGGGGGGGGGGGTTGATAATATAGTGGAAAAGTGTTAATTCTATGAAGTCCATAGTTATGATGATGAGGGTAACTCTTCCAAATTTGTAAATTTCTTGACCCTTGGTCTTGGGTTCTGGTGTTAGGGTAAGGCTTTGTTGAATCTGTAGTGAAAATGCATTGTACCTGTAAAATTCTTCTCTGCTTCTGGGCATATCGGAAGAAAACGGAGTAAAAGTTTAAATGATATAAGTAAGCATATTTCTACCAGATTTTTGAACATCTGGACCATTTGTCTAAGCATTCTAGTCCTGGGCAGGGCTCTATTAATTTGTATTCTACTGAGAGAAGTTATTCCCCTTTTCCATTCACCTTTGATAATTAATCACTGTAAATAATGTATTTGAAAGGTTAATAGAATAAGATAATTATGCAAGAATGTTTATCATATAATTCAAAAAGTATTGTCTTAGTTTTAATAATCAGGTAGAGCTGTAAGTAATAGATAAATAAAAATGAGACAAAAATAACTTATCTTATTAAAAATTCTTCAAAGACCATAAGAGAGGTCAATGCTAGAGGTCTTAATATGGGTTTAAAAATAGTACAGAAGCACTAATAGTTTGTTAATAGTCTGCATGGTGATAGTGTTAAGTGGGGGACAGATTAGAACTTAATTTATGAGTTAATACTGAATACTAGACTAATTATTTTGTTGATCCTGATCTTCCTACTTCTCTTGCTTTAGGGCAACAAAGCTTCATCTATGAGTGTATCTAACTTCTAAATTGTTGTATTATACTCAGGTGACTGTTAAGGCCCTTGGGCCTCTTGTTATCAGGTGAAACCACAAATGACGCTACTAATACTAGAGAGAAACAATAAGATGAACGCACCAAAAAAGTTTGCCAAGGAAATGTGAAGGTAAAGGTCAAGAAAGAGATAAACATCTGATCCAGATAAGGCTGAAAAACAAACTACTGCCAGGAGTACCTGATATTTGACATGGTGAAGATCATGAGGAAACTAGATGGAATCATCATATCAACAGTCTCGTTTGAAATCATCATTTCGCAAGTTTTACTGTGGATACAATGGCCTTGTCAGCACATACAACCTATCATTGAGTCAAATGCTGACTGACGTTTTTCATACTAATTGTTAGGCCATTATTTATACACTGAACTGTCCACGGATTTTTCATTTTTCCCCCCGATCAAGACAAGGAGCACACGGCGGAAGTGACCGGTCGGCAGGGGATGTTCACTGCTCCATGGCACCTGATCCCACCTCTAAATTTTGAGGTCCGTCTTTTGAGATTGAATATTGTTCATTATCTTCATATTTCATTGTGATTGTACAGACGTAGAAGGTCTTTGTCATGCCATCTCTATCAGGTGAAACCACAAAGGACGCTACTACTATTAGAGAGAACCTCTGGACACCACAAATGTGGAATCACGTGCGTTAGAGGAGTAAACATTCCTTTTCGAGCCGACACACCCTGTAGACAAATCAGTATGACGAAAAGGGCCTAGTAAATTGCATGAAAAACGCCAATCAACATTTGGCACAACGATAAAACAAGTTATTTGGAAACAACATCATTGAAACAACAAAGAATTTGCAAAATAGTGACTTTAAACAAGATATAACACCGAATTGTGACATTAGATAAGTGCTCTAAGTTTAATTGTTTTCAGTTGGATTTCAAATTATCATTAACTACCAGTATCCTAAGTACT